TATCTTTTACAGATTGTTCCCTTTGAGCGACTTGAATTTCTCTACTTTTGACTTGTTCATCCTTCTCATTCAAGGCAGTTTCTAACTTTTCCAAATTTGCCAATTGTTGTTCATATTGTTGTACGATAGAGTCGAGTTGCTTTTTGAGGAGGCTTGTTTGGTTTTTTGTGTCTTGCACTTGTTGTTTGATTTGTGATGATGATGGTGGTGCGTTGTTGGTCATGATTCCTGTTTTCTTCTTGGTCATTTGTTGTTCTTGTTTTTTTTTTGATTGGTAAATGACAACTCATCACAATAACAAATCAGACTTCCAACAGTAAACTCACAATGTCATATTCATTATTGGAATATTTTCATCAAAATAATACACAGTTTGTTTTTCGTATACATGAAAAATTATCATGTAAATATTTCATAAACAACTATACAATCCATTTTGTTGTTAGTTCAAAGATACAATTTGCATCACTGACATCAAAGGCAGGAAATAGCTCAGGTTGATTTTGTGGTAAGACAACTCCATAATTAACGTCCCATCTTTCAATTCACATTCAACAATATCCACATTTTGTAAAATTATTACATCCATCTACATTAATACTGTTAGGTGCAAATCCAATCATTGGATTACCTTCCTTGTCTATAAATCTCTTCAGTATTAACTAATTGTAAAGTGAAAATTAGGTCAAACGCCAATAGTAACCGTTATTTAATTTCTAAAAAAAAACGAAAAAACAACATGCATTGATTCGCTCTCTGGTAAATTTCAAGTGGAGGATTTCTAACAGGACATATCTGTTTCATCAATTTCAACACAAGCTTCTTTAGGACCTTTGCTTGATGATTCATCACTAGGCTAAACTTTTTGGTTTATTATTCAATCATTTTTATCAATCAACAAAATGTCCAAATACAAAGTTACGATCAAACCACAAAGTTCATCCGATGTATTGGAAAAGAAGAAGGAGGTACTTTCTCTACTGGATAAACCAGAACAAGTTGATTCCCTGCTAGCTTTGTTAGATGAGGTATTTTCCAACAGCAATGTAGAAAAGTATTCTGCCATCAGCAAGGATGACCTTGCCTTCCTGCTTGAAGCTAGATGCAAGGCTTCATTGATAAGGGCTGATCAACTCTCGGAGAAGGAAGAAAAGAGGTTGGCTATATTGAAAGCCCTGAATAGTGGACAAGAATGTGTTATTAATCAACCAAGTTTTGCTCCTGGATATGTTTTGTATGGTGAAGCTTTTGTTAGTTTTGCAAAATTGGGTGATCACGACAAGGTGTTTGATGATAAGCAGGAAAGAGAATTAATCAAGAATATTAGAGAAATTGTTGTGCAGACACTAAAATCTGCATTGGATATTGGAGAAATTTCCAAAGCACAAAAAGGTGAAATTCACAACCAAATTGCTAAATGTTTGGAATCTATTTTCTGTTCAGTTGATGATTATGTGGAAGGAGAAGATCAGAGTGAATTGAGTATTGAACAGGTTCAACAGCTCATGTTTGCAAGACAAAATTTAATGTTCAGTGGTGGAATGGACGTTCTGGAAAGGAAGGCAGACGAACTCGTGGAGAAAGTCACTGCCTCACCAAATACTCATCTCAGAAGCAAAATGTACCAGTTGAGAATTCAAGTTTTGAACTTTAGACCACACATTTGGAGAAGAGTCAAATTACCTGGTTCTATTACTCTACAAAGTTTGCAAGATCGTGTTATTTCACCTGTTCTTGGATGGTGCCGAAACTATCATGCCTACTATTTTAGAAAAATCCCATTCGAAAAGAAAGACTCTAAAAATCAAAGAATGCCACAACCAGACCTAGTATTTGGTCCAATTTACAGTCAAGCTGTAGACAAAATGCACGAGTTTAGTCACAACATTTACACTGCAGATGATACAAAGGTTGAACTATTCCATTTACTTGAAAAGGTATGTGTTTTTTACTTTTTACTACAATGTAATTAGACTGGAGATGAAATGTTTTACATGTATGATTTGGGAGATTCATTCAGACACAAAATCACAGTTGAAAATATTGAGGATTCAAATGATCAAACTATTACAGTTGAAGATGGTGAAAACTGTTGCCCAGCAGAAGATTGTGGATCTATTCATCGATATGCTGATGCCATTCAAATATATTACTACGGAACTCTCTTCAAGAACAATCCCTCATTTGCCAAAGATAAGGATAGCCATTCTGAAATAATGTCTCACTTGAATAAGGCAGCTAATTACCTTGAAAGAAAAGGATCATTTAATCCAACCAGTTTTTCATAAGTAGATGCAAAACGTCGTGTGCAAAATGCCCTTCGTAGTAATGTTTCCAAGATGGATGATTCTAATTTCTATTCTTATAATTTCCAAACAGGCACATCAAAACTTGGAACCTTTGAAGAAACAAAAATGCTTTCCAAGGCACCAGTTAAAGCATGTGCTATTTGTGATAGTACACAAAATTTAAAACAATGCTCTAAATGCAGATCTGTATATTACTGTTCCAGAGAACACCAATTGCAGGATTGGTCAAATCACAAAAATTTATGTGGAAAGGAAAAGAAATAATTGTGATAATTATTGCGGATAAAATTTAATTTATTATATAATATTTTTTTATATTTATTCTCAAAAGACATTGAACTTGTCAATTAGTCTCATTTTGAATAATGACACTGTCTTAATTGCTAAAGATTAGAATTAATTGAGGATAACAATAACATCAACACTTTAGGACGTGGTGGTGGAGGTTCAAGAGGAGCTGGTGGATCATCTTCTGGAGGAGGTTCTAGAGGTGGAGCTGGAAGTAGTGGTGGTGGAAGATCATCTTCACCATCTGGTTCAAGGAGGTGCTAGTAGTGGAAGAAGTTGTCTATCAAATTACATCCAATTTATTATTGGAATTCAATAATTAAACTTTACAAAAAAAATGCATCAAGATTGTTGGGCTGAAATTATTCCATTTTTGCAACCGATTGATGTTTTAGCCTTCACAATTTAATTAAAAAATTGTGTATTGTTACTTTTGATAGAATTTCCGAATTTACAACTGGTTGTTGTTCTGAGTTGAAAATTTCATTTAATTGTCATCAAAATCATGATGTTCCAATATGGGAATGTAAAATATTTCATCCGATTATACTTGTTAAAATTATCCTTAAAATTAGGAAATCAGGATCATCCTGAGAAGGGAGATCTCAATGTAATTTCACATATTTTGAATAGTTCAGAATTGAAATTGTTAAATTTCTATCGATCTGTCTTTACTGAATTTAAATTTCCACTTATTGTGTGGTGGGAGAGGCTGGAGTTGGAACGTGTTACTTTTGTGAATTTGTTCGGTGTGGAAACAAGCCACATGGTTTGCGTTCTGGATTTGAATCCTTTTACAAAAAATTTACAATTCCAAACGATTGAATGGCAACAGGAAATTTGGATACCAGGTGGATCTGAAAGTTCTATTCGAAACAAGATCTTATCCAAAGATACAAAAAAAATGATAAGAGCATGTATATTCTTCCATGTTTTTCAATGAATTATGAGATGACATTTCATGCAGTAGGAGATTGGTTTTCAATTATTAGAGATACTCTTGGAATAATTGTTGGACTCAATACTACAGATTTCTCACTATCTTGAAGAAAGTTAGTTTGAACGATGCTGTGAGGAAGGCATTCGAACTTGGATTTTCAGTGTTTGTGGATCAGATGTTCATTCAATTACAATCCATCTATTTCACTTTTAATAAGAATGATCGGGATTGTTTCTCTAATGTAAAAGTAATAAATAGTAGATTAAGTACGCATCTTAGGAATCATATTCCTTGTAAGCAAACCAAATAAGAGCAAAAGACTACAGCGCCACAGGTTCCCAAGTTGTCTCCAACCTCAGTACTGATGTGGCTCGACGATGCTTAACTTCTCAAATCGGACGGGATGAGGTGCATTCATCGTGATATGGCCGTAGCCATCTAAAATATTAAATAAAGGTTTATGAACTAGGTCCAAATTAAAAATTATTTATTATTAATTCTTTACATTATTGAGCATTTCTTCTTTTTGACTTGTACCCTCTTTTTACATTCCTCAATGTATGAGATGTCTTGTTCAATGCATCCTTTCAATAAAGTAAGATTATCAATTCCACCAAGTCTTTGCTTTCTAACAGTTTCCTCAAATATGGCATCGATGTTTTCTCCATTTTTGGCGCTACATTCAATAATGGAATAGTTCAATAATGAATTATCTGAAACAATTGAATTAACTTCTTGTCTAAAACGATCAATTGTTTCATTTCTATTGGCACTAACCAATAAATCCATCTTGTTTAAAACAAACACCACAGGCCTATCATTAACTTCAACATCTTTGCAACGTAACATGTTCTCTACGTGTCTACGCATATCTGATACAGAGTTTTCATCACTTGAAGAACATACAATTACAAATGCATCTCCAACTCTCATATATTGATCTATTAAGAGGTATTATTAATTGAATTATATTACAATCCCAAATAAAATCTCTTACCTCTCCATGCTAACATAATATTAGTCGAGTTTCTAATTAAATTTACTTACTAGAAAACTCCTCAGGTCCTAATAGTTATCATCAAAATTAGTTAATCATAATTATTGCCAAACATTACAAAAACTCACCTGCAGTATCGAGAATTTCTACCATGGCTGGCTCTTCATCAACCCTAAAATACTTTCTGTATGTATCCTCAATTGTCGGATCGTATTCAGTAATAAAAATATGCTGAATAAAGAAAATGGTTATTGCAGATTTTCCTTATTTTCATAATTATGGTAAATGTGAAATAAATAGGTCCATAATAAAATTCTATTAGAATCGAATAATAGAATTATTATTACTCACCCACTCCTCCTTCCCCAAGCACTATTATTTTAACTTCCTCTTGTTGTTGTTGTGCATTAGGATCATATTTTGGTCGTTTGTAAAGTTTAAATTTGATATAACTTGCTAATAAAATTTTCCTCTTCATTTCGTCTCGTTTAATCATTCGTAATCGAAGTTTCTCCAAATCATTTCCAAATAATTGACCAATTCCAAAATTCTTTTCGAATACTTTCCACCAAAAGGCATTGAAATAATCTTGCATTTCCTTCATATTCGAAATTTTCTTATTAATTGATTGAAATTTGGCAACCATTCGGATATCTGAATTTCTACTTGATGGATTTTTCAATTCGCTATCAGCTCCAAACGATAAAATATGTTGGAATATTTCATAGGGAAGTGATGAGAATAAAGTTGCATGTGGAGCCATTTTTTTTGGTTTGAACAAAAAGTTCAAGGAACTGAGTTCATATGTTCGATTTCAATGCATAGTTCCAAACATTAATAGGTTTTCAATAATCTTTGATATTTAAATAGGAATAAATCATATATTATATTTCTTTATTCAATAATGTTATTATTTATTCAAGATTTTATTCAACTCTTCTTGATAATCGTCCTGATCTATGAGACCCTCATCAAGGAAGGATTTCAATTTGGCAATTTGCTCCTCTTGTTCTGATGATAATTCAGTTTCAGTGGTGGTACTTGATGGAGAAGTGCCCAATAATTTAGATTGTTTCATTTCGAATTGTTCTTGTGCAATGATTCCATTCTCCAAAAGTTTCTTCAATTTGGCCAATTCTACTTTAACATTTTGATCTTTGACATTTGAGGTGTTTCTTGGAGAGGATGGACTTTCAACCTTTGTGGTGGTTGTCTCATTTTGAGGTTTTCCAAGAATTTTGTTGACTTTTTGCTCAAAATCTTCCTTTGAAATAATTCCAGAATTGTAGAGCTTTTCCAATTGTTTGACTTGATTATTGGTTGCTTGTTGATTGACTACAGGTTTGGATTCTTCTGGTGTAGCAGCTGGAGATGCAGGGGTTGGTGTTCCCTTCAAGAGCTTTTCTTCCTTTTGTTTGTAATCTTCCTCTGAGATGATTCCCATATCGACAAGTGATCTGAGTCTTTCCAGTTGATCTTGAATTTCTTCATCTTGCTCTGCACCACTACTGATTGGTGTTGATGATTGTTTAGGAGTTGTTTCTTTTGGACTTTCCTTAACAATCTTTTCTGAAGATGGTTTTTTCTTGGTTTCAACGATAGGTACTGGTGTGGTTGGCTTCTTTTCTTCCAATTTTGGAACTGTATTGGTTTGTTGATTCTTTTGAGAGCTATCAGTTGGAGTGACTGGAGTTTCCACTTCTTCTGAAGTAAAGACAGGAGTAGGAGTAGATGGCTTACTTGACTTGTTAGAAATAATGGTTGGAGTGGATGGCTTGGAGTCTGTTGGGGTTTTTGGAGAGGAATTTGATGAACTACTTGTAGGTGTTTGAGGTGAAGAAACTAGAGCACCGGTCTTGACACTATCAGGGTCTGAAATGATTTTTTCCATTTGAATGTCAAATTCGGATGGTGTAAGAATTCCCATCTTTTTGAAATATTTCAGTTTGGCAATATAATTTTGTTGATCAGAGGTGAGATGTGAATAATCTTCAGTGTCTTGAACTGGCTTGTTTTCATCCAAAATTTGTTGCATTCTCGATTCGAACATTTCATTGGTTAAAATTCCCTTCTCCTTTGATATTTTCAATTTTTCAATTCTTTCTTTTTGACTTTCGGATAGAGATTCTGTAGAGGAAGGAGTAGAAGGAGAAGATGGAGAGCTACTGGTTTGTTCTCTTTCAGAAAGTTGCTTTTGATAAATCCAATTTGTTGGAGTGTAAAGATTTCCCAAAACTTTTTTCTTTTTCATTTCATATTCGTCTTGTGTAATTATTCCATCGTTGACAAATCTTTCAAGAGTTCTCATTTGGTGTTTTTGAGATTCATTCATCATGCACTTTAAATCTTCATATTGTTGTGCATACTTTTCAAATGAAATTGTTTCTACTGCAGTTGGAGATTTCTGACCAGATGTAGAGCTGCTGATTTGAGAATTATTTCCAACAATTTGTTTCTTTTTCATTTCGAATTCTTCCTGTGTGAGAATTCCCTTTGATAAAAGGCTTTCCAATTTTTCAATCATTTGCTTCTGTTCTGGAGTAAGAGATGGTTGTTTTGGAGGGGAGGATTTTTGATTTTCTTCTTTCAGCTTATTGAGCTTGGCATTGTACTCTTCCTGTGTGATAATGCCTCTTCCAATCAATCTATTACAAATGTTACAATTTAGAAAGTGAATTTCACAATACTTACCCTCTCAACTTGGAAAGTAAATCTAATTGATCTTGTGTGAGGCCATCCATATTGCCACTACTCTGTGTATTAGTTTGTTGATTATTAGAAGTGGTGGCATAGGTCATTTCTGATCCACTATTTGCTGGATTGTAAACCATTTTCCATTTAGATTCAAATTCTTCTCTTGTCAAAATGTCCTTTCTAAACAATTGTTCAAGTTTTTTCAATTGTTCTTCAAGTTGTTTAGGTGGTAAATTGGATTTGATTAAATTTCTGGTAGATGATAAACCTTTTAAAATTGCATTCTCAGTCTCCTTATTTCCAAACTTGTAATTCTTATAATTTGGTCCAAAATTGTCATGTTTTTGTTGAATGATACGAATTCCAGTATCTGAACCTCCAATTTCTTCAGTACAATCAATCAAAATAAAGAATCCATTAATACTCAAATTATATCTTTCGTATTGGCTCGATAAACCTGATCCTGATCTCAACAATGGACTTCTTTGGTTTAAAGAAAACTAAACTTTGAGAAACTTACCAATCAGCTTTCACTCTAATAAAGTGATGGCCACCAACTCTTGGTTCTTCGACTTGTGTTGCATAGACAACACTATTACAGTTGGATTCAAGCTTTAAAACACACTTTCGGATAAATGGTAAAATAAATTTTCAGAGAGCAATTATTTACCTCATCATTAATCAAAATTCGGAATGGATTGGATGAGTTAGCAACAACCCCATTCAGAAAGAAAAAGACTGTAGAGAATTTTTGTTCAAGAGTTGTGTAAAAAGACTCGGTTGATAGTGTCGACATTTTTTTTAAAAATGATTAGTGACAAGTGGATAGAATCCATCCTTTCGTATGACAGCCAAATCATGGTGATTTTCATTTTCGAATCCTCATGACGACTCCCAAAATCCTTAAATGGATGATAAGGGAAAATGAATTCATTTCCTTTACTTTCGAATAATTTTCATAAAATAATTATGAAATAACATTCCCAATTGTGTGTTATCTCTTCCATTATGATGGTTAAAACTTGTAGATCGGTTAGTAAATACTCTCAAATCTATGAAATTCATGATTGCTTTGTAATGTGTACAAGAAATCCACCAACGATTTGACCTTCATAATTTCTCATAGGAAGGAATCTGAATCCTGGCAAAAGTTGATGAGTGAGTAGAGATGAATATCCAACACATTCAAAATTACCCAATCTAAACAATGTAGAGAATGGTCTAATAAGAGGATTCTTCTTTTTAAAAAGTCCAAATGAAATGATAGATTTCTTATCATCCAGTGGTGCATTAATAGTTTGCTTGGAAGTGAGTGCTGTCTCCCCATTCAATGAATCTTTCAATACCTTGACAAGGTTCGAGTATATTTTCTTATTCGAAACAGATAAAGAACCTGTTTCAATAACTCCAATGGAAAGTTGGTTGACCTTTTGAAGAGTTGACTTGGCTGGAATGAAATCAATTACTTCAATTTTAACATTTTTGAATGGTGTTGTTTCGTCTAGCTTGGCTTTTGGTACGTATCCACTTGGATTGGATGAGAAGAGAGCATTATTAATTCTCAAAAATTGATCACAAAATTGATAATTGAGAGATACAATCTGACAACCTGCAGCCCAATACATTACTGGACTAAAGTTAGTGGAGAATACTCTTGTAGCTTTTGGATAAATTCTAGTCATTAGAGTTTCATTGTGTTTGAAAAAATGGGAACCCTTCTTGATAATATGAGTCAGTCCCATTCCTTCTGAGAGATTAATCATTTTGTGAATTTGAGAAGTTTCCTCTGGATATTCATGATGTACATCGACCACAGATTTAAAAAATAAGAGGTCATACAGCTCCTTAGTCCACTGTCCTATTTTGTCCTTATCAGGTTGCATGGTTGGAAATGTTGTGTCGAGAGTCTTCATTGATTCGTCCATCTTTTCCACAACAAACTTTTCATCTATATTAATGTTTGGAATGACATTTCTGGCCCATACAAGTTCTGGAGGATCAAATTCATTGTGTGAAATATTCTTTTCGAAAAATATATCAGAAACAATATCCACCTCAACTTGTCTCAATTTGTTTTCCAACTTTGCCAACTCTCCCTGAAGTAAGACCTTTCCTCTACATTCAGAAAGTTTTGGAAGTTGCTCAGTATTACTCAATTCTGATGGAGCAATAATCTTCTCACCAAATGCATCTTTCAAATGTTGTGCAATTTTTTTCTGTTGATCAAAATTACAATGAATTTCCAATGAGATGATGAGAGGATAGTCAGTTGTGTGGAATGAATATTGTTTGATTCCTTCAAGTGCTTCCTTGAGTGTAATCTTTGAGGTGAGAGTCCAACCATGATAGACTATTGGTTCTCCATTAGGACCATCCCAACAATCAACTATTCGCACATGATCAGTTAAATTATTTCCATTGATGAATATTACTTACTTTCGATACATCTACAATTAGCTTTAAGGCAATCAATATAGGCCTTTTTAGAACTTTCACTAGTAAGCTGATTTCCCTCCAGATAGGTATTGTGAGAGGAGGAAATTAAATAATCTGACAACGGTAAGTCATCTTCAAACTCTTCCAGTTTCATGAATGAAGTGGTCAGTAAAATTGATATAAATTGTTGAAAATCAATGGAATCTCGATTAATATTATTGGGCAATTCATCCTGTTGCTCTTGACTGAAGAATTCTCTCAACTCTTCAATAGACATGACATCCTTTCCATGTGAATACTTGTTAAACAAGTATTTGAGCATTTCCAAAGTCTTTTTATCAACAAAACATGAAGAATCCCAACTCTCATCAGGTAAAATCTCTTCCGAAGTAAAAAACCTCATCAATCTATCAAATTGAACCTTGTATGTACTATAAATCGAATCAACACCAACAAAAACACCAAATCCTAGCAATATCCAAGCACTCCACAATTTAAAACTATTCCAAGACAATAACCTTCTTGAAGAAGAATCAGTTCCAAAATTTCTTCTTCCGAAATATTTAGCCTTCATCATTGAATTGTAATTTCCATTCCTCATCAATGAATTTATCGTTGTTATTGGTTTTAATTTACAATTTTGCAATCGGAATGATCGATACTGCTCACATTGAAAAGATTTCTCCAATCCCTTCTTAAATGATGGAATGATTCTCTTCATATTTTTTTAATTGATTTAAATATAATTAAATGATTTAAAATTACAATCATCACATTCCGATTTTGATTTGTTCCAGTAGAAATAATTTACAATCTCAACTTGTCCACACGTTGCAATTGCTTAACATTGACTTCAAATTGAGTCTTTTTAATCTCACCATATTGCATAATTTTCGATTGAAGAGATAATACTTGTTCTTGTAAAATGTTGGAAATTAATTGAAAGTGAGTGGATTCTTGTAATTGTTCAGAATCTACAGTGTTTCTAGAAGCCATCTCACCATATTTTGAAACAATCAGATCACTCTTCATTCTCTCACTCATATAGTCCTTGGTGAGGTCAGTGAGTGAAGTGAGAATGAGAATTAAATTATTAAAAGTCTTTTCCAAATCTCCCCTCTTATAATTGGAATGCAAAGAGAAGAAATCATTCATTGTTCGAATGATTCGTTCAAGTCCTTTTTGAATCATGTTGATGTGAGTTGAAAATTGTTCCAATTTGCAGCTGAATTCTAACGAACACTTTTCATCTAATTCCTCTACAAAATCTTCCATTTCCTTTAGAATGTAAAAGTAGTCGAGTTTGGGTTTCTTCTCGAATTTAGGAATGGATTTCCAATCGATAATCTTCTTCTCCGAATTATTGTTTGCTTCATTGATTTTGCAATACTTTTCCGAAATGTAATAATCCCTTCCCAGACATTCCAATCCAAAATTTGTGACCGAATTATTAGATGGTGCTTCGTGTTCAATCTTGTCTTGGTTATTTTCTTGTTCCGAAGCAATTAAATCTTGTTGAATCATTTTTATTTAAATAATTAAATAATAATTAAAATCCATCTTTAATTATTTTAAATCCAAAAAACAAAAGGTTGGATGTAACGAAACCAGAACGGACCCTGCAATGCAAATCTTGACAGCATCACGTTAATCTGAAGACGGCTTACTATATCAGACCACACCAGAAGCCAGAAACTTGCCCATTACGGTATGTTAGAGATTTCGGGATTGTGGTCTGAACACATGTCTATCTACTAACAAATCCTTCATGCTCTGCAAATTTTACCAACAAAAAATAAATGGGTGTTTGTGGTTTTTCATTTTTTTCAATTTATTTAATATTTGTTGCAATATGTATTAAGATTGAATGTTTTGTTGATGGAATTGATGAGGGAATAATGAGGTTTTGATTGGGGTGTGATCTTTGCATGATATTCAACATGATGATTGAGTAAAATTGCAATTGTTTGTATAAATAATTTAGTATCGGAAGTTTGTTATCTTCAACCTAGTCGGAAAGTCTCGGAAACTTTGTTGAAACGCACAAAGTCGTAAGATAATAATTGTGCAACCTCATCAGATGATTTATGCTTCCTCTGCTAATAGTTTGGAACTTCACAACAAGAAAGGACGCATTTACATTAACTCTCTATGAAATAAATAGTTTTCAACAATAATCTCTGTCGCACTCAATTCATTCAACAAACATTAAAAAAATGTCAGCACAAGATATCTCATCTGTTCCTCCACTCTTTCAACCATTCAAAATTAGAGGATTGACTTTAAAGAATCGTATTGTAGTCTCCCCAATGTGTCAGTACTCATCGGTTGATGGATTTGCTAATTTCTGGCATGTTCAACATATTGGCAGTAGAATTGTAGGTGGAGCTGGTTTATTTATTGTAGAAGCCACTGGTGTTTCGGATATTGGTAGAATTTCACCAGGATGTTTAGGAATTTACAAAGATGAACATGTTGACATGTTGTCTAAAATTTGTCAATTTACACACGAACAGGGTGGACATATCGGAATACAAATAGGTCATGCTGGTAGAAAGGCATCAACTGGAAGATTGTGGGAAGCTCTAGGAAGAAAAGCATTGACAAATGAAGAAGGAGGATGGGACGTTGTTGGTCCATCTCCAATTGCATTTGATGATAATCACAAAGTTCCTGCAGAATTGTCCATTGAACAAATTCAAGAAGTGATTCAACAATTTGTGGATGCTGCTAAGAGAGCTGTTAAGGCAGGATTTGATGTTATTGAAATTCATGGAGCTCACGGATATTTAATTTCCTCATTCCTTTCACCAACTTCAAATCAAAGAACTGATGCTTATGGTGGATCATTCGAAAATCGTATTAGATTCTTGATTGAAATTGTTCAAAGAATTAGAGAGAATATTCCAACTGAAATGCCATTATTTGTCAGAGTTTCAGCTGATGAATACGTTGGTGAAGAGGGCTGGACCATGAAAGACACTACAGAGCTAGCAAAGGTTTTACGTGATTCTGGAGTTGACTTGTTGGACTGTTCATCTGGTGGTAATAATGCCAAAGCCAAAATTTCACCAATTGGAATTGTGCAAGGTTATCAAGTTCCATTCTCTGAGGGCGTCAAGAAATCAGTTGATGGATTGGCCACTGGTGCAGTTGGTAAAATAGTGGAAGCTAAATTTGCTAATGATTTAGTGAAGGATGGAAAGGCAGATTTAGTATTAATTGGAAGACAAGATTTGAATGATCCTTACTGGCCAATTAGAGCTGCTCAAGATTTGGATTACCCAGTCGCTGTTCCTCCTCAATACATGTTTGCATTCCCAAGAAAATAAAGATAGAGAACATTGTGTTTCTACATTGTAATAGGTCATGATTCTTCTTTCTCTTGTTTTTCAATTCTCAAACATGATAGATCATTTGAATTTTTTATTAAGGTAACAATTTCAACACATTTAGAATAATACTCAACCGTTCATTCATTATAATCTTACAAGCAACAACGTTAAATGTCTTCAAATGTATTCGACAGTAAAGCTTTACGTAAAATGCTCACTCCACAAATTTGTCTGTCTCAAGATCCAATAAGGAATGAATTTGCAAAGACCGTTTCGCCTTTTCCATGTATTTTGTTCCAAGCAGCAAAAAAATAAAACCACACAATCCCTTGTACATTTACTAATACTCTACACCTCAACATACACATTGTTGAATCGTATCTATCGCGATATTAGGAGTGTTATTTTGTTGTTTGTTGTTGTTGTTGTTGTATACTCATAGAGACTATACGGAACAGCACACGTTATTTGTTGTAAATATATATTGATGTTGTTCTCCTCCTTTCTATCTAGATAGTATTATTTATATATTTATATTATACATTCCTTCTCTACTTTTTATTAAAAGAAGAAAGGTAATCACGTTTGATTTTTAAATATGTCTCATTCTGCTGCTGCTAACAATCACTATTTCTCCTCCCTTCATCATCTAACCAGACAACAGCAACAACAATTTCAATCCATTTCTAATACATATTTCGGAGAAGTGAATTCCTATTCTAACCTTTCATCCTCTCCGCCTCTATCAAGTATGAGTTGTAATTCGAATAGCAACTCCAATACCGACATTCAAGAAACTATTAATAATAATAACAATATGATTAAAAAATCCTCACTCGATAACGTTGTCAGATACAATAGTAGTAATAATTCTGTGGAAGATGATCATACATATTCCGACTCATCTTCACAACATTTGTATGAAAACTTTTCCTTTAATAATTATTCATCACAACAACAATTAGCAGAACCATCATGCTCCGATCAATATGATATGTATGAACAAAATGAGGATGATTTTGAATTTCTTCAACAACATCACAGATCTCATCATGATCATCAACACTATCAATATGTGCAACATCCATTCATGTCATCCTCTCACACTGTTGCTGCAAATATGACCACAGGACAACCAATTTATGCAGCAAAGAGAGATGGTTTCATGGAACATGCCAGTATAGAACAAAACCACTATCCTTCCTTGTACTCGAGACCAATGATGAGGATTCACATCTTTCCTAATGGTAGTTTGCAACATGGAAAGATTGTTTCCTTCGATCCAACTGGTACTTCTTTTGAAGATTTAATAATGATGGTTTGCTCCAAGTTTAGATACACTCCTTTCAATGATATTGGAAGAAGTGATAATTCTGACATTTTGCCAAAATTAATTTCATTAAGAGGAACAGAAGTAGATGGCATTGATCAAATTGTCAATAATGATACATTTTGCTTCGTTCCACCGAACGAACCATTCAGACCACCTATTAGCATTGAGAGAGTTATTTTGAGTAATATTGATTCTTCTCAACAACGAGCCTACCAAGTCTATACCCCTCCTGCCACTGCAATTCCATCTAGAACAATTCTCAATCAGAAAGTTCAAAAGAATGCAGAAGAAATTCTCGTTGGTCCTCCACAACAACCAGTTGCTTCATCATTAGCATCTTTGGAGAGATCAAATATTGAATTGGCCAATGAATCTGTACAACCAGTTGGCAATAATACTGAAACTATTCTCACTCCAACCAAAAAGAGTAACAATAACAAATTTTCCAACACTTCTTCTCCAATCATTAGAACACCTCGCTCCCAAATTGTTTCTGTACATAGACCACATTCTTATCAAGTTACTACTATGGTTGATTCATTACCATTTGCAGGTAATCCAATACATTTTGCTTCCCCATCTCACTACACTAGCACTCCTCCAAGAACAAAGAAACAAGTTATCAGACTAATTCCAGAATTGTACTATCAAATTTTCTCATTCCTAACTCACAAGGAATTAGCTTTGGGTATTGGATTGGTTTGTAAAGAATTTGAAAGAGAATTCGCAAAGAATGAAATGCTTTGGAAAGAGATTTGTATGAACGTATACAGCTACTATGTCAAGAGAAAATATCAAAATGTTACTAATTCTAAATCATTAGACAAGTGTCCAAGATTCTTTTCTCAGACTCCTCTTAACGAGATTAAAAAACGATTCATGACTGTTTGTGAAAAACCACCATGTTATTACAAGTCATGGAAGACCTATTATAGATTCTTTATTAATTGGGCCTTGAAATTGTGTTGGGATACATGTGAAAGAGGTAACAATATCAAGTTCAAGAATAACAATGCCACTGTCTACAGAGAGGATAATATTACATATCATTGGCAAACTGTGAGAACTAACCTTCCAATCAGAATTCCAACAGAAATTGAAAAGAGAAAGAATGGATACATGACACTTCCTCTCATTTCACCATTGGATCTTGAAAATGGAGATGTGGATATTATCACTGATGATGTTGCAATTTTAGAAGTGGAAATTAAGATTGAAAAATTCGACAAGACTAACGCTAATGGTTGGTGGATTGTAATTGGATTGGAAACCGAAACCTTCCCTTACAAGGAATCCACACCAACCAATCTTGTAGGATATGATAGACATGGAGGTTTTGGATATGCAGGCGGAAATGGTGATAATTTACACTTTTATTCCAATACTCATCTCAAACATAAGCAAGCCTTCACATGTGACCCTGTCGTACAGTGGAATAACGTTCCATTCAATGAGGGAGATATTGTCAAGGCTCGTGTCAAGTACTACTTGAAAGCTTTTGAAGATGCTGTCGATCCAAAGAATAATATTGGTGCAACCCTCTCTTGGTATCTGAATGGTAAATGCATTGGTGAATGCTTTAGAAATATCACAGGCGTTCTTTATCCAGCAGTTTCTTTACTCACCAACCAATCTGTTACCCTTAGATGTGTTGATCCAATGTTTGAGCTCATCTCCAAAGATGTTGTCTTTGAATAAATATTTTGGTGTTCTGATGACTGCGTCTAAACATCTACTGCTGATTAACTAGTTGTGACTTATCAATTTTTTTTCAATTTCTTAACAGCATGAAAACTCCATAACAGTGAATATAATACAAATTTTACTATACAAGGTTAATCAGATGATTCTCTGAATGAGTAACTTTCTCTTGGATCACCAAAAGGACATTTCAAATGGAATTCAACTCCATCAAATCCTTGTGTTTCTTCTCTGAGAGGTTCCCATTTGGAAATGGATGGCTTTGCCAAATGTCTTAACCAAAAGGCACGATCAAATGACTTGAGCAACTTGAATTCACTTGGGTAATTCTCATCAAATAATGGATCAATATCATATAATTGTTGTACAAATTGATCTAATTGAATGTGATTTGTAAATTTGACATGCTTTTGATTTGAAGGAATGTTAAACTTTTTACGGAAACCATCTTCCAAGAAGAATTTCATACCACCCTTTCCTTTCAACTTCAATCTTGAGAAATAAGCACCCATAGCTCCTTGATAAATAACCTTCTTATCCACTCCAATAGCATCCAAAATATCGTCCACAAAATCTTGACAATTTCCACTCTTCTTTCCATCTCCTCCTCTATTCTTGTATTCCATAGTGGTATTCCACTTGATAATTACTTCTGCAATATTATCAACCATAGCATTAATGCCACAATTAGTAACTGAAAGTTCATCTGTTAAATCACATGCAACAAGGGCAGCAGAAGCTACCAACTTTTTAGGAACACACAAACTGGCATCAATCCACTCAAATTTCCAAGGTCCAATCAAAATAGCCGAGTGAAACATTCCCAATTCTGGTAAAAAGCTTGATTTTGCAAGTAAAGGACTCATAATTTGTCTGAATGCCTTCTTTCCTTTGCTTTCACAAATTTCTGAAACAATAATTTTAACTCTCAATCGATCTTGATTCATGAGAGATTTTTGAATTTCTAAATGTTCTGGAGAATTTAAATAATCCACATCCAATTCTTCATCATCAGAATCATCTTCCGTAACATCAATTGGTGCTGTTGTAACACCTTTAATTGCAATATCACCTTGTTCGCTCTTTGATGAAATTCCATCGAAAATTCCCTTTTTACCTGACGATGGCTCTCCAGAAGTTGATGAAATTCCCAACCCTGTAGATTGAGAAGTTTCCGAATAGGTTGAAATAGCATTAATGACCGTTTGTGCCCAATCAGTAGTCAAATAGAAATTCTTCAGTTTTTGTTTATCGGAGAGAACGAGAGCCAATTTGCTCATCAATACTTCATCTCCCTGAGCAGCATTTCTATAATATGGACTATCTTTGATCTTTTTCAAAACTGACTTGTAGTCTTGAGTTTGAATAAATTGTTCATCCGACATCATAGCGTTCACTGTGAAGGAAAGTTTTAATTAATTTTTTTTTCGGGTGATGAAAATTTTTTAAGTTCATTCGCATGACGTTGTGATGATCATCATTTGGGTGATGAAAATTTAAAATTGAAACTCTATGATTCTCAAATGGAGAATGTAAAAATACATTCTAGAGTTCTGCTCAATAGTGGATCTGATGATTTTGCTGACGATATGAAATTGTAATTCTACTGTAGATGAATTAATTAATATTATTTTTTATTTATTAAAAAAAATGAGTGTAATTTGTATTCAGGTTGGAGGTGCTGGAAATAGAATTGGATTAAGTGCTTGGGAACAATTATTAAGAGAGCATGAGCATTGTATTTTTCCTGATAAGTTTACAGAGGAAGAGAAGAGGCGTCGATTTAATTCGGATTATCAAAATGATCAAGATAAGGATGAGAAATATTTAAATGTATTTAGAGAGAAGGAGGATGGAAAATTTGTTCCTAGAACATTGTTTATTGATTTGGAAAGACCTATTTTGACAATATCAGAACTATCGGATTCAACTGGAGAGAATTTATTGAAATTAATTCAAGACCATGAAAGTGAATGCTCGGAAAGTAATTCATTGTTTGTGAGTGAAACTTCCTCTGTATTGGATTCTTCCTCTTATACTTATGCAAATGGAAGACACTCTTCTCGTTCAAAGAAATTATTGGAGATTGCAATGGAAAGGATTAGGTCCCTAGTGGAAAAGTGTGAATCTCCATTTTCCTTCATGATAGTTAGCTCAATTGGGGGTGGATTAGGATCTGGTTTTGTGAGCTTGTTAATGGATAGTATCTATACATCTTATTCAAAGACATACAAATGTGCTATTTCTATTTCCCCAGACTTCGAAAACGCAGGAGATAATGGTCCAATTGAGGCTTTGAATTCATTTCTCTACATGGGAAATTCAACTAATGGTTGGGATGCAAAAATATTTATGGAAAACAAAGCTATTGAGAACTTGTGCAAGAAAGAATTTCATTATTCATCAATGGATAGTGTGAATGAGCTCATTTCCTTGGTTATTTCAAATGTTACAGCCTGTAATAGATTTGAAGGACCCCTTTCTACGGATTTACAAAATCTTACACACAATTTTCCGTATCCAGTTATGAACATTCTGTATCCGTCATTTGGGCCAATTCATTCCTCAATGAAAACTGTTCCACATGGCTATGGAACAGAAATGTTCACATATGATTGCTTGGCCAGTCCCTTTATTGAATCTTCTGAAGGTTATACCATGTGCAGTTCACTACTGTACAGAGGTTATGTAGAACCGCGAACAATTAATACGGTAGTAAGAAAATTGAAAGACGAAAGGGCACTTAAATTTTGTAGTTGGAATCCGAGTGGTCTTAAAGTTGGGGCTGTGTTTCATAGACCTCTCTACTCTTGTAATTCAAATTTACTCAATATGCACATTACAGCATTCATGTTATCCAATTCAACTAGACTAAAATCATCCCTCGAACGCATCAAACATGGAGCCAATGAAATATTAACAATGAAATCATTGTTACATCATTTTCATTCTGAGGGTATGGAACTTGATGAGATAACAGAATTGACAGAAAATTTCGAAAGTCTTGTTGAGGGCTACCAAGAACTTAATGCTGAAGAAGAATTGGGACCTGATGAGGAATAGGATAATCATTAGTAACTCTAATATACTTCATTTTTAATGGTGAAGAGGATTCTCGATTCAATGTGAGGGTTGAATTCTTCAATTTCAAGTTTAACTATTCGCACAAGAACCAAACGGACATTCTTGAATTGTATTTAATACTACTACCCTCAATTTCAGAATCGATTCATTGTTGTAAACCAATTAATTGTGAATGAGGAAGAAAATCATTTTACCAGAATCAAAAAAACAATGCCTCCAAAAGAAGACGAATTTGAATTTAAGGATGAACGAGAGCCACAGGTTTCTCCATTATCACACTTTAAAATTTTACAAATTTTTGGTGGAAACTTGTTGTTGCTGTTGTTTGGAATTCTTGGGGCTGTTGGGTATGGTGTAATCCCCATTCTGTGTAATGTCTTCATAGGTATGTTGGTTACATTTACATGTGAATGTTAATTGTTATGTTAGGTGAATTAATTGACAGCTTGGCTGGAGCCAAATCTGTGGAGGAAGGCAAGTTTGTTGTTTCACAGGTTTGCATCAAGTTGGGAATTCTATCAGCATGTAGTGCTGTTGCATTCTTGTTACAGGATTTCTTCTTGCAAATATCACATGCAAGAATAGGAACATCTCTCAGAAAAGCATACATGCATGCCCTCTCCAAACAGGAGATGAGTTTCTTTGACATTAAAAAGATTGGAGCTATCACATCCATTCTTTCTGAGGATATTGGAAAAATTCAAGAAGTCTACACTACAGACCTCTCTATATTTTGCCAGGACTTGAGTCAGTTTGTGATTGGGTTTGTTATTTCTTTGACCATTAATTGGACGATGTCTTTGATTCTAGTCTCAACGATACCCTTGACCTTTATTTCCCATATGGTAATGTCCACAATCTCTACAATTATTACAAAGAGGATTAACAAGTTGACTGAAAATTCTTCTGCTGTATCCAATGAAATCATTTCTTCAATGAAAACTATTCGCTCCATGGCACAAGAATATTCAGAATTGAATCGATTCCAAAAAGATTTGGACAAGATTAACAGGCAGGGTGTTTTTAAGGGGTCTGTTCATGGACCTTTTCTTGCCTTTACTGCTGGACTTACATGGGCAACAGTAACATTGGGTTTCCTGTATGGTGGCACAACTGTTGCTGAGGGAAAGGCCACCATGGGATCAGTATTCCAAGTTTATGCGTGTTTCCTTATCTGGTGGACAAAAGCAACGTATTGCCATTGCACGTGCTCTTTTGCAAAACCCAAAAGTTCTCTTATTAGATGAGGCAACTTCTGCATTGGATAGTGAATCTGAAAGATTGGTTCAGCAAGCATTGGATGTTCTGATGAAAGGTCGTACTACTATATGTATTGCTCATAGACTGACAACTATTATCAATTCAGATATCATTTGTGTTTTGGTTAAAGGTGTTTTGGAAGAGAAAGGTAACCATTCAGAGTTAATTAGACTACCAAACGGTATTTACAAATCTCTTATTGAGAAGCAAATGGTATTCAATGAAGAACACAGCAAAAATCACGAAACAGCTAATGAAACTGTTGTTTTAGAAGAATAACTGATTCATATCTATTGCCAAGCTACAATTTCTGAAACATAAAGAAAGTTTACTAGGTACCTAATGATGCAAAGCTCCAAAATAATCAATTTGAAAATCAATCAACATAACAACAGATCAAAAAAAACATGTCTTTACTTGTATTTCACAGAAATTCTGTTAAATTTTTCAAATTTTCTCTTCTCGGTTCGAATATTAAATCGAACAAGACATTTTCCAATAGAATTTCATTAATCTCCAAAGTATCTTTCTCCACTTTCGACAAGAAAGCAGCCACTGAACTTTCCGATAAAGGAGCATTAGCATTTGCCAACAAGAATTATGAAGAAGCTCTGAAATTCTTTTTACAAGCAAAAGAAGCTTGTATTTCACTGGTTGTGATATTACGTGTTGCCAATTGTTATGAACGTTTGAATGATCGGCGGGGTGCCTTTCATGAGTATCAAATAATTATTCGATTCTATGAAAATTCACTTGATGAAACGAGAAGAGCAATGTCTTCATATCAGGAATGTTATGTTATGGCATTGATTGGGGCTGGACGAAATAATTATTTAAATAGCGAAGAAGCAATGGAATATTGGAGGAAAGCTTCTCAATTTAAAAACATTCCAAACCACATTCTTGGAAATAGTTTAATAGCTGGCTTGTATTATCAAAAAGGAAAGTATAGAGAGGCCATTCAATACTATACGAAATCTATTCAAGAATTAGAAGGTACAACTGAATATTCTGATATTTTAAATGCAAGCGACAATTACTTTTTCAAAGGAATGAGTCATGTATCTTTGGATGAACCTGAGCTAGCCATTCAGGATTTTTCAAGACTTATCAATGAATATCGAGATGGTACAAATCCAGATAGTATTTTGAATGATAATGAGAATAGATCTATGGCCTACATGAATAGAGGTCTTTGTTATTGTGCATTGGAAAATTTTGAATTGGGATTTAAAGATCTAGAGGACTCTCTTATTGAATGTGATAGCGATGTGAATATTATTTATGCAGTAGCTCAGGCATACTATATCAGGTACACTGAAACAGGTTCAAATGAGTTGAGAGAAAGGTCAATACATTTCCTCAATAAGATTCTAGAAATAGATCCAAAACATTTCAAATCTCAACAATTTTTAATGGAACTAGCAAAGGGTGAACATTCACCTAATTCTAATTGAGAGTGAATAAAATTAATCGTTTTGGAAGCTGGTTAATTTATTTTTAATACCTTTCCAACTCCAATTATTAACTTTCCATTCATTAAGATGATTCGTCCAAGAGTTTCATTTCGTTCAAATGTTTCCAGGTAACAAGTTTTGGATTCTTTTGATATGACTGGTCGTAATCTTACTTCTACAAAGTCTCCTTTTTTGAGTTTGTTTGGATATGCTTCTATTTTCTTATTGGTTTTTGGATTTACAGTGGCTATAATATCTTCTATTTTACAAATACATTGATTAGTCACAGAATGATAAAGTTTGAAAGTATATCCAACCTTAATTCCATTCTTTGGTTGATTCATAATCTTGATTAGGGCTCTGAAGGATTCCACAGCTCGTTTTTCAGTCTCCAAGTATGCCTGATCGTGAACTATGAAATGGGATTCAATCTCTCTCGCAGATACATGTTTGATATTGATTCCACAAAATTCTCCACAGATAGCTTCATTACGTGGCTCGAATGCAATTTCAATAGATCTCAATGGGTTTGAATAATCATCTCTGTAATAAACTTGTTGATCTACTTGAACTCTGCCAGTAATTATTTTTCCAGCCACCACTGTTCCAACGCCAGCAATTTTGTACTTGTCCAATATAGCCATCATTAGAGGTTTTTCAATCCATTCCTTCCGTGGCTCAATATTAATTTCTTTCAATACAGACTCGAGTGACTTTCCTTGTGAAAACTCATCACCAATTGGTGTGAATATATTTTCATTCTTTACACATGAAACTGGAATGAAAGGAACATTTTTCCACAATAAAAAAGTACTCAATTTTGATTTGATTTCCTCCAATCTTGAATTCAATTCAGACTCTGGCAATAAATCACATTTTGTTAAACAAACAATCAAATTGGTCAATCCAACAGCTCCAGCCATTTGTAAGTGAGTTCTTATATTTCCAATTGGATTATTAAAATCCCTTTCAAATACTCCATCCGTTACATCCACAACCAATACACAAATATTTGACAGCCAAATAGCCTTCATCAAACAGTCCATTTTCTTCTTCCGTGATGTAGATACATCCAATAGGGACATTAATTGATTTTCCTCTTTATATTGTTTATGAGTTATTGCAATTTTAATTCTCCCTTCTCGCTCAGGAGAGGAAACATGAGATGCATACACTCTGTAAGCTCCCAATCGATCGGTCTGATATGCCAACATATTCTTTGCAATTTGTCTCTCAGCTGGATCAGCAAATCGACCCACAAGTGTTGTTTTTCCCGAATGTACATCTCCTATGAATGAAATAATTTTTTGTTGGAAGGGTTTATTGTTGTTGTGTGGTGAAAGCATGGCACTCCTTTGTTGGCTATTTTTTTTGGTTTTGTAAACAATGATGCAATTTGGAGATGGTTTATTGCTGTGTGTGAAAAACTAACTTAATAATAAGTTTTGCTTGAAAGTTCTCTGACAGGCACATCCTCAAAAGTTGAGGTATAAGTAATTGGAGCTTGTCTTTGGACTTTTCTTCTTCTGGTTGGATCAGAACTATTAATTTGTTGCATGCATGTAAAGTCAATATGATAATTATCCATAATTGGTACTGTTGTTGGAGCGGTTGAGGATGTTAGGTAGCTTGTGGAATCACAATACTTTCTATAGGCTAATTCAATCTTGTTAGAAATAAGCATACTATAGTTTTCATAGGTATGTGCTGAAATATTCTTTTCCCAACTCCAGATGGCTGTGTATGTTTGTTTACCCACTCTCTTTTTTCTTGTCTTATTTGGCTGTAAAGTAGTAGCATAATTATAGGCGTCACTATAAAAGTTTGACATTACAGGTTTGAAACTTCCAATTTTTTGGGAACCTGGGTTGATTTGTATCCATTGAATCTTTTCACTTAAATTAGAAGAGTTGGATGTATCATTAATAATTGTTTCAACATCATTTAAAGCAAATATATAGTATGGTTTCCAGTTTGGAATTTTGGAAATTTTTTGGAACAATTCAACCCTTCTGGAGAACCTTTGAAATAAATATTGTCCTTGATTTTCGTTTCCAAAAAAGATGTTAGATAAACGATACACTGGAATGTCATCATAGTCTGATTTGAAATCCTTGTCGAAATATTTCAATAACCTTTCTCTTGCAATTTGTTTTTCCAATGCCTTATTACGCTCAAATTCAGAGAGGATGTAAGATGTTTTTGGTGATTTGTTAGCGTAATCCATCAGTAATATTTTTGCCAGACCATGAACGTCAATATGTTGTGATCTGTATGTTCTAGGGAACATTAGGAAGTGATTTTTGATTTTTCCAGGATCATAACCAGGAACAGAGACTGAGAATCCACGACGAGCATACTATTTGAAAATTAATTTTGGTTTGATATTCGTTACATACCTTGTAAAGTCTGGCTTCATAAGAAGTGGACATTCTGTCTGGATCTATGAGATTGGTTTGTTGTGCTAAAGCTCTTCTTGCTCTAGCATTCGACCATACTTGAGAACCATCATAACCCACACTAGAAAAGTTAAAAACTAGTACAACTAAAATATAATACTTACCAAGCAGCACAAATATCAAAACCTAATAATATTTCAGCTGGAGATTTGTACAACCTTAAAACAACTTGAATAATTTTTTGGGCGTAGAATGTTACAGTAAATTGAGTTCTTACAACAAGAATATCCTTTCCAGAATTATTCTTAATAACTTGATAGATATGACGGAGTTTGTCTTCAGCTTGTTCAGGAGTCAATGCATACAGGAAAAGATCGATATCTGAATCTTGGAATTCAGTTGGAGGAGTAGATAAAGGAGCTGATGGAGAGTCAACTGTAGAACCAAAGAGGGAGGAGGAGGGTGTTGCAGTAGGCATAGTCATTGTAAGTGGCATTCCTATTGTCATTGGAGGTGTGGCAGTAGGCATAGTCATTCCCAAAGTAGGCATTGGATATGTAGCAGTAGGCATAGTCATTGCAAGTGGCATTCCCATTGTCATTGGAGGCAATGTGGTGCTACTTGACAAAAGACTTGAAATACTAAAGGCTGCTGGTGTTTGTTGAACTGCACCAAAAATACTTTGAGTTCCATACAAACTTGTATGTTGTTGATGTTGATAGGTTGTTGGCATTGTGCTCCTATTTCTGAGTTGATTAAACTGGTAGTCTGAATATTGATAATTGTACGGTAATTTCATATATTCACTTGAGGAGGGTGTCTCAATGGTGTCTTTAATTGTTTGAGTGACTTGAGCAACAGTTGGTTCTTCAAAACCTTCTTCCTCATCGTCACTGTCTTGCTTTTCTCTGAGAGTTGGCTTCGATTTATCATTTTGGTTACCATACCTTGTAGAAATAAATTTTTTGTAAGATTTAGCATTATTTCCCTCTAATAAACAACCAAGAACCATACCACCTGCAGCAAATACATTATTCCAATCAAGACCTTCTAATAAACCAGATGTAGCAAACTTCCATGAAGATTTGAAATATTCAAGGGATTTAACCATAACAGGCTCTGAGACATATCTTGAATAGCTTGGTGCTTCACAAAAGTTAAGTAATTTTGGACAGTTAGGAATTTTGTACTTGTCTTTGGCTAATCCATCAATTTGATGTCTCAGGGCAAAAATAGGTGCCAACAACAAATACTTATCTTCCAATATTGGATTACTTCTATCCTTAACGAATAACTCTCTTAGATAGTCTTCTTGCTCTTTAATCTTGATATTTTCAGTACCAATAGTTTCAACAGGGTATCTACATTCGTCAAAATATTCATTGATAAACTTGTTAAGTCTATAGAATTGAGCCTCGTGTTTCAAACGCTTCTTATTGGATGGTGTCAATAAAGGGAAATTGTTGAAATTTCCACTGATGAGATAACTATAGATAATTTGGAATAGTTCTGGATTTCTATCAATAAAAATTGTTCCCTTTGAAGTTAATGCAAAGTTTTCAGAAAGGATAAAGTCGTACACAATAAATTCTTTGTGTACCTTGAAAATTTTGAATGGAATGTTAAAACAAGTACCTGAAACATCCAACTTGATGTTCAAATCACTTTCATTGTTTTCACCACCATCCATAAACTGCACCAATTTATCTCTGAGGGAGTTGGAAAAGTCAATGATTTGTTGCTTTGTTAAATTAATTTGAGCTTTGGTAGTATCAATTAATTCGAACATTCTTTCCTTGTTGGATAGGTCAAACTTTTTGAATTGTTCCAACCACTCAACTGGTAAACTGGTTTTAATTGGAATTGGTGCATCAATAGTGGATTTAGCAGATTGGGAAATAGCAGTAGAGGATTGTGGTACAGATATCATACTTTCCGCAATAAGGTTTTCTTGTTTCTTTAACAAAAGCTTGTCAATATAGTTTGTTAATTTGTCAGTGAGGAAAAATTGAGATTCCTCTTGGATACCTGTTAACTTTTCAAAACTCAATTCTTCCAAGCCTAAACATTTAACTCGTCCATTCGCTCTCAAATGTTCAAGTATATATTCAAAGTTATCTGGATTTCTATCTTCAAAATTAATTGCTTTGATACCATTTTCAGTAGTTACATATTGAATTGAAAAAGTAGAAGAAAACATGACTTTGAATAAATTGTCACTCTTCTTGTCAAGATCAGCTGGTTGATCATTTTGTTGCTTTTCTGATGAATTCTCGAGAATAAGTCCCTCTCCGGAAAGTGTCTTGATTGTAGAATAGAATAATCTACCACCAACTTTTAACACAATATTTTCATCAGCTTGCATACGCTTGATTTGCTTTAATCTCTTGTCATCCACTACAGCAGCAACAGCAGAAGCTTTCTTATCATCGGATTCATCCAATACCAATTTACCCATCAATTTACTCATAAAAGTTTCCATCGATTTTTCCAAATTCAACTCTTCCATCTCCCTCGTCAATTCATCAATTAACTTTTGTTGATCAGCATCTCTCTTCTCGAAATATTCAACAATTTGCAAAGATTCTTCATCCAAGCCAGCAGAAATAGAATCAACCACTTGTTGTGATGCTGATGAGCCAGCATCTTGTTCTTGTTGTTGTTGCTCTACCACATTTTCTTCTCTCTTTCTCTTTGGTGATGATCCGAAGATCGATGATGAGCCCAACATATGAATTTTTTTTTGTTTATTTTTTCAAAGTTTGATTGTAATCCAAACGCGCAATCCAGAATTAAATGGAAAAAACAAGTTTTTTTAATGTTCATTGAAGATTTTCTTTTATTTACAATATGAATAGTTTTGGTGAATTCGAATTGGGTTTAGTCATGTCTTTTAGTGACACGAAGCTTGAGATTTTCAGGTTTGTGAGTAATTCCATAGCTGTCATAGACTGGATCAATTGCTTCATTATTCAACAATTCAAATTCATAATTTTGTAAGAGCCTGACTAATACCATGCAAATTTCAATACTTGCAAACTTGTATCCAATCTGTTTCGAATAGAAAATTTAATGGAATAATTGATAAGATTAATGAAAAAATCAATTGAAAACTTACACATTTTCTATTACCCATGCTGAATGGAGTGAAGGTGAAATCGGTTTGATGTTTGTCCTTATCTTCCTTTGACAAGAATCTTTCTGGTTTGAATTCGGTTGGTTTCTCCCAATTCTTTTCACTCAAATGGGAACCAATCAACATTGGAATGACAGAAGTTCCCTTTGGAATCTTCAACCCTCCAATAGTTACATTACTCTTGCATGCTTGCTTGAAAACAATTCTCACAATATTGTGCAATCTCAAAGTTTCCATTATTACAGCATTTACATATTCGAATTTCTCATAATCGGCAAATGTTGGTGATCTTCCATTCAAAACTCTGTCAATTTCATCTCTCATCTTGAATTGGATTTCCCTATGTTTTGCCATTTCATAGGCAACGTATTGTAAGGTATTGGAACTGGTCTCTGTTCCAGCAAGCAAAAAGATCATAATATTAGACTTGAGTTCTGTATCGGTCAATTCTTTGGTTTCGATATTTGCCTCAACTAACATGCTTAAGTAAATCCCCCAAACTTTCAGAATCGTCATCAGTTTCGTCTGTTAACATTCTAGCTCTTTTTTGCAAGCACATTTCACTTCTTTGCTTGATGAGTGTATCAAGAGCTTCACTACAATAATCAACGGCTTCTTGTGTTCCAGTAACTTTCAATAATAACTTCTCCAATTGAGGTGTGGATTCGAAAAATCTCTTAATAATAGTTGCGAAGGAAATGACAGTGTCTGTGGCAGCTCTCAATTTTCTTCCTTTTTGAATGTCTTGTTCACTTGTTCCTTCCTCATTGAAAATGGAGAATGAAACACCAAATCCTGCCTTTCCTAAAGTATCAACAGTGATATCTGTGAAATCAGCAAAAGCATTGAAATCAAAACTTCCATTTTTGGTAATTTCAGGATCCCATTTTTGTTCAGTCAACATATCCACACTTTTGGTAGCAACTTTGGACATGTAATCTAAATTCTTTGATGAAAATGCAGCATAACATATATTGTGATGTTTCTTCCATCTATCTGTATTTGGAGCTGACAAGATATTCTCACCGAAAATATTGAACAATGAGTAGGCATAGTCTGGTTTCTCAAAATTATGAGCCTTTGTAACGTACAACTCCTTCAACATGTTTCTATTTGTGATATAGAGCTCATTGAGGAACATACTTGAAACTCTAAGATAGCCAGCTTCTTTATCACCCTTCTCTTCAATATGTTTCAATAGCTCTCTCTCACCTGACATGTAAACATAGGTGGAGAGTAATGGAATCTTGATTGGAAGAGTGGCAACCTGCCAGACACCTTTCAAATGTTTAACTTTGGAGACATTGTTGTAAATCATGAGTCCTGCAATGACTGCAAGGAAAATAAAACCATAAAGTGATATTTCGAAAAGAGTTTCGAGAGAAAACATGTTTGATTTGATTTTTTTCTGTTTGAATTGTTGGACTTTGCTTTCAATCTTGTATTTTAAATATTTTCTGTTTCCTCTCCAAATTAAGAGAGGAAAATGTTTCCTACCCAAATATGGAGAGGAAAAACTACAAGCACAATTAAAAGCTCAACTTAGTTTATTTGAATGAAGGACAATAGGAAGAACATTACACAAGCCAATAATAAACTAGCAGAGAATGAATGTGATGAAATTCCCTCATTGACCTTATTAGAAACAGTTCCATTAACTGTTTTTCCAGAAGTTGTTGGATTGGTTGTGTTTTTAGATGGACTGCTTGATGATGTTTGAGGAGTTGGTTGTGTAGAGGATTCTGGAGTTGGTGGAGAAGGTCCTGGATTTGTGGTATTACAAGTAATAGTTGGAACCTCATCGAATGGATTCCAGAATGGGCAAACTTTCGAATACATGGTATTATTCAAGACATTTCCTCCTGTTTGAAGAATAATTTGAGTATCATTGCAGGTTGTGTAACGTTCCCAGTAGGTTTGATTATTCAAGTTGACTAAATTCTTTGCATTCTTATTTGGACTTCCTGAAGAAACAAAGTTTGACCAATAAACAATCAATTGTCTGGAGAGCTCAGCTTCATCACTATTCATTGTGTAAACCTTGACAGCTCCTCTAATTCCAAAAAGATATGGGAATTGCAATGGTAGCTCAATAGCATGGGCACTCTTCTGACAAGCAGGAGTGTATGAAAAGAAATGATCATAAGTATACATATAGGTATTGTAAACTTGTTGTGAAACAGTTGCTGCCAAATATCTAGTATTACATTGAACATTTGAATTACTCAAGATATCATTCAAGTAAGCCAAATTATTGGCATAATTGGCCTGTGTGTAATAATTTGCAAGTTGAGGATAGAATTGTTGCATCTTGGAAAGTCCAAAATAGCCAGTAAAAACACCTTTCATTTGAGTGTCTGAAATGGAATTTGATAGAATTCCACATGTGAAACCGTTCATTTCATTTCTTGTGACACCAATCAAGAGATTGACCTTCTTATAGAGTCCACTATCGTACGAATCGAAAATATCCCTCAAGACAACATAATTGTCAACTGTTGGTGAAAATTTGTCAGAGGTATTGTATTGTTGATAGATATTCAAAGAATCGGCACTCAATCCTCTCAAACATGCTGCTGTGGTGCATCCAAAGAATGTTTTCAAATTGGAGCCAAATCCTTGGGCAGTACTTTGTTGAATTTGCATATTCCACCTGAGAGAAGTACCACTTTGAACGATAGCTCCCTAAAAAAATATTTTGTAAACAATTCGAATTCAATTTGTTGACAATTTCACAAACTTACCTTAATATCAGTATAATAAGAACTTGATGTGTTGTAAAGGAGAGGACTAGTAAGCATAATAACACTTGAAACAGCACCAGCTGATTCTCCTGATATGGTAATCTTATTTGGATTACCACCAAAATTTGCAATATTCTTTCTGACCCATTTCAATGCAGTCAATTGATCCAACAAACCGAAATTAGTATTAGTTCTGCCATTTTCAGAACCAAACAATGAATCAGTCATAAATCCAAACACACCCAATCTATAATTAATGGTAACCACAACAACTGGAACATTATTATCCTGACTCAACTTGACCCAATAATCTCCAGCATAGATATTTCCAGAACCGTAAATAAAATTACCACCATGAATCCAAAACATGACTGGATATTGATTAGTTGCAGATGCATCAGCTGGAGTCCAAATATTCAAGAATAAACAATCTTCACTTGCTGGTTGACTATACACATTTTCACCACTTTGTTGAATGCAAATATTTCCATAAGTGGTTGCATTTGTAACTGTGCTAGATGAAGTATCGGCCAACTCAACAGGAGGTCTAAATCTATTGTTACCACCCGTAGTTTCGGCATAACGAATACCTAAGAAAGCTTTTGTGTTGGAATTTGCCATGTAACCTTTAACTTTTCCTTGTAAAGTTTGGACTGTGAGCTCTTGTCCGTTAATTAAAGTTAAGCATGTGATTGCGAGAAGGGAAATGGCAAGAAGGAATGTCAGTTTGTGGAGCCACATTTTTTTTGATAGTTTCTCCTTGATGATCGACAGTTTCACACACGGAAAAAAAGGTTCACTCAATTTCGAATCAGCAAGTGAACTGGAAAGTGAAAGTTCTAGTTCTAAGAACTGCTATGCCCTGCAACATGATAAGAATTGTAATCATTTAGGAATATCGTCTCTTCAAATTCTCCTTTATAATCAAGAGTCAATTAGAGATTTTTTGGAAATTACATTGTAAACCATTCCCTAAACATCACAACTGTAATATTTATTGATTGGCTGGTCTCTTTTTTAACACTGATCTAAAATCAACTTGAGCAGGAGGTGCTTGAGCAACTTGTTTCTTTTCAAGCATGGCTAGTTTATCCTTAAGGGAACCTTTTGATGTGGAAGTATCATTGGCACCTTCATCTTTAACTGCTGTAACAAATGGTGACTCTGTTTGTCTCAAAATTGGTGAGCCAAGAGTTGCAAATCTGAAACTTTCTGCCTTCTTTGGAGTAATGACTGGAGAAAGATCATCTTTTGGTTCTTCCTTCTCCCTTTCTACAACAGATGGACCTTCTTCGGATTTGTTTTCCTCAGTCTTTTCTGATTTAGTTTCTTCACATTTTGGGGATTCTTCATTCTTTGCCTCTGTATTGGTTTCGTCAACAACCTTCTTGGTTTCAGTTTCTTCCTCTTGTTTCTTTCGTTCTTCTGACTTTTTGAATTTAGATATCGAGAATCCAGCAGGTAAGGTAGCACTATGATGATGAGGTGATCCAAAAATGGTTGGTTTAAGTTTTCCACTTGATGGAGAACTACATCACTATTAAACTTTCTCTCAAATAAACTCTTCTTTCCTTCAACTGAAGGTTCTGTTTTAGTTGGAGTAGCTGATACATCAGAAGTTGTTTCATTGGTTGACTTCTTCTTTAAAGCACTAGCCCAAGGAGGTGCTTGAGGGGTTGTTTTTTCTTCAGCAAGTGGAGTCTTTTCTCTAAGGGCCCAACTAGGTTTCTTTGGAGTTTCTTCCTTCTTCACCGAGGATTCATCTTCATCAGTAACAGCTTTCTTTAATACAATAGGAGTGGAAGATTTCTTCAATTTAATTCCTTCCAACATGGATTGATTCATCATGAACATTGGTTGTGGCTTCATTGGTGTGGTTTTGGTTTCTGGGATCTCTTCTTCCTTACTGAATTCTTTCACATCAATTTCCACATGTTGCTCAAAGAAAGTGTCTGCCTTTTTAAAGAGCTACAAAAGACTTTTAGAATTTCATATAAATAAATTGAGACTTACCAGGTCAACACATTCTCTCGATCTTTCCTTTCTTTGTGGACGCTTAGACAGGGATTTCTTTGGAAGAGATGGCAGTGGATTCAAAGTTGTGGAGTCAAAAACAGAAAATATTGATTCTGATACAGGTGGTGATGATTCTGAACATGGCGTGGTTTGATCTTCAATTGGTGGTTGTTCAGTGTTGATATTGTCGGATTCAATAGGTTTCGAATCAACTTCTTCCATTATTGATTCTTCCACAACTGTTTCTTCAACTATTGGTTGAGAATCTTCAATGATATCCAAATGTACAGGTATTGGTGGAGGAGGTCTATTTGGTTCCTCTATTTGAGATACAGGTGATGTCTCAACAATTGGCTCCTCAATGATTGCTTCTTCACAACTATTTACAGTTTGATCTTCATAGTATGCTTGTTGATCGTCTCCTTCATAGTAAGCTTCCTGTTGAGATTCTTGAGTTTGCTCTTCTGTTTGATATTGTTGTTCATACCCATAAGCACCATCTTGTTGCTGGTCATCATAATTGTATGCTTGTTGTTGTTCGTCATAATATTGTTGTTCGTCATAGTAAGCTTGTTGATTTTCATCATAATATTGTTGATCCTCTCCCTCATAGTATTGATCCTGTGGCTGCCCCTCTCCATCATAATAAGGAACATCATTACCTTCCTCATAAAATTCTGGATCGATTTGAATGACTGGCTCTTCGACATTAGGAGGAGGACGGAATGGTTTTTGAGGAGGAACAGGTGGCAGTGGTTTTACATTAAGTGGTGAAGTGGTTGTTGTTTGACTTTTAGAATGTTCTTCCTCACTCACAGCATTCTTTGCAGCTACAACTTCTTCAATAATCACTGGAGGACTGGTTACCTGTGGTGGTCTTACTCTTGGAGGCGGAGGAGGTGGCTTTTTTGGATCGTAAGGCATGTTGATGATGAAATTGGTTTTCTTCTTGTTTCACTCCTATATTGTCAGAGTATTATAAATTAAGGAAGTTGTTGATGGTAGATTTTTTGTTTTTTTCTCAATATAAGTATTGCAAATAGGAGGCATCAGGAAGAGATCCACCTTCTCTCTATGAATTAATTGAGGTTTAATATTGGATGGTTTCAAAGACAATTTTGACTATTTACTATTGCACAGACTCGGACTCAAATCCAAGAGAGGAAGTTGAAGAGTAAAAGGAATAATTTTTTCTCAGTTACTCCTTCTTCAAATGAACAACTTGTAAAATTGCTCATGATTTTGATAGGTGAGATGAGTTAGATCTTGAAATTTCAAAACGAACAGGGAGAATACCAACGGCCCTTATTACTTTACACTGCTTTACAGTTTCTAACTACTTAAGAAATTCAGATTTGATAATGACACCATTATAATGGCGAAACAAATTACAAAATGATAGAAATGGTTTCAAGGTGATTTTTCAACATGACCAAACAATAATAAAATCGCCTTGAAACCAACCAACTTTAAGCACCCTTAATTGTGCTGGAACATTAAACAATATTCAACCTCATCATCACATTGGCAACCTTCTTGTACGCTTAAAACACTTAAAAAAAATATATGGGCAGTTTGGTCTTACTCTTTCTTGGCAATGACAAAATCATTTGATGAAGAATTTTTGGAAATATCGGAAATGATTCAACAAGAGGAAGGGTCGAAAAACAATCAACCCAACATGGAAAAAATCCCAACCGAACTGATGAAAAATCATTTGAGCAAAAAGAAGCTCAATGCAATTAACCACTTGAATGTATCATTTTCTGGTACAAAAGACGAAACTTTACAACTAGCCATGAATAATAGGCAGACTATTACAAACTTTAGAAATGAATGTTTGTCTATTAATGAATTAACAGAAAATGCCTTCACCAATACAATCAAGGCGTTTAATAGTTTGAAGGAGAAGTTTAAAATTTTAGAAACAGATTCGAATTCATTCTCTGTACTCTTCAGTCATTTCGTTACACCAAACATTTATCCTACTGGAGAGGTATCAGAGTTTCATTTGTCACAAATAAGGTTTAGCAAGTTGCTGTTGTTGCCAACACTCTTCAAATTTAAGAAGAATGCGTAAGTTATCTACATTTTGTTAATACTTTACATAAATAAGAAACTTGGCAATTTCCAATTGCATTAACGTTGATGAGTCACCATTTCACGAAAAGATATTTCAGCTGTTGCAAAAAAGTGAAATACTAGACAATGTTTCAGTGTTGCAAACAGACAATCCATATTTGGGACAAGATTTCGTTAGGATGAAGTTTGTACACGAAGACAAGATAGTATCAAATGCCATTCATGACAATTTTATAAAAGTGGTAGCAATTCTCAGATATGCCCATAGCTCCTTAATGCAATTTATATCCTCAAAAAAAAAGGATCCAGAATTGGAAAAATTGTATTCATATGGATTGCTTCTTGATGAAAACCATGTACAAATTATTGGAATGCATGCCAAAATAGTAGACCAAAATATACACTATGAACTGGTCAGCAATGGTGTCTATCCTCTTTTTCCAAACACTGCTCAAGAACATGAAAAGCATGATTTGTTAATCTCATTTATTCTACAAGCCTCTTCTTTCAACGAAAGTGAAATAATTACAAATTTGAAATCTGCATCTGACATAACTGAACGTGGGCTTACCAGCGAGACAAAGTCATCTAGCTATGAAGTTAAGGAGGGAGAAACACTAATATTTACTCTGGAATCAAATGAACTACCAAACTTACAAGCTTCTGTTTTCATTGACAAGGAGCAAAAGAGTTTTTCAGATATGAAAAAACAAATATTTATGGGGAAATTAGAACACAATCAATATCCAGTGATTGTTAAAGTATTCAGACAACCCACATCAAAATTACAGAACTTTTTCTATTCCCCTCGCTTCCAAACATCTATTTTTTTACCTACCGTATATTTGGACCCAATTTTAAAGAAGAGAAGTACTGATACCATTAAGGATTGTATAATGGAAGTTTCATTATATGGAAATGTTTTGAATATCAATCAAGTGATGGAAAACAAACTGGACACTTTCAAACAATTATTGTTCGAATTGCATAGAGTTCATTCACAACATATTATTCATAATGATATCAAACCAAGCAATATTGTTTTATTTGATTATCAAGGAAGGAAAACTTACAACTTTATTGATTTTGAAATGGCTCGTTTTTTTGTGAAAGAGAATGGAGATTGTACATTCCTCTCCTTTGATACTTCTCGAAGTGCAATTATTAAATCCAAAGCAGGGACACAACAATACAATCCACCTGAAAAATTAGATGGTGGAGACGGATGTATCCATCCAAAAACGGATATCTATTCGCTTGGACAAGTTTTTATTGAGATAATTGTTGGAAGATGTTCAATGGATTCCATTATGAATCTTAATAATATTAAAGACCGTTGTAATGAAATTCATCCTGATCTATTCGAAATGCTTCAAAAAATGGTTAATTCAAATAGAAAAGAAAGACCAACAGCACTTGAGTGTTTGCACATGCTTGGCGCAAATATTGATTCCTTTATTCCAAACAACTTTTCAGATTTGTTTTTTCCAAAAGACAACAACAATTCCTTAGTAACCATTGACAAGAAAGAACTAAATCTTGACCATCAACCAATAATTCAATCAGATGTTAATCTTTCTGAACAAGAGGAAAGCTCACCTCTTTCACCTTGTTGCTCATGCAACAAGACCGTCAAATGTGCCAACAGTAGATGTCCATGTTTCAAATATAATAATGCTTGTACTAATTGTACTTCCGCAAACTGTAAAAACAATAAGAAGAGAAAGCTTAAAGATCAAGGAGGTAAAAAGAAAAAGAAATAACTTCAAATAATTGAACTCTGAAACTTCACTACATATGCGTTTGTAGGATATTTTGATGGAATGTATTAATGGGGAATCAGTTCAACACAATGGAGGTTAAGCCAACTCATTCATCGAAATGTTGTAAATGATTCCACCAATTAGGTCATGAAATTGATGTACTTTTAATTGACAAAGTAAAATCATTATATTTGTTGAAACCTTTCTATAGGTAAGTTTCTAATCAAGAAATCAAACCAGAACCAATTCAACCCAATTCTAGTCCTTACTAAGGAAGTCAACTTTACTTCCTCCATCATGCTTCACCATCTCAATACTCACTACCTTACTTATTCGAATCCTCCTTATCACATCAATGTTTTATTCTCTGTATAAAAACTTCTTCTCCAGTACTCTCAAGAGGCACAAAATCCGAACCACACAAAAGGAGATTAGATTTTTTTCCTTGTTAGCTGAGATCTTTGTCCGTTGTTGTTTTACTCAACGTCTCAAATTGACACCAATACGAAGAAGAAGAAAACAATCCTCTTGATATATTATTAAATCTATTGTTCAAAGTTATATTGTGTTTCTTATTCTCAGGCAGAACCGGATCCGTCCAATCAAATCAACTAACTCGTCATCAAAACCAATAGGAAGAGAATATTTTCCAATTGTATTAGCTTCTTCTCAGAAGGCAACAAATTAGAATCAAGACCATTAAAAAAATGTCATACTCCTACCTATTCAAATACATTATCATTGGAGATACAGGTATGTTCGTAGTTGTCGTAGCGAATGCTGAAGGCTGAAACAATTTTACTGATTGTCGATTTTTACATCTACTTGATTGGAATTTACATTGATGATTATAATTTTGATGATGGTTGTTATTATATCAAATGTATTATTGTTGATACTTTACTTGCAATAATAATAATAATAACTTTGATGATCCGTTGTGATCTGTTCAATTTGATGATGATTAGGTGTTGGAAAGTCATGCCTGTTACTTCAATTCACCGATAAACGTTTCCAACCTGTTCACGATTTAACCATTGGAGTTGAATTTGGAGCAAGAATGATAAATATTGATGGAAAACAAGTCAAATTGCAAATATGGGATACTGTAAGTAATTTTAAATACTCTGTAATAGATATTCACCATCTTCGACAACAACAAAATTATTTCCATGTATATTTGTTTAATGTTTTATTATTTCTCCGAACAATAATAACAAATATAATTCTAAATCATACACTAAAATAATAACATAACAAATAACAACAACAATAGGCTGGACAAGAGTCTTTCAGAAGTATTACTCGTTCATATTATAGAGGCGCTGCTGGAGCTCTCCTTGTTTACGATATCACAAGGCGTGAAACATTCCATCACTTGACAACATGGCTTGAAGATGCTAGAAGACACTCTAACTCTACAATGACTATTATGTTGGTAGGAAATAAGTGTGATTTGGATTCGAGACGTGCCGTCTCTTACGAGGAAGGCAAAAAGTTTGCTCAACAACATGACTTGATTTTCTTGGAAACAAGTGCCAAGAATGATGAAAATGTGGAGGAAGCTTTCAACTATACTGCCAGAATTATAAATGAAAAGATTGAAAAGGGTATTATCGATGTCACCAATGAAATGAATGGTGTAAAGGTAGGAAATGCTCCTACTGCAACAACAAATCTTTTGGAAAAGCCAACAACATCAGAACCAAAAGGAAAGTGTTGTGGATAATTTAGTTAACTTATTTTAGTAATACTTTAAGTGTGACCTTTTCGATCTGTATTGTATTTCATTCCCTTCTTAATTATTTTCAATTTGCGTTCGTTCTCGCAAATCTGTAACTATTAGAACGTTCTATTAAAAAATGATTTTTGATCAACAGGAATTGGAATTAATATTTTTGTAAAGTTTCTCATTACGAATCTCAATTCTGTTATCCAATTTACAATCAAAGCTGCGAAATACTTCTTATTCGATTCAATAATTCACTTGAAATATCATTACCCAGATAACTTCCCACACAACAGTACAAGTTTAGAAATACTTCTTCCAATTATCCACACATTCACTTATTACGCAATTTTTGAAACTACACCATTTCAATAAGAGCTCTAGAGAAATGAATTTATTTAAGGTACCTACTTGATATCTCTCATAAGAGTGTTCTACATTGAGTGAACCAAAAACAAAGCAAATCAAATCATCATCATACATTGTTACAATAGCACTACTCTCAAAGAAGACATCAATTGTTGAAAAACTTTGGTGGTGACCTCTTTGGTAAAATTGTTCTTGTCTATTTTGAGGCCAAATAACATTATCATCAATTCAGCAAAAAAAGCCTTGAAACCTCTTTCACTACCCCGCCCATACTCTTGATTCAGAGAAGAAAAGCCTTCGATTCAGTTCAATTTACAAACACTGTAGGAGTAGTAATCAATTTTGTATTTTCGAATATTTTGTTACCTGATCAAATAGATAAGCCTTGCTTGATAAGATAGTCTATATTTCAAAAAGTCGTCACATTCGTTCCCTATCAAATCAAACTCAACCCACCACCAAAAGCTGTACTTTATTTCAACAACAAAAAAGAATGCCATCTGCTAATATTGTAACAACCACAGTTGCAGGAGAAGGAGAAGCACCATCAAAGGCCTTTTCCAGTGAGAATACAGTTGTTGTAGTCACCAAAGATTCCTTCGAACATGATAGTCACTTTTATCCAAAGACAATCAATGCTCAACTTAGTGAAATTGTTAGTGATTTTATGTCTTTAGGTTTGTATTATTATTCAAATTCCACATTTATTGATCATTGTGTTCCTATTTGTGATGATCATCACAACACGATTGTAAAATATTTAATTAATTGAAAATAGGAAATTCTCGTATTTTGAAGAGATATGTTCACTTGAATCCTCAAGTTGATGAGAAGCAACTTATCGAATTGTTAAATTACAAGCCACAATTCTTTACTTGGTCCGGAGCTGATCTTTTCAATGTGACCAACTCACAAGGTGTTAGAAAAATGGTTTTGATCGAAACAAACTCTTGCCCTTCCGGTCAAAAATCAATGCCTTTCCATGATCATCATGGTGGTTATAGAACCCTTATTGAAAAGACTTTCAAACCAATGCTTGAAGAACACGAAAAATCATTGGGAGAAAATAGAGTACCAAATGGTAAACTTGCAGTAGTCTATGATAAAAACAAGATGGAAACTTCGGGATATGCTGGTGTCTTGAGTGACATATTTGGAGAAAATGTATACCTTGTTGAATATCATGCCAAAGATCCAGATCCACCAGTCAGATTTGTTGAAAATGGTCAAGTAATGCAAATTCGTGACGAAGAAAATAATTGGATTAATATTAGAGGATGTTTCAGATATGTTACACAATCACCTTGGGATAGAATGCCAATCTCTAAGGTTCGTACCTTAATTTTGAATCCAGTTGTTTGCTGTTTGGCAGGTGGTAGAAACAAACTACTTGGTAAGTTTTTTTCACATTTGAGTTCAAATATTAACAATGAATAGCTGCCAAGGCTTATGATTTCCTTAACAGTCAATACAACGGACACGGAATCAAGCTCAACACACCAAGAACAATCAGAGATGTGGAGAAGAAGATTGTCCCTATCTGGGTTGAAAGTTTTGGTGGATTTGCAGTTGTTAAGAATCCTTACTCTAATGCTGTAAGTTGAAACTCAATGGAATGATATTCTAAATTTCACATTATTTCAATATATAACAGGGACAAGGAGTCTTTACAATTACAAGTCAAAAGGAATTGGACGAATTTATGGAACAACAAAGTCACTATGATCAATATATTGTTCAATCTCTGATTGGTAATAGCAAATGGTCTTCTCTAACACAACACGGAGCTCTTTACCACGTTGGTACTGTTCCAGACAGCAAACGTCAAATTTATGTTGCTGATTTGAGAATGATGATCCATTATGACTTCACAAGAGGAGGATTTTCTCCAATAGCTCTCTATGCTCGTAGGGCAAAGTCACCACTTACCGATGATATTGAGGGTAAGAATTCATGGGATATTTTGGGTACCAATTTGTCTTATAAGGTGAATGGACAGTGGTCAACTGATCAAAAGAGATTAATAATTTGTGACAGAAAGGACTTTTCAAAACTCGGACTTGGTGTTGATAACCTTATTGATGCCTTCATTCAAACTGTTTTGGCTACTGTTGCCATTGATAAATTGGCCACCAGACTCATCACTGAAAACCAAAAGTTCGACCGTGGATTGTTCTACAGTTTGAATAAGGACGATGCTCTCCTTAAAGAAATTTGTAATATTGGTCAACAAGAGGAAAACCAAGAAGATGGTATCGAAAATTTGGATCACAAGGTCTTTTCAGCAAAACTAAATGCCTTCAATGAAGGAGAATAAGCTTATCTGCTTGTTTCACAATTTAGAAACATATAAAAACGAGTTCATAATATTCGCAACAACTTACTTTATTTATTACTATTAATACTGTTTTGCACGCTTGTATTTGAATCCTCTATCGAAGAATAATCACTCGAAGAAAGTAAGGGTTCAGTTTTTGGGTCTGTATTGTTGCTGACAGGTTTCAAACATGAATACAACTCGAAGAATTCCTTTTTGTCGAACTCAACAAATGTCAATCCCAATGAAATAGTACCCAGAAATGCAGCATGAACAACAGTAAATGTCACACCTACTGATGTGATATAGGATTGAGTCACAGAGATACTTATGATTCCAATCGAGTCCAAGAATAATGCAATGGATGCAATTATAGAGAATTTAAGGAACTATGATCGTTAAATATCGTTATAACAAGTGAAAACTTACAGGTGAATTAATCAAGCTCACTTCTGACACTTTTTTCAGAAGAACATAAATAACTATCGAGCAAACAGTAAATACTACGGTAATCAAACATCCCAAAGTCAATAATAGATAGGATAGATTATCTGCCATACGCAAAGAATACTCTACTCCAACCGACCCAACAGAGAAAATACAGGTCAACATTGCCAAAATTGTTGAAATAAATAAAATTAGAGGAACCAGATAGGAAATGAATGAAAAAAGTCTCTTTTTCTGCATTACAAAATAAATCAATCTAATCCAGTGCATTTCCCAAGACACTAAGGCGATACCCAAGAATATTACAGTTAAATTACTACAAATTGACACAGCAAGATCTGTCCCAAAAAGTGAGGCAATCTGAGTCAAAACTCCACAAATCTGCGAGAGGCACAGTAGCATTGGTACTAAAATATTGTAATATTGTTTTTGAATGAATGATGTCTTCGCTCTTGGTAAGAGTATTGTTAAACAGGTTATAAGAAACGATATTGCAAATATACTTGTAAATAGAGACTCAAGAATTATAGCATATGTCAAATTTCTGGAATTACCAAAACATTTAAAACCATAATAGTTTTGGTAGGGGCAAAAACAAATAAATGAATAACCAGTTTCTTGTAATTTGATTTGATTCATTCCTACAACAAATGGAATACCAGCTTCTCCAAATCCGCAAAAACTTATTTGGTTAGGGAAGTATTCAATTATTTCTCTCACATTGTCATCTCGAATATTCCAATAATTTTGTTTTGAAAATTGAATGTCCTTTCTACAATAATTACAATAATTAATCCAATCATAAACAGTTGTTTGGTTTTGAGTAATAAATTGAATTTTCGAGGATAAATCATTTTCTAAAGAATTGAATAAAAGTTCAATACAAGTAGTTTGTAATTTTTCTTCCCAAATTTGAATGCTTTCACAAAGATCAAACGATTCTGTCACGCCAAATGTATATTGTTCATAAGCAAAAAACATGGCTCCTTGATATGGATCGGGTACTTTGAATCTCTTCCACATTTCAATATTTTTGCATTTCATTGGTCCCATTGGAGCGTTTCTAACCACTTGTTCTAGAAATACTTGGGGATCAGTAAAAAATGCAGAAAAATTGGTACAACCCTTGAAATTTGTTCCGATGGTTGTAGCGTTTGTAGAATAATTCATCTCTCTTTTTTCACCTTTTTGGATTCTCAGCGTGTTGGCTGATTGAATTGCACTCAAAAACAGCCAAATCATAATCAGTGACTGAAAACCAAAGTGTTTGAGCATTTTTTTTTGCATAGTTCATCAAAATGGGTTTTACTGTTTTCACAGTGCTTCTTTTACAATTTTCCAATTCCATCCTCAATAAGAGAAGGAATCAAGTTCTAAAGCCAAGTTCAATATTTAGAAACTTTGTTATTAATCTTGTGTTATTAACTTGTTTTTTGACATTTAGATGCCCAACGTTAAATGCTTTTTCTGTCATAAATCAAAAAAAATCCATGATAAGCGACTCTGCCAACAATTGCTGTCCACCCAAACATACAACATGATTTCTTCGGAACAGCATAATAACAATCCAAATAATAGTCCAACCGATACTATTGCACATTCCAATAATTTAAACAATTATTCGAATACATTAGAAAATATGCAACAACCAAATGATGCATCTACCTCTCCAATTAAACACAATCCTAAACCCTTTCTAAACAATGATTTATCACCAAGTCACAACAATCATCACCAACATGTTCCACCATCACAATCACAAAATATCGAATTTTCATCAACCAACAATCATTTCATTGCTAGCGGTGATGATGAACAACATGTTTCATCATCGCACGATCAAAACCAACAACACCAACCATTATTAGTATCATCCTCACCACTTCCTTCACCAACCTTCACCAACACCATGAACAACATCAATACAACAGCAAATACTACGATTCATTCTCCTACACAGGGTGGTGCTGCTTCTTTTTTTAAGAGACTTTTATCAAACTTGACGCCAAATCTTTCCCGCCAAAATCATTTACAACTTTCTGAAAAAAATAATCAACATGGTGTATCAGGTTCGAGAAGTAATGGAGGTAGTGGCAATATGAATGGTGGTAATGTTCCAGCTGGAACAAATTGTATAAATCATCAAGAGTTGGATCTTGATGGGTTATCGGTGAAGAGTGTGGAATCTACTCCATCAGTGGATCTTTCTTCGAATAATACGAGTGGAGGAAATTTGAATAATCTTGCTGTTGGAGCCTCAAATATTAATCATAATCATCAGCAGCAGCAACAAATTCATAATAATAATAATGGAAATAATACAAGAGCAATAATGGATATATTCCCAAAGTCGAGACAGGAAGAGGAACCTTCTATGGATAATATCATTTCGAGGAAATTAGCTCAAAAAAAGAAAAATTCAGTGAAACCTGTAGATATTAACGCATTCACTGATAATAATAATGAAAAGGAAAAGGTTCTCACTCAAAATACTGTCTTTAAAAATACTCCAATGCAGACATTAACACCATCTGCTCTCTTGTCAGGAAAAGTTTCAATGGATTTGTTTGCTAATGTTGAGGATGAAAAGAAGAAACCAAAGAAGAAACGACAAGAAACTGGAATTAAAAATGTGGAAACTACTGTAAAAACAAGAAACAAAACTTACTTGAAAAAGATGACGTTCATGACAAGTCTATCAACTTCTGGCGATCAACATCCTACCTCTAGTAACTCTACGAAAAAAGGACAACAAAAAGAACAAGCTCCTTTTGAAAATGATCTTTTATTCAATGATTTACAAGTTTTTAAGAATCAAGTTTTCAAACGATATTGTAAAATATTGGAACAACCAATTTTCTGTAAGGCTTTTAATTATGAAGTTCTTGGGCCAAGGGAATTTTTGACAAATCCATATGTCCTACCTCAACTGATAGAAGAAAGCCCTGCTGTTTCCACAGTTGGAACTTCCTCTCCAAAGAAGGAGGAGCAAAACCCATTTCTTTTCGATGAAAAGTTTGTAAAGGAATTCAAATGGCGTAGACGAAAAACCGAGACTCAATCAAATTCAGTTCCAAATGTGCCAACAGTGGATATTGTTTGTGAGGATGGAGCTACTCTTTCATGTTATTTTGAGATGGTTGGCCAAAACGAGCAGCCAAGTACCTCCACAAAACAAGATGATTCCAGTTCTACAACCTCCAAAAAGACCTTACTATTATTCCATGACGGATGTGAGGAAGCTTTTGAGTATTTCTTCCAACCTTCACTAAGGAAGTTCAAAGATTTTATTATTTCGATGGGTTTGCAGATATTTATTTTCGAATATAGAGGTTTTGGATATAGCACGTGCGCCAAAGGTGAGGATGAAAGAACTTCCTTGCATAGATTTCTAGAGACTGACTACAAGTTGGTTCATCATTTATTCACGACACGACTCAAAATACCAATGTCTCAAGTGGTAGTGTATGGAAAGGGATTTCTGGGAAGTACTTGTGCTATCCATTTTGTTTCAAATTTTCCAACAGTGAGTGGACTTTGCTTGGAATCACCTTGTTTTGATGTTCTCAAGGTAGTTTTAGGAAATTTACCTGAGAATGTCCTATCGTATATTTCTTCTCAGGGAGCTGAACAAGGTATTGTAAGACCTGAGGATGAAACCATTAGATTCGAGTTTACCAAATACAACTTTGGAGTGGAAAAATATTATCGAATGCCATATCCAAAGAATAAGAAGATTATGAGTACCAAACAACAGAATGCTCGCCCTAAAACAACAATAGTTTGTAAGGTTGGAGATGAAAGGTATTACAATTTAAAGGAAGTTAAGAATTGCATCACTCACCACTTTGATGTCTACAACAAATTATCTTGCTTTCCAGGTAAACTACTCATTCTCTTTCAACAGGGAAATGAGCTAGTTCCATATTGTGATGTGGAAAACTTTTTTAAATGTATCAAGACTGGAGAAAAGAATATGTATCTGCTCTCCTCTAATGAAATATCGACAATGACCAGCGCGAACGATGACCCTTTTAATTTGTTTGAGAGAAAATTCTTTACCTGTGTGAGAGCAATTCACAAGTTTATGGAATCAGTTTCCCATTCATTCCCAGACAATTTTAATCAATTCTTGGAGAAGCTTTTCCAACTGGAACAACGATTGCTTGAAGATCAAGCCAACCAAACTTCAGAGCTTTCAGACCTTGCTGCCAGTGGTTCCTATGTTGATACCTATGAAAGTTATGGTGGAAGAGGAAGGAGGAATCCATATCTTCCAATTTGTGGTGGTTGTGGTCACTGCAGAGCTTGTGTCGACCAGTCAATGATCGAAAACGAAGGAACCGACAATACTGACCATGATTGTGATTCTGAAGCTAGCAGTGAAGAAGAGTAAACTATTTCAGATATTCCTTCCACATCCATTCAACAGCCATTCACTTAATTTTGGATTGCTCAATGTTTTTACCACAATGAGAGACAATCTTTTATTGATTTGAACGTTTTCGTGTTTAACAGTTTTTCGTCACTATAATGAAGAATAAATTGAAATCTTAATGGAAAGTAAGCAAGCAATTCTGGTATTATATCACCCTATTCCTGAATTAGATTTGTTTTTTATTTACCAGATGAACTTGTTGGACTATTATAAAAATAAACCACAATAAAATATAATTTTAGAGAACTTCCAGACTAAAGGAACGCAGATACACAACATATATTCAAGGAATTACACCGCAATCCAAACCAAAATCTTACTAACAAAGACCAAAAGCGATTCCTGTCTAATATCTTTTTTAATTCGCAAACAATTTGAACTTTTTAAAACCCAAACACACCACAACTTTCAAGATGAATTTTAATATTTGAAAATAAACTTTCTGGTTTATTGATTCTTCTTTAAAATGTGCATAGCAATTTAAATAATATTTTGATTTTCAGCAAGTGTTCTCAAAATTGCATCAGATAGTGGTGAATTCAGTGAGAGACGAGAATCCTTCTCAATCCACTGAGCTAATTGTTGTTGAGGAGTGGATTGGAGTGTGGTTTTACTTCCCTTCTTTTTAGATCCACCCTTAAAGGTCAGTATTTTCTGACCCCAATTTTGTGTCAAGAGTCCTTTCATGTCCAGAAATAAAACTTGGGTGGCTTTACAGCTGGTTGGGGAAGTTGGCTCAACTTTGAGAGCTGATATGCAGCAACCGCGTACATTTTTCAATTTTGATCGAATGGTTTCATTCACATCATTTTGAGTTGATTTTTTGAATAGATAAAAAGTTTCCAATTTTGGATTTTCTGGTGTGAAGCTTTTTGTAGCTGCACAACTCAAAATAAATTCTCTATTCCTGATTGGCCATTTCATTTCATAGGATTCTGAAATAACAGCAGTTTCCAATAACTCGGAATCCAAAATACCCAATTGATTACTTGGTTTTGGATGATATTTTACAAAATCCCCTTCTACTAATGGCTCATTAGTATAATTCTTTCTGAATTCAAAATTGATGAGGGCATTAAACACTTTCTCACTTGAATATTGATAATGTGTTACACTCTTATAGAACATTAAATCTTTTCTTCCAAAATTTTGTTCACACGAGTGATCACCAATCATTACATAAATTTCCTGCTCTTTCGAATAGGTCAGAAGAGTCCACTTCAAATTCTGATCATATTCCAATAGTGCAGATTTGAGATATTTCACCTCTCCCACAGATAATGTTTCAGAGTTTACAAAACTCTTTGCTAAACTTCCATCTCTACTATCTGTAGAAGTTGAAGAGTTTGATCGTGATGTGGAACTTGCATTATTTAACATGAATAAAAAATCAATGTTATCTGATGTTGCCTGAATAGCAGAGGAAGGTGAAGCTGCCTTTCTTGGTGTTGCCAACATGAACAAGGTTTCAATTTTCTGATTTTCAATAAATTCTTTGAAAATCTCACTCTCTAAAAATGGAGCAAACTGATTCGATTTCAACGACAATAAAATATGACTCTCCAAATCATCAAATATTGTCGAATCCAAGAATGGGACTATAGAAATATGTTTCCCTTTCCCAGAGTTCCCACTCCAATTATACTCATTTTTGGATTCCAATCCATAGTACGTTCTATTCTTTTCAATCTTGTCCAGAATTTTCTTTTTCGTATCAGATTTCAAATTCAATTCATTTGGAGCTTGATCATGAATGAAATTATCAGCAATTTCACAAGCTTTCAATAAAGCAGATTCGCATAATGTAGCTCCAGCAGCTCCAAGAAATTGATCCGAAAATTCATCAACATCAAACGATCTATTACGTCGACTACTATTTGGTAGTTCATTGATGGATTTGAAGAATTCAACTTGTTCTAGAAATAAACTTATTTCTATTATTTTTTTAACATTTTTTGTAAATTAAATAAATTTTTAAATGTTAAATATTAATAATTATTAAAATTTAAAAAAAAAACATACCACTATTTTGTGTCGATTCCAAAAAGGTAAAGAAACACTGTCTAGCTGGTGGATATTCCATAAAGGAATCGAATTTCATATCAAAATATTGAAGAATATCTTTAACGGATGCTTTTGGCGCCGAAACATTTTTTAATGGTGATGAGGAGGATGATTGTTTTTTAGTTGCCATTTTCTATATTTTTATATGTATTGTTATTATATATTGTTGTTTTTTTGTATATATTTGTTGTTGTTTTTGATTATTGTGTTATATTATGTACATTAAAGTTATTCGAAAGCAAGTGTTGGAGAATGGATTGCGGGAAGGCGATCGAGAGAGTGGTGATCTAGCGCTAGGGAGTGATGCAGATATATTCTTCTACTTGAAGAATTTAGTAGAGTGTCACTTGTTTCGAATAGAGGCGTTTCGTATAGTGTGGGCGATTGTTTGTGCTTTAATTTTTTTTTAAATGAAAAGTGTTAATGTAGGAAGGAGTTTTGGCTTGAATGTTGACGAACATCGTCCATTTATTTCAGCCACCTGACTTTTTGGTTTCGATTAAGTTTCTTTTGGAATCCAACCTAAAGTGATACGAGGTTTCTTGGTTGGTCATGTCACGGTGGCTGTTTCGTAACCATTCTTGCAACATGAAGTTTTTTACCAATATTTTTATTCGAAACATTAAATGATTGGAAACTGGAACTATTCGAATAGTTTTCTAAGTGCAACAACTTCGTGCATTCTTATTGACTTCATAATTTTCAACACTCATAATTACTGAAACACGGTAATCGATTATCTTTACCGTGTCAGTTTCTAATATAAAAAAATCTAAATGTCAAACTTTATTTTTAGAAATGACAAAAAATTTAAAAAAAATACCTCTACACCAATTTATCACACAACCCATCATCATCTATCCAAACTTCAAATATCTTTAAAAAATCACATCATCCCATGTTCAAGAGTCGAACCAACCACCTTCACGGACTCATCAGCGAGGGTGAACAGAATTTTCTAACGCAAATAAAAAATGGCGCCAACAATGCTAACGGAAATTCTCCCGCCGAATTTTTCCAGCTCGAATTAACCATAGAAAAAGTCTCGATTGATGCCTCGTCGCTCCAGCAGACCAATCAAGTGGAGGTTTCTCCCTATCTGATGATCAAGGTGAATGGAGTTTATAAACAGAGGACCAAGGCTAAGAGAAATAATTTAAATCCCTCCTTTAATCAGACCTTCTTGTTAGGCTTGGAGAATCCGAATCGGGATATCATACAAATTTATGTTCATGATAAGGAGAGGAATGGAGAGACGATTGGATTTTGTACGATTGATCATTTGAATCAATTTAATTTTGGAAATATTACTTCGTTGGAGTTGGATTTGGAAGCTCCTTCAATTGCTGACTTGACAAGGAGTTCGATTTTTACTGATGGAATTTGTGGAAGTATTCAGGTGGATGTGAAACCTTTGAATTTTGGAGCTACAGAGAAGGAGGCTTCTAAATTGGGTATTGGAAAGAAGAAGAAGAAAGGTGGTGCTGAGAGAAATGAATCACCTGATAAGAGTAATACTTCTTCACCTGTACCTGGTGCTGTTGCATTGACGACAGCAAGCAATGGTGATCATCATCCAAAGAAGAAATCAGATCACAAACCACATTTCGATTTACCACCACAGGAAGAGGAAGAGCATGCATGTCCTCTCGACAATGATGCAGCTCAAAAGAGAAAATCCAGATGGTTTGGTGCTGATCCACTCGGCACACCAACTCTGGAATCGAGTTTCAATTTTGATGATGTGAATTTTCAATCAGCCAATACGACAAGCATGGGAGAGGATCACTTGTTTTCGAATAGTGGACCCAATCTTATTCAAATAGAAGGCGAGAAGGAATTTACCAAAACCAAACAACAATTCAAATTGCTCTATGTTATGGCTATGGATATTCAAATGTTTGGAGAGAAGGTTAACAAACTGGAAGCTCTCTTGAGCAAGTGGGAACACTTTGAAAACGACACTGAAAAGATTAGAAATTCCATTCAATCATGTATTTCAAAAGCTGAGAAGAAGAGGGAATTACTGGACAAGTTTATTCCAAAACTGAGCAAGAAATTACCTCAGGTCACTAACTGTAAATTAACCATTATGAAACTAACAAAACTTAAAATACAATTCGAGAACATTGACAAGCAATACCAAAACTTTTTAAAGAAACGCCAAAAGATTGAAAGACATCACAAAAAGAAGAGAAGTGAAAGAATGTTGGAATTTGACGAGTTAATGGACCATGTATTATATCAAACAGGAGCTTCTACCACTCAACAAACTTCCAAGAAATCTAAAGAGAAATCTCTTGAAATTCCTTCACCTACCGTTGCCACAGCAAAAGAAGGTAAGGTGGATAGAAATGCCAGAAAGAAGGAGGAACAAGTTATGAAAAAGAAGCAATTCATGCAAGCCATCATGGCTGGAGCTAGAGATTCGGGTGCAACCAATCCAGATCACTTGGTGAGAAAGTACGAAGAGAAGCAAATGGAACTCCAACACAAGAAGGAGCAAGATCAACAACAAAAGATTCAATTCATTCTCAGTACTGCCGATGCAGAAACTATTGAAATGGAAAAGAAGATTGCCCTTGAAACAAAGGCAGAGTTGGAAGCTGTGGAAAAGGATTACGCTGAACTTCATGAAATGTACGAACAAATGAATTTCCTCATTAGAGAACAAGGTCAAGGACTCAACATTATCGAAAAGAACATTCAACAGGCCAATGAATATGTCAAGGAGGGAACTGAATACGTCAAAGCAGCTAGTGCCTGCACCACAACTGGCATTTTGACAGGTGGCTTTACAAAAGCAGCAGTTCTCAAAAAGTTAATTTCATAATTTATTACTTGTACAAATATCCCAATATTAAACCCAAATTTCTAACCACTTGCGGATAGGCCAGACATTTTATATCTAATCCAGCTTTGAATATACCTTGTATGGTATATCTATAATCTGTTGGACCCAGCTTTGCAGGTACTTCTATGTTAAAATAATAACATAGCTCCTCAATTACTTCGAAATCAATTATCCTGGTCATATAACGAGATGGATTCAAGTCATGTGGAAGTTTAGGAAGGGGATCATCATTGTAAAATGAATATCTTAGATTAGAACCATTCTCTACGAATCTTCTTGCACTCATAAATGTACTGGATTCTTCCTTGAACTTGTTAACTGCTTGATATTCCTCCAATTCTAGGATTGGAGATTCATTATCTTTCAAGAAGGTCTTCATGACAGTTCTTGGATGCTCTCTCATTGAATATTCCAATGCAAATTGTAAATTGAGAAATCTTTCTGGATATTTGTACAGTATTTTGGGACATATTAAGGTAGCTCTCAACACAAATTCTAAATCATCCCTTATTGAATCAGAAACAATATCATAAATTATTCCCTCTCTATCATAATCAATGACATTCATTATAAACTTCTTGTACTGATCCTCAGTTTCGAATGCATGTTTAGAAAATAACAATTGCTTAATATTGTAATATTTCTGGAAAAAGCTAGAAGCCCTAAAGAAGTTACCATTAATTGATTCATAGAGTAATCCTTCCCTTATCAGTTCGTAAATGACACTCCTCTCCCTGCACATCTTTTCAAATGCCACTAAATGAGGAAGGGTTTTCATTATCTTAATGTTGAAGAAACTGCCATAATCTTTCATCAATTGCAATATAACAAATTCATTCAAATCTCTTTCAATTGTTTCCTGATAAACTTCCCATAACAATGAATCACCAAGTGATCGATCCAGTAATATAATGACATTTGGCATGATATTGTCTTCCGAACGAGACAGTTTAATCTTTTTAGTTGGAGGATCAAAAATCTCTTCATTGGTAAGTTGTGACATTTTTTTTGTTTGGCTAATTTCGAGCAGAGACTGGAAGTGGTTGTGTTAAGTTATTGTCAACATTCTAAAATCACACAACAATAAATTATTTATTTTCTTTCAGTTTCTTGATATTTCCTTGCACCAAATTAATAATTTCCGTTGCCTTGTCAGTGGTGAATTGTTCAGTAAAGCTTGGAGGTGGTGAGTTATCTGTTGTAGATTGAGGTTGAGGAGTATAGGAAAGAGTATTTGGGAATCCTTTGAGTGTGAAAGTAAGAGATGTTGCATCTGTCTTTTTAAAGGTTAGCTTGCATACTTGCCTCAATGTTCTCTTCCATTGAATGATTCCACTTTGGAAAAGTTGTGGATGAGGTTTCAGACACATTATTAAATTGTCTCCAATGGCGAGATATCTTGTTTCCTTATTCTTCTTCAATTGGAGAGTAAATAATTTGATATTGTCTCCAAGTTTGGACAAATCATCCAATTTGACAGTGGTGGCCTCTGTACTTTCAACACTTGTTGGAGAGGTGGAAATATCATCATCAGAATCATTGTCACCAAGTGAAAAGACTGGTTTAATCCTCTTTTCCAAAGTCTTTTCCAGTTTTTTTTCCATATTCTTCAAAGAATTGAGTGTAGAAAGGGCACTTTCCTTGTTACTATTGAGTTTTGTCAAAGCTTGTTCCACAAGTTTCTTCTCCTTTACATATTCTTCAATGTCACCAATTGCCTTCTTACCCCATGAGAAAATAGTTTCAGAAACCTTACTTGTCCATTCCTCAGCTGAGGATGTTTTAGTGTTTTCTAAAGTTTCATCCTTGACATATTCAATCAAATTAGAGGTCATATATTTGATACACCCTTTGAATCCATCAACAGCAATAGAAATATGAGGGAATCCACCTGTAACAAACTTCATAGCAATAACTCGTAATAAATTTTCCTCTTCTGGCAACTTTCTTCCTGTACCAAAAATAACAAAGTGAGATCCTTTGGCATCTTCAAACTTGGAGAGAATGGCCTTCATCTTGTCATTATCATAACCAACACGTGTTCCAACATGAATGGCTGTTGGTAGTCTTGCATATTGGAAGCTCTTTACACTTCTACAATCAATGACAAGATATTTGACCTTGGAGTTTTGTGATCTTTGTTGTTGTCTGGTTTTGTCCTTAGTAAAGCAGTCGGCAATTTCAGTAGCTGGAAGTGGAAGAATAACACTTTCTTGCAAGAGTTGCTTCATTGTGTCAAACTTAGCTTCAAAAGAAGCTTGATAAATAGATTGTAATTGATTTCTAGCACTGGTTGGTGTTTCCTTTTCCAAATTCTTGGCTTCCAAGTAGAGTGAGAAAATATCCATTTTGCTCTTGATAATTTGTTGTTTTTCCTTTGATGAGAGTCCAGCTTGACAATATGATCTGAGTTCTTCTGGAATGTCAAGAGCCATAATATTACTACGATCTCTCACTAGAATAGAAATAATCAAGAATGTGTACATGACAGGATCACGTTCAATAATCAAAATATCAAGCAAATAAGTTAGTGTTTGTTTCAATTCAGAAGCATCAGTAATAGATGAAGCAATAAAATCAAATAATAAAGATTTGGACCAAGGAATAATTTCATCTATAATAACTTCCAATCTGTGTCTATCGAAATGAAGTTGTAAATCAGGATCATGATATTGAACCAAAAGTCTAAACATTTGATCGAAACAATCCAATAAATATCCAATCTTTGAATCGGTTGCTGTTGTCAATGAAGCAATATTCTTCCTTGAATCAAGTGGTTTAAAGTATTGATTTAACATGATATAAACCATTGGAAATAATTCTGATAGATTCATCTTTTCCGATCCATCATCAACACAATTAATAAAGTGATAGACAAATCGACCCATATCTGGTCTGTAGGAGAGAATGTGTTCAATAATGTTTGGTGCAATAGTACTTGATGGAGTATTTGCTTTATCAAACTTTTCTTTCATAAATTGATGATGGAAAGAAAGTATCTTGTACGTCTTTTCTACTACTTCATCAGAGAGTGTTGTGGTTATTGATGAAAGATGTTGTTTTAAATCTTCTCTGCTAACATCACTCCAGGAAACATTTTCAAAGTCTTGCTCTTTCAAGCTTGAAGGAGCCACTTTACTATAAAGTAATTTCTGTTATTTTCACAACGTCCACATCCAACAACAATAATAATAACAATGAATTATAATATTATTAAATAATATATAATTCATGATCAAAAGTAATTCCGCATCAACAAAGGAATACAAATTAATATTGATCACCACTATAAAATCCAAGACATTGTTTTAAAAACCTACCTTCCAAACAGCACGTCTCAAATCTTGTGAAGGAATTTCTGATGAAGCCATTATCATCACTTCTCTACAAAATTCTCTCAATTGTTGTTCTCGCATTTGTTGAACATCTTGCACAGTCCATCCCTTCCACGGATCTTGTTCATCATACGAGAGGGTAGCACTACCATTTCCTGATGATCGATCAGCAGTAGAACTCTCAACCGACGTCGAAGATAACATTTTAGCAATTTTTTATGATTTTTTAAAGAAAATTGCATTTGAAAGAAAAAGTATTCGTTGGGATGTGAAAGTTGTTGATTGAGAAATTAGATTGAGAGTGGAATAAATTTATTTTTCATGGTGTTTCTTTGTATTGTCTGTCCAACTGTGATGGTTGTAGAAAAAGTGAGGGTTGTGATGGTAAAGAAAGTTAAAATCATGAAATTTGATCGAGTTGTTGGGCAGCAATCTGGAACAATCATGAATGTAGTGTTGTGGATGGAGAAGATGATAGTGGAGGATGAGGTCTGAGTTTTTGTTAGGGAAGGAGATGTCGTCTTTTTGTAGGAGTTGTAAATGTTGTTCGCTTAATTTAGAAATTGATTCAGACACTGAGCTCAGCTCAAAGGTGTGCTCTTGGAGGAATTCAAAAGCATTAAATTGATGTTTGAATGGTGAGTTTGGAGAGGGAAGCCATGTTTGATTGGGTTGGTTAGTTTGGTCTTGCAGAGATGTAACTAAATCAGACAATAAATCAGTAGAAAATGAATCAGATTCAAACAATTGGACTTGATTATTGTTCAAGTTCTTCAATAATTTTCCAAAATTGAGATTTGGAGATGATAGAAGATTGTCTCCCATATAATATCTATCCAAGAAAATCAAATGTAGACCAATTACAATATCCTTTCCCACTCTATAATTGCTGATAGTTGAAAAATGTTGCAAATATTCGTGTGCCTTTTCCACCATCTTATCTAGAAATGTTGCAATTTTCACTGAATGGGTTTTTTCAATAATTGATGATAATGTTGAAGTAATGTCTTTCAAAAAATCCAGATAGATAGGTATTTCTGATTCAAAATCAATTGAGAATACCTTACCATGAAAAGGGAAAATAACAGGAGTTTGTAAAATATTCTGAATAGCAGTTTTGGAATTAGAATGATGAAGTAAAGAGTTAATGAAGCGCCTTGACTTGTATCTTTGAATTAATTCCAAGGTAGGTCTTGATTCTGATAAAATCAAAACACGCTTATAATTACAGAATCGTTCAATTAAACAATGATTAGGAGGTAAATCTAAGAAAATTAATGGATTCAAAAACAAAAGAGTAAGGAATTGATCTTCTGTTCTGAGCCAACTTGAATATTCTGGATTAATTTCTAAATGAAACATCCCACTCATCATGTATATCTCCATCCAATTCATATTAATATAACCTTCTCTAATTGCTTCAAAATCTAAATCAAGTCCTAATTTTTGAGAATTGTTCTTAAATCTATTTCCAAAAATCTGCTCTATATTATTTCTATCATCCAATATAATCTCATTCCAACTTTTACAAACATTCGAGCATGATTCAATCAATTCCTTCGTTCCAATAAATTCAAATACAGAACATATGGCATGGTTTCTAATGAATTTCTCATAGTGCCCCAATGGAACTTTGTTTTCAACATTACTACATTCTCTCACTTTCTCACTTCCGAACACAATAGAATTTGCTAATTTCTCCAACACCTCACCATCCTCTACTCTCAATGTAGCTGAACTCTCCGATCCAATTTGTGAATCAACCTCAATAATTCCCAAATATTCATTCAATACCATCAAGTATCCAAACTCATCAATATCAATCAGACGATTAATTTCCTTCCGACAACCCAAGCTCATTCTAATTTTCCCAATGTTATTCTTACAACCATTCTCCTTCCGAAAATTTAATGATAACAATTGCCTTCCCAATACAGTATATTGATCATCACCATATCGATCATCATCTTGATCAACATCATTTCTTGTAATAAAGAATAGTGAATGAATAAATTTTTCTAATTGTCTTCCGTTTTGTATGGATTCAAAATAATCTTCAGGAACCCAATCATACATACACGGCATTTTTTTTAAAATTATTAATTCAATATATATTTAATTATTTAATTACAAAAAGATTAAGATTTTGCTTAATAAAATTCTCCGTAATAGATTTTTTGGTTCACTTTTACAAGTTCTTGGATATTCCACCCGAAAAAAAATGCGCCAAATTGCCTCATCACGAATTTTTGTCATCATGATGATGATATTATGCTTGTTCTTCATGATTGGATCGTCCCACAGTTTGTCTGATAGAATTAGAAATTCTCTTTCTCGCTCTTTTGCTATCGGAAGCGCTTCTTCTGCTAAAACTTGTGAATTGATTGATTCCGAAATTAATCAACAATCTTTGAATTTTTGTCATGATAGAGTGAATTATTTGACTACCATTCCTGAATGGAATAAGACAACAGAAACTGAAGCAGTTGGTGCTAGAAATGCTGATAAGGTTGCTGCTTTATACTATAATTTAATGAATTGGGATAATGCCAATGGTCAAACACCATCAAAGCAATGTCAAGAATTGGTTCATTCCATTGTTTGTCATGCTGTTTTTCCATTATGTGTTCAAAAGACAAATTATATCCGTAATTTGTACCCATGTGAAGATAAGTGTCAAGTTGCTATGAAAACTTGCAATACTACAAGTAATGAAGCATTAGGAAAGGACATTGAAATGTTCTGTATTGATAGTAAGACTTGTAATGATTACAAGAATTAGAATGGAAGTAATTATGGATATTGGAATATCATCTAATGCCTACGTGTGAGTGGTTACTCGACCGTGTGTGGATGAATCCAATAAACCTCATTCAAATGAGAAAATTCTTGAAATGAATAAGGTGGTGGATCAAAAATTGAAAAACTATTGTTTTATTCCAAATTTTTCATTTACCTTCACGGAAGTTGACCAACAAAAAAGACCTCTCACACAGGACGCACTATTTTCCCTCGTTTTTTCTATTTTTGAAATTCCAACCAATCAAAAGATTGAAATTCCAATCTATTAATTTCACAAAACAAACAAAAAAAAACAAAACAACAACACAACAGCAATTTAACATGATATTGAAAAATCACACACAACACAAGGGCGAATTATTCGTCCAAATGAAAAGACAAGTTCCTCTTCAAGTTTCTAGTCAATTACCAGATTTTATTGAAGACGAAATGCCTTTGCAACATCAAGTATTCTTTTCCCAATTGAGTTATTTTGTTGTGGCCACATTGGATGAATTTCAAAGGCCATGGACAAGTATTATTGTTGGAAATGCAGAAGAAGAGGATATTGTAAAGATTAAGAAGGGAAGTAGAATGTCGATTAGGGCAAAATTGTCAGTTGGAGATCCATTTGGCAATTGTTTTGGAGAATTGGATAATTCTATTAGATACTTTGCTGGTCTTGGTATTGATTTTAGTAATAGGAGAAGAAATAAGGTTAGTGGATTGATTAATTCTAGCCAGTACAAGAATCAGTTCATCAACTTGGACATTCAAACAAATGAAAGCTTGGGAAACTGTCCAAAATATATCACTATTCGAAAGCTTTCGTATGTGGAAAGAACTCCTCAACTTGCAATTGATTCTCCAAATTCCACTACTTTAGAACCAGAAGAAACATTCCACATCCACCAAGCAAGTACAATCTTCATTTCCACACGACACATCTCTCAAGATTCAGATTCAGATATTGGAGTCAACCACAGAGGAGGAAATCCAGGATTTTGCCGAGTTTACAATGAAAATGGCCAATCCTATGTTGTAATACCAGATTATTCAGGTAATAGATTCTATCAATCTTTAGGAAATGTACAATCTGATAGAGTTGCTGGTCTAGTAATTCCAAACTTCCAGACTGGTGACATGTTGTACATTACTGGTGATGCAGAGAATCTATTCGATGAACAAGCTGAAGAAATCATGCCACGAGTCACTTTGATTACAAGAATTAGAGTGACAGGTCATGTATTTGTAAAACAAGGATTGAATTTGAAACAAGAAGGTTCAGATCAATATTCTCCTTACAATCCACCAATTCGTCATGTGAAAGGAGAAGTATATCAATCGACTCATGTTGAAAATGAGCAACACATTCCTTCCAATCAAGCTAAACTTTGGTCTGTTGAAAAATTAACTCCCCTCATTTCCAAGTTTACATTTAAATTGGAATTTCCAATCAAGTATCAGCCAGGATCTTATGCATTATTTGATTTTAGTGAAATTATTCAAAAAAAGTATCAACATATGAATAATTTAAATCCAAAATCACTCAATGATGATCTCATTAGAACTTGGACCATTTCTTCATCTCCCTTAATTGACGAAACAACTGAAACCACCAAATTTGAATCTTCCAATTTTATTTCATGCACTATCAAATTAGTGGAAAATGGAGCTGTCACTCCATTGCTACATTCCAATGTTTCTGAATTGAGTTTGAAATTGATTGGAGTTGGTGGAAATTTCACATGTTTTGAAAAGGAAACCAATCGAGTGGAAACTCCAAATATGATTTGGATAGCTGCCGGAGTTGGAATAACTCCATTCCTTTCCATGTGGTCTGCCTTACAGGAATGTAAATCTAATGTCAAGTTATCTGTTCTCTATTCTGGAAGAGGAAGTGAAGCCGAATTTACCAAATCTTTCAGAAATGATGAAAGAGTTTCAAGTTTACAAGTTTTTGATTCCACCAGACATGCTACACATGCAGAGAATAATTATTCAATTTTCAATAGAAGAATTAATTCTAATGATGTTGCACAAGCTCTACAAGGTGCTTCCAATATCAGCAATTCAGAAATTCCAATAATTTATCTTTGTGGACCTCCTCAATTTATGAATTCTATTCGAAATTGGCTTAAAGAACTCAAATATCCAGAAAATAACATTAGAACTGAATCCTTTGTATTTTAAATAAAAAACCAAACAACTTTACAAATATCTATCTTTTACCAATCTGTCGATAAATTAGGTTACACTAAATCTAAAAGAATTGCTCGTATTAAGGTTTTGTTTATGTGAAGCAGGGGTTCCCGAGTGGTCAAAGGGGGTAGACTCAAGTTCTACTGCGCAAGCTTCGTGGGTTCAAATCCATTTTATTGTTTTTTTATTAAGGTTTTATCTATATATGGTAATAGATCGTGGGATTACTCTATGGTTGTTGATAAAATTATTCTAAAATTCAAATTTTTAGTCACTGTTCATCAAACACCATGGGGTTACTCCTTGGCTATTGATAATTTGATGTTATTTTCATTATTTTAATTCTAAAATTTAAACTTTAAATGACTGTTCATCAAACACCGTGAGGTTATTCATCAATATTGTATTGTTTTCATATATTTTTATATTTTAAAATTCAAACTTCAAATCCCACCTTCTGCAGCTTTTGTTTTAATCTTAATCAACTTTGGAGCTACTGTACATTTTTATACATGAATCGTTTGCAATTTTCCTCTAGTTTTGAAAAATAAACATGTATTACTTGAAATTCTTTGGGTATAGAGCTAATCAACAAAGTTTACTCTGACCTGAAATTCTTTACAAATAATATCAACAAATAATAACCACACCAATAAAATTCCAAATCTCCCAACAGTCCACTTTCAAGTAACACCAAAATGCAGTAATTGCTCCTAAAATCCAAGTAGCTAACTGTTCCAATGATGAACCTTCACAATTTATCTTCCCGTTTGATAACACTAACATCACTAATATTGAAAGAAGATATTAAGCGAAAAAATTGAGATGAATAGGAAGATGAGAGATGGTTCGATTCGTACGAATGTTCTTCTGCAGATGCTATTGATCATTTTGATTGTTATCATCACGTTGGTAGAATCAAGAATGATACAAATGATGAATCATCAACAGCAACAACCAAGACAAAATATGAGGTTTTATTCACATCAACAAATGATGAAGCAACCATCAATTAATATTATGCATCATGATGATCATCAAGATATGGAAAATCGTGTCCATGGCCATCCAGACAATCTTGGACAAACTCAACAACAACATAACGGAAAGAGTGGAAGAAAATTCAAGAAGGACAGCAACAAGAATATGAAATACGTGAATCCATTCATTGGAACTGGCAAGGGCTTTGGTTCTGGAACCATGAGTCCAATGGCTCAAACTCCTTATGGAATGATTAGAGTTGGACCTGATACTACTAATACTTTCGATTTGGAGATTTCTTTTGAGCATCCAGGTGGTTTCTACTATCCAGATGATTACATTCACATATGCGTTTGGTAGGTGCAGGAATTCCAGATATGGGAAATATTGGAATAATGCCAGTTTGTCTATATAAGGGAGAATTGAGTTATGATTTCTTGTTGAAAGACAAAAAAGTAAGGGCCTATAATAAGGAAACTCAATTTGTTCAACCAGGTTATTTCAGAACTACTTTGGAAAGATATGACATTGATGAAGAATTGACCAGTGGCTATTATTCTGGAATTCACAGATATACTTTCAACGATCAATCGAAAGAATCTTTTATCATTTTGGATATTTCACATACCATTGATAAGAGTCAATGATCAAGTTGGTTTCCTTCCAAAGTGGCCTTTCTGTAATGGAGAAACTGGTTCAATGGTTGGAAATCATGCAATTGTTATCATTACAGAAGCATTCCTAAAAGGTCAATTGAGAAGTTCAAAGATTAATATGCAAAAGACGTATCAAGCAATGAAAAAGACATCTAATGAACCAGTCAATTATGTTGGAAGAGTCAATCCAGCTCAATATAATTCTCTTGGTTTTGTCCCAGAAGAATCTGCCCAAGTTGGAGCAGTTCTCACTCTAGATTATTCCTACGAAGATTCATGCATTGCCTCCGTTGCTAAGGTCCTTAACGAAACTGCAGACTATTTGAACTTTACTGCTCGTTCTCAATTCTATAAGAATGTGTGGCACGAGAAGGAACAATTCTTCTGTCCAAAATCAATTTCTGGAAAGTGGAATTGTCCAGAATTAACATTTGCCGATGGATGGGACAGTCGATAATCTATAATGTCGAAGGTGATGCCTGGCATTATAGATTCTTTGTTCCACACGATATTCCACGATTAATTTCCCTGTTTGGATCAAAGGAAAAGTTCACTGCTGCACTGGAACAATTCGCAAAAGATTCCTTCGACTTTCCATTCACCGTATTGCCAAATCCATTCTATTGGGGAGGAAATGAACATGATCTAATGAGCATGTACTTGTTTAACTATGTGGACAGAGCAGATTTGACTCAATACTATGTGAGACAAATGATGGATAGATTATACAGTGTGAATCCAGATGGTTTGCCTGGAAATAACGATTATGGAACGATGAGTGCATGGTTTGTGTGGTCAGCACTTGGTTTGTATCCAAGAGCTGGTTCTAGTGAATATTTTGTTGGATCTCCATTGTTTGAGAGTATTCAGGTGGAGAGAGAGAATGGTTGTTTCTTGTCTATTGAATCTTATAACTTTAAGCCAGATTCTCCAAAAATTCTTAAAGTAGTATTGAATGGTCAAGTGTTGACTAGACCATTCATTGATCATTCTCAATTGAATTGTGTAAATGGAAAGAATAGTGTGAAATTGGAATATTTCTTTGCATAAATTTAACTTTATCAATAAAAATATTGCAAAGGTTGTTTCCAAATCTGAGAAACTTTTTTTTAATTGTAATTCACTAATTTTGTGCCCATTCAATCTTGTAAAGAGGAATGATTTGGTCTGGATTGAAAATAATAACTTCACTACAACCATCTGGAGCCACGTGTGAATCATAGCCAGGTTCGATAGCTCTACCAGTTTCTACTTGATTCATGTGGAAAGCCTTACCAATCAAAACCATACAAATTAATAAATATTGATTTCTGGCATAGGCCATTGATAATCCAGGATATTCACTAAAGTAAAATCCTCTATTATTAAGAAAAAGGTCAATAAATCCAAAATAAGAATAAGAAACTTACTTTCCATAATATCCCATATCTGTTGTACTTCCAATTTTGTTCAATAAAAAATTGGTCTTTAAGATATTCTCCATATTGGCATCTGATGTACCATGGAATAAGAGCAATGGCTTCATACTTTCAAGCATAAAGCCATGCTTTTCAGCCAATTCCTGCTTACATGCATTAAATCTCTTCATAATAACCGGATTGACAATGTAGTCAACCTTTACGACCCTGGCAGTTGGATAAGAAGAGCCATACATTGGAGAGGAGGCAAGTCTATGAAGTTGGGATTCACAAAATCTAAAGTGAATCTCTTCTGCACCTAAATCAAAGACATTGGTTGGACTGAAATTGTATCTCAGCAATTGGTCTACGCCTTTTGGTGTGGTCTCACTGTTCGTCTTGACAAAGTGGTCATTCCATTTGGTGAGATAGTCTAATTCTCCCTTGCAGTAGAAGCGAACATTTTTGTGCTTTTTAGCTTCGACCAATCTTTTTTCAATCAATTTTCTTTCATTTTCTATAATTCTCTTCTTTCTTTCAATTTCCCATTCATCATTATCTTCTCCATTGGTTCTTCTGATGCTACCTTCCTCTGCTTCAATTATGGCCAATTCCTCAAGTGAAAGAACAGCTGCTCTATCGATCAATAATTTATCCTTTTCTTTCATCAATCGAGTGTATTGCTTTTCTAAATTTTCCAATTCATTTCGCTTATTTACAATTGTTGAATTTTCTGAAATTGAGGTTTGCTTTTTCAATACTTCCTCAATTTTCGATAACTCTTGTGAATCGAAAGAATGAGAAACACATCTTCCTTTCGAAATAGCTTGATAGTGACTATAATCAATCATATCATTATTTGTACAGAATACTCCCGGCAAACCAGATGATGTGAGATAGACATATTTTGTGTTTGTTGGAGCTGGCTCAATCTGATAGTTTTGCACCTTCTTGTTTGATTTTTTAACACCATACTCGACGTGTTTTTGAATCTCTGCCTGATAAACAGCAATCAAATTCAAAACACTTGGTTTGTATTGTAAATGTTCCTTCAACTTGATCAATTCTGCCAAATCGACAGAATCAAAAAGTGGTCTCTCTCCAGGTTGAATTGACAAAATCATGCTCTTTCCCTCAACAATCTGACTTGTCATGGATTTTTGCTCATTGGTGGTGGTGTTTACATTCGGTGATACATTATTTACATTGTTATTATCAACACTCGGAGGATTACTCAAAGGAGTTCCATTATTACTATTACTATTATTATTACTAGTATCAGAAGAAGATGAAGATTCACTACTACTATTCGTCACTGCTCCAGTACTACTCTTTGAATAGGCTCCTCCACTCTTGAAAAAATTAAAAATAGAAGTCATTACACTATCAATGCGTTGATCCGATTATTTAATGATTGTTTTTTGTGATCGTTCCGAAACTCTGAAAGGTTTTTGTGCACTTTTGAGTTTGGAATTTTTTTTTGATTTTGAAATTTGTTCAAAGTTCATCACCCATGAATTTTGTAACTCAAATTTGAAAGTGCTTTTTAGAGTTTGAGTTTTTCAGTTTGAATGTTTGGGAAGTTATCAGATTGTTTTCTTCTTTTCAACTCTCACTACAGATTGTCGTTGAGATGGAGTAAAGAATAACATATCAGCAATATGTTTTTATTGGATGGTGTTGACAATTAGCCACATCTTCACTGAGTAGTTAAAGTTTGCAAACACAATCAGGTACATCTCCTGTTCTTGTAATTGTCTCTTTCTGAATGAAAACTGACATATCTTTAAGGGACAATATTATATTTTTCTCTTAATAATTACTCTAATAGGAGTTGGTACAGTGTGTCAACATTCTTGTTCACCCTCAGTAACAACATTCTTCAATTCCTGCTTTAATCCATCCATTTCTTCTTTAAAGTAATATTGAGCAATCATCATGTTTTTATTGAGATACAACCTTTCACTGCATTGTAATAAATTCCGATCATTTTCCATTTGCTAAAAATATTTCTTGCAAATTTCAATAAATTTCGCACTTCAAAAATTTATTTTTAGAAACAAAATCAAAAAAAACAACCACCTTCAACACCCAACAACTAAACACATAATTGAAAATGACCAGATCAAACAATAGCAGAAAGGGAATTGTCAGAAAACAAGGAAAGGGAGTTTGGAAATCCCTCGGACATCACATTAAAAGAGCCAATAATAGATCGGCCATGAGTGAATTGATTAAACATGATGACATTAGATTTTCAATTGTAGAGTTGGTGCTTGCTCCTTCAAAGCAGGAATGTGCCAATAAGGGATACGGACCACAGGATGGCTAGTTAAACAAATTGGAATTTTGATTTTGTGGATCCACAGCGTAAATATTGGATGGATCTTCGTTAGAGAACTAATTGTACCAGTAATAATTGTAATTTTATTGTGTCAATAAGGCACCCTTGAAGTTTTGGAATAAAACGAAAAACATGCTAAATTGAATAATTATTGAATGAATAGTTGATTTTTATTCGAATATTATTTGCAATTGAAAACTTTCTTACAAGTTTGATAAATATTGTCCAACTTGAATCTGTAGTTTTGGAAATGTTGTAAATTTCGCCCAGAATTTGTTCATATCTCAATAATTGTGCCCTCATTGACTGATTTTCAAAGCATCCATTGTTGAACTTTTTGATGTCAATAATTCCAACCCTCTACTGTTGTAAAATGTGTTTAAACAATCACAATGTGTTCTGCACCTTCGTGGTGTTAATCCAAACTGCAATTCACTAACTATAATCCCCCTTAGCTCAGTCGGTAGAGCGTCAGACTGTTAATCTGCAGGTCGGTGGTTCGAGCCCACCAGGGGGAGTATCTTTTGTTAATTTTTGAATTGATTTGAAGGTTATAACTACTCCCTTAATCAGGAGGAAAGAGACTATTCAATCCACTACTACGGTTATTATATAACAATTTTATAATAAGTTGTGCTTTTGTTGGAAGAATCATACATATGAAAGACTACTTTCTTTGTAAAAAGGAATGCTCTGAACTTTTAACAACAGGTATTCATAGTGCTCAAACTGAATGATCAATTGTGCACTCTATATTGAAGATTTCTTCCTTACTAATTTTTCTCAATACAGAGCAGGTTTTGAAGTGATTGAGAATGAAAAATATAAGCATTGAATTAGCTCAATTTAAATCTTATCTAAACATTACTCTTTATTTTACTCAGATTTAATTTTGTTGAGCTTTAGTTTGAGCAATGAGCAAATCAATCAAACCTCTCAAAAAGTTGATTCTATCGTTATCACCATTTTGAGCCTTAGCTTGATTACCCAAGAAATATCTACCAAATTCAGGAATTTGAGAGAATTGATTTCTTCTGGTACCTCTTCTGTTACCACCTCTGTTGTACTTTCTAGTTCTTCTAGCTGGTTGAGTTTGTTCAGTTGGTTGAGCAACTTGATCAGGTTGAGCAATTGGTTGTGGAACTTCTTGTTGAGCTACTTCAGGTTGAGCAACTTGTTGTTCTGGTTGAGCAACTTGTGGGGAAATATTCTTCTTGATCATTCCTCTCAAGTATTCAATTCTTTGCTTGTCACCATATTGTGGAGCACGTTGGAAGTCTGGGTTTTGTTGAGCAACTTGTTGATCTGGTTGTGGTTGATCAGGTTGAGCAATTGGTTGTGGACCTTCTTGAGCAACTTGTTGAGCTACTTCAGGTTGTTGAACTTGAGGTTGAGCAACTTGTGGTTGTTCTTGAACAGGTTGGGCAGCAACTGGAGCTTGTTCTTGAGCTGGTTGTTGAGCAATTGGTTGTTGTTCAACAGGAGCTTGTTGAGCTGGTTGTTGAGTTTGTTCAACTGGAGCTTGTGGTTGTTGTTCTTGAGCTTGTGGTTGAGCAACTTCAGGTTGTTGAGCTTGTTCTGGTTGAGCTTGTTGTTCAGGTTGTTGTGGTTGTTCAACTGGAGCTTGTTCAGGTTGTTGTGGTTGTTCAGGTTGTGGTTGTTCAACTGGTGGTTGTTCTTGTGGTTGTTCAGGTTGTTGTGGTTGTTCACCTCCTTGTTCTGGTTGTTGTGGTTGTTCACCTCCTGGTTGACCACCATCTTGACCTCCTTGTTCTCCACCTTGTTGTTGTTGATTCTTATCCTTCTTGTCCTTCTTTCCCTTCTTATCTTTCTTATCCTTCTTTCCCTTCTTGTCTTTCTTTCCCTTCTTATCCTTCTTTCCCTTTCCACCTTTTCCTTTACCACCTTTACCCTTACCTCCTTTTCCTTTACCTTTTCCTCCCTTACCAGCTTTTCCACCTTTTCCTTTTCCACCTTTACCAGCTTTTCCTCCCTTACCAGCTTTTCCTTTTCCTCCTTTACCAGCTTTTCCTCCCTTTCCGGCCTTACCACCTCTAGATCCACCTCTACCTCCTTTACCAGCTTTACCAGCTTTTCCACCTCTTGATCCTCCTCTGGCTCCTCCTCTAGCACCACCTCTGGCACCACCTCTAGATCCACCTCTGGCACCACGAGAACCTCCTCTAGCACCACCTCTGGCACCACCACGAGATCCACCTCTGGCTCCTCCTCTAGCACCTCTTGATCCTCCACGAGCACCTCCTCTGGCACCTCCTCTTGAGCCACCTCTGGCACCTCCACCAGATCTAGGTAATCTTCTGGCATAGATTGCTTCGACCATGGCATCTGTCAATGCATCGAATGAATCTGTGGAAGCGGTAACATATGTAGCGTAAAGCACAGCCATCAAAATGGCCATGACAATGGCAGATGTCAACTTCATTTTCGTTTTTTTTTACTGATGATTAGAATAAATGTGATAGCTGAACATGTTAATTGTGTGCAGTTACTATTGTTGACAGGCCAGTTGAGAATACAAACAAATTATGATAATCAAATGGGATAAGAATAGGCGCTGTGATTATAATTTGTGCTGGAGGTTGATTATGGAAGGTTGAGCAAGTACTTGGAGCGTAATAATTATTTTGAATATTGCTGTTAGGAATTTTGTATGATGATTTGGAATCAAATAATGTGGAATGATGATTATAACGAAGTGAAATTAATCCATTATGGTGATGGGGAAAATTTCAACCTGTTGTATTTTCTTAATAAACAATAATTATTTTATGATCATTAGAGAATAAATTGAATAGTTAAGGCCAATCACATTCCGCTTGCAAAACTTCTTTTAAAGATAACATGTTCTTCAACATGATCCGAAAAAAGGCTTGTGGGTGAAGATTGATTTCAATTTTTTAATTTTTAAAAATTTTGCCTTACTAGCTTTTGTTGATGTCCTTGTAACCACTCCAAAAATTTATACGGGTACTAGCTTTTGTGATGTTAGAGACTTGGATATTTTCATTAACATTATTTGATTCTGAAGATGTTGCAACAAATTTACAATTTGATCCGAATGTATTCTTCAAGTACATTTACAAGTTTAAGCAGTGAAACATGAACAAAACCTTGTCAGATCCGTAATATCCTTCCTTGCATATAATGACTGAAATCCAAACATTGAACATTTCCATTCTTTAAAGTTCCAAAATACCATGATCGCGGAACAAACTTGGAGAGTTACAAAAAATGAACTTACGCGTACATTGGTGAAGGTTAATTAACAGGTGAGAAGATTCAACATTTGTTTCCATCCAAACCACAAGAAATGAACTTTTTTAATTTCTAAATTTCCAAACCACAACCCAAGTTCACTTTGGCCACACCTACCAAAACCAATAAATCCACAGCCATGTGTCCAATTCTATAACTTCATCCTCTCTGTGTTATCCCAAACACAAAAAGAACTGAGGGTCCTCAAAGTTGAGGACTCTTCTGTTTTTTATTTTCACTGTTCATGCAGTCAAAGACTGCAGCGGGATAGTCGCCATATTCCTGGCAGGCTTCCCGTTTCGTTTTGTAATTGAAATCATTATTCGAATTAGGGAGAAGAAAACAATTCGTTGACGGTTAAGGAATCAGATATGTAGTGGATACCAACAAATGATTATCTGAAACTCCGTTCAAGTTTGACAAAATTTCTATTCTAAATCTTTGCATTTTCAAAAAGATTGCAATCATAGGATGGACTCGTTCTTTTATTTCTCTCCTTGGTCAACCTGAACTGACCACACTGAAAAGAAGTGTAAAAAAACATCAATGAAACCATCTCTCAGTTTTTCTTTAACACTGTTCGTTATCCTTGCATGTTTCACATGTTCAATCCTGACAAGTGAATGTGGTCCTGGATATTACAAACAATTTAGTTTTATTCCATGTCATCAGTGTGAACCAGGAAAATTCTGTCCAGGTGATGATAAATCACATGATTGTGCACATGGAAGTGTTTCTGGAATATTTGGTGCTAGTTCATGTTATGTGTGTCCATCCAAGAGAAGTAATGGACATAGAACTGCATGTTTGTTGGAGGATACTCCAGAGGATGCAAGTGAGATAGTGGATGGTCATGTGTTTGAAGTACATGCAGCAAAGATTAATAATGTTTACATGAGTTTGGATCCACAAGTTTCTGAAAATGATATTGCACAAGTTTCGTTTATTGGAAAGAATCAGTTTGATGGAGTTACTGTATATGCTTCTTTGAGAAGTGGTTATCCAACACCTGCCAATTCAGTTTCCCAATCTTCTGGATTGAATGCAACTGTTTCATTCTCTAGAGATATCCACAATTTCACAATCGTTTACTTTAGTTTATTTTCAAACTCTAAAGCTTCATTAACCATTCTTCCAAAATTGTTTACCCACTTTACTACTGAATATTCCTTGAAAGATAATTCACTCTCCCTTAGTAACTTGAATTTCGATCAAACAATCAATCTCATCCAATTCAAGAAAGATTTCATTCCAAAAAATACACCTGTCAATGTCAAATTCCAACTAACAGGCATTAATTATTCATATCCTTATCAATTATTATATTCTACCAATCCTTCTCTATATCAATTGAATCCAAACAATGCAAATTATCAAATCCAAGCCAAGAGAAATCAACTTGTGCAATTCACAGTCAAACAATCAAGAGATGGACCTTTCGTATTTGCCTTATTTGATGGTACTACTCTCTTTAATGTGAATATTAATATAACTCTCAATTATTAATAGTCTTTATCTTCATTCCAATATAAAATTGTAACATTTTAAAAAAGTCTTTGAAAAATTTGTAAAAATCTTGCGCTTTTTTTAGATTTTGAAAAAAAAATGTCGCAGATAGTGTCGCGTATTATCTTGGTGTTATCTTGCATCGTTGCTATTGGGTTGATGAATGGAGGGATCACAGAGGGAAAACTCAACATGATGAAGAGATCAGGTGCTGCAGATGATGATTTTGATATATTTGTAGGTTTTTCGGATAAAGTTTGGAAGAAAATTATAATTAAATAATAATAATCTTGATGCTTGAATTTTAATGAAAAATTAGGTTTTTGCATTGTCGTGGCCTGGATCAGCATGTTATACATTGAAGCCTTGTTTTTTGAAACCTGAAGTGAAGGATTTTACAATTCATGGATTGTGGCCAAAGTAGGTTGATGATTAAATTCAATTAATTTCGAATAATGAAAGTAAATTGGTAGGAAAAATGGGACCTTTCAATTGTAATGCTCCTGCTTTTAATTACAGTATTATCGAGGATTTGAGAAGTGATTTGGATATTTATTGGACAGGTAAATATTTCACAATTATTAATAGATTGAATATTTAATGATTGAATATTTGGAAATTATTTCAGATTATAAGAATGCTGCTCCTGGATTGTGGCAACACGAATATGATAAACATGGAACGTGTGCTGCACAATTACCTCAATTCTCAAGTAATGCAGTTCGTGATTATTTTCTTCAATCAATCAAATTGAGAAAGAGTATGTCAATTTTACCATCCCTCAAGAAACAAAACATTGTTCCATCCAATACCACAACCTATGACATTAAATTCATGAAGGAAGGATTCAAAGCCAGTGGATTTGGAACACCTGCTCTCGTTTGTTACAATAGTTCCATATTGGTAGAGGTCAGATTTTGTCTGAATAAGGAATTGAGTTTTATTGATTGTCCAACACAAGTTGGAGATCAATGCAAAGCCAATAGCGCCATTACTTTTGCCAAAACTGCATTTGCCTCCAATGAACATGATACTGCAGTGGCTGTGATTGGTTCCTTCTTTGCATTCATTGTTCTACTTTTGGTTTGTTTTGGATTGGCTATGGTTTGCAGAGGAGTGATGGTTGCCAAGAAGAATTACGTAGTTCTATGAAAAACCAAGCAAAATTAATTTTCAACCTCTCATACATGTTTAATTTATTTCAAAATTGTTTCTTCATTCTTATTTTCATAGATGGTGATCAGATGTAGCGATTCCTATCCAAGATCTAATGGATCCTTGATATTTATTCTATCAAATTGTGAAATTCTAAATCTTATCAGCTTGTTAAATAAAATGATTTTCTTTGGACTTAATTGACCAAACTAATTTTAAATTTAATTTTAAATTAAAAAAAATGTTGCAATCAAGAAACAGGAAAACCACATCATCCACTCATAATCTTGAAGAAGAGGAAGGAGGAGTCGATTTATCCATCAGACAATCATCATCGGAAGGAAATAATCATCATCATGAGGAATTTTCATCACATACAGAAGAGAAAAATCAAAGCCTATTAATTATTGTATTTTCCTATGTGGAGAGGATTCAACATTTCATTTCGGAATTTTCTCATCTGACTCGATTTATCATGCTATTGGTGTTCTTGATTGTTTTTATGGAAGTTTTGATATTTAGATTCCAATTTACATATGCTCCGAAGGTAAATGACAAGTATCATAATATATTATTGATTGGAGATCCACAATTGACCGATAGATATTCCTATTCGTTTGTGAATGATGAATTTGCAATTCTTTCAAGGTTTATATTCATGTTGTGTGATACTTTCATGAGGAAGAATTTTCAATCCATTCTCCGAATGAATAGGAACAATATTCACACAATTATATTTATGGGAGATTTATTTGATAATGGAAGGAGGATCACTGATGAAGAATATGGGAGGGAATTGAAGAGATTTAGGAAAACTTTTGAGAATAGAGATGGAATCAAGACGATTTATCTGAGTGGAAATCATGATATTGGATTAGAAAATTGGGAAAAGAAGATTTTGGACAGATTTGAAAAGCATTTCATGCCACTCAATTTTAATTATGCCATCAATAGTAAGATGAATATTATTGGAGTGAATTCAATGTATTTGGGAACACCAATTTATGATTTTCTATTGAAAAACGTAGATGCAGAAAATTCAAAGAATATTTTACTGACACACATTCCATTGTATAGAGATGGGCTTTGCCAGAACGATGACTTCGATACCAGAATGGGAACCAAATCTAGGAGTAGACCTTTGGAAGAGGGTTATGGAGCAGGTTACAGAAACATGCTCAATCCTTCAGATTCAAAGAAATTAGTCTCACTCACCAAACCAATTCTTGTTCTGAGTGGAGATGATCACGAATATTGCAAATTCCAACACAATGTCTATGAGCACACTGTTACAGAGCATACCATTCCAACATTTAGCATGTTACAAGGTACTTTCAAATATGGTTATGGAATTTTGACCTTGGATATGGAACGAAACTCTGTACATGACTTGTCCATCTATTACTTGCCAAAGATTTGGAATATTTTCATATTCTATGCCATATTATTCATTATTGCTACCATTTATTCAATCTTCAAGTTCAAATCCGTGTTGAGCTATTTGAGTATTTTAACTGTTTGCTTGTTGACTTATGTTTTATGTCAGGTATGGTGGTGGATTTTGTAAAACATCATTTTACAATGCAGAAATCAAACATCCAATCACAAGACATGGACGCAATAACATCCACACATCTTTAGTTTCGCCGTTACTGTTGTGGATAGATTGGAAAACTAAAGCGATAGAAGTGCTGAGGATAAAAGCAATCAACACAAAAAAATGTCTTGTTGTGGAAGCCAAAAATCCTGTTGTCCTCCTTCTTCATCATCACCAATGGAAAATACACCTAAACAAACAACTGCTTCATGTTGTTCAACCAACAATCAATCTTCATCATCATCATCGGATAATCATAATTTAATTAGTGAAAATACAACAGGAGTATCCTATACAAATTCCAATGCAGTTTATGAATCTGTGAAGGAATATTACGGAAAAGTCTTGTCTACTACTAAAGATTTGAAAACTTCTGCATGCACTTCAAGTGGAGCACCTCATCCGATTATGAAAGCTTTACTTGCTAAAATTCCAGATGAAGTATTGAGTAAATATTATGGATGTGGGTCACCATTGCCATTGGCTGGCATTTCTGGATTAACTGTCTTGGATTTGGGTTGTGGAAGTGGAAGAGATGTCTATTTGGCAAGTATGCTTTGTGGAAAGGGAGGAAAAGCTATTGGAGTTGATATGACTGATGAGCAATTGCAAGTTGCAAGGGACAATGTTGTAAAGTTGCAAGAAAATTTTGGAGCTGACAATTTGGCAACTCTGGAATTCAAAAAGGGATTTATTGAAGATTTGAAAGGTGCTGGAATTGAGGAAAATTCTGTTGATATTGTCATTTCTAATTGTGTTGTGAATTTGTCACCAGATAAGGCTTCCGTTTTGAAAGGTGTTTACAATAGCTTGAGATTTGGAGGAGAGTTTGTATTTTCTGATGTTTATTGTGATCGTCGTTTGCCATCTGACGTTCGTTCTCATGAATTACTCTTTGGAGAATGTATTGCTGGAGCATTGTACACAAATGACTTTTTAGCACTCTGTAAGAAGGTTGGATTCGATGATCCAAGAGAATTGACAAGAAGTGAAATTGTTATTCATGATTTGAAATTGAAGGAAATTCTTGGAAATGCCAAATTCTATTCCATCACTTATCGTTTATTCAAATTGAATGATTTGGAACCACAATGTGAAGATTATGGACAAATTGCAATTTATAGAGGAGGCTCAGAAGTTGATCATGTCTACAAGCATGCTTACACCTTAGATGCTGGACATGTCTTTGAGAGAAATAGACCAGTTCTCGTTTGTGGAAATACTGCCAGTATGTTATCCAAACCATCTTGGTTAGGTCCTTATTTCCAAATTATTGGTGATATGAGTACACATTATGGAGCTTTTGATTGTTCTAAGGGTCCATCAACTTCTCAACAACCTTCAACTGCCAATAGTTGTTCACCAAGCTCATGTAGTGGTAGTTCTTGTTGTTAACCTTGTATCTGAAGCAATAGAATAAAGTTAACAAGAAATCATTCACCAAATTACATTCTACAAAAGCAACTAAAGAACATGAAACATAAACAACTTTGCCTTAGGGGTTTTCGTTGTTATTTATTAGAAATAAAATTGGAAGATGTGCCTTATGAACATCCAAGAATTGTAACTTTAACTGAGAATTTGTCAATACTATTCAGATGCATTAACATTAGACCGTTCTCTTGACCTTTCGTACGTACTTTCTACAAAGACATCCAAGAAAATCACTGTTCAACATCCAAACCTCATCCAATTTACTCCTACCTCCAAATTGTATTTAAATTCGCCTTCAATTTTAATTGTTCCAATAATTTTCACACTTTAAAAAATCAAAATGTCTGCCACTTCCGAATCAACAAGCAAACTCTTCACACCACTCACATTGGGAACTGACAAAATTCCTGCCAGTCAGAGAATTACTCTCTCCCATCGTATTGTGATGGCTCCACTCACTCGTTGCAGAGCATTGGATGTAAGTACTATTATCAACAAATTCCGATATTAAATTCCGAAAACTAAATATTCATCATCTTGACATCACTTTTGATTGATTACTACAATAATTCATCACCTTTAACTGTTAAATATTATTTCACACAACTATTAGGGAGATTGTGAACAAACAGAACATGCAATTACTTACTACTCTCAACGTGCCACACCAGGTGGTTTAATCATTGCTGAAGCTTCACAAATTACACCACAAGGACAAGGTTATCCATGTTCTCCAGGTTGTTATTCCGAAGCTCAAGTTAAAGCTTGGAAAAAGGTGACAGATGCTGTCCATCAAAAAGGAGGTGTCATCTTTTTGCAATTGTGGCATGTTGGTAGACAACGTTATGCTGACAATGTCTCCTCTTCTGCAGTTCCAATTCAAAATGTGAAATCTACAAATTTGCAAACCAGAGAACAACAATTGCCAACTACTCCAAAGGCATTGTCTGTTGAGGAAATTAAGGTCGTTATGGAACAATATAAGCAAGCTGCTAGAAATGCCAAATTGGCTGGATTCGATGGTGTGGAATTGCATGCTGCTAATGGTTATCTAGTTGACCAATTTTTACAAAATGGAGTCAATAAGAGAACTGATGAATATGGCGGTTCTATTGAAAATAGATTGAGATTTATGCGTGAAGCTATTTCAGCATGTATTGAAGGATTTGATAATGAATCAGATCGTGTTGGAATTCGTATGAGTCCAAGTGGATGTTTCTTGGAAATTAGTGATTCAGATCCAAAACCACTCTTTGAAGCAGCTGTCAAGGCATTGGATGAATATGATTTGGCATATATTCACCTTGTAGAACCAAGAGTATCAGGTGGAGCAATTTCAGATAATGGCGAAGCTGAATCCAAACCTGTGGTTGTAACCAAGGAATTGAAACCATTGACAAGATCTCCAATTATTTCAGCTGGTGGTTTTACTCCAGCCACAGCAAAGATTACCACAGAGGAGGGTGTCACAGATATGATTGCTTTTGGAAGACACTTTATTTCTAATCCTGATTTGGTTGAAAGAATTAGAAATGGTCATCCACTCACTCATTATGACAGAAGTACTTTCTATGGTTCCAAAGATGTTGTTACTGGTTATACCGATTATCCAACTTTTCAATAAATTATCATCACACTGATTATTTAATTTCCTCTTTTGATTTCTTTTTTAATTAATATTGTGTAATATTAAATTCAATATCATCAAATGATTAAGTAAGCTAGCTTTTTTACTATTAATTAACTCCATCAAATAATAATTCAATTTCCAACTTGTTATTAATAGTACATGCTCAATCGGAACAATTAACTGAGCACTGAAATATTCCTTCCTCAAATAATATGCATCCACGTTCCACAGTGGCTGGCTCAGAACAAAACCACTTGAAATTCTCTATTTTTTTCCTATTAAGTGCGAAATTAAAGCGTCCTAAGATATCAAAGTTATAAATTCTTGGCGCGCAACAAACTTACTGCGAACAACAATCAAATTCAAAAAAAACTACGATAAAAACTCATCACTGAAAATGTCTGCTTCATCACCTGCAAAGTTATTTACTTCACTCAAGTTGGGAGGAAAGGACGGCTTGTCTTTGGACCATCGTATTGTTATGGCCCCACTTACTAGAACAAGAGCTGTTGCTGTAAGTTTGAAATTATAGCCTTTTTTGTTAATTATTGTGTCGATTATCATTTGATGAATATTTCAATGATGACAATGATGACGAACGATAATATCATCATTAACTATTTACTACTACATACAACTACTTTGTTTTGTGTGAATATTCATAATATATGGAATCAAATTCATTTCATGATCATTCAATTAATTCAATAACAGGGAGAATGTGAACATACTGATGTTGGTGCTATCTATTACAATCAACGTGCTTCAAAGGGTGGTTTAATCATTGCTGAAGCTTCACAAATTACACCACAAGGACAAGGTTATCCATTCACACCAGGTTGTTATTCCGAAGCTCAAGTTAAGGCCTGGAAGAAGATTACTGATGCTGTCCATCAAAAGGGAGGTATCATCTTTTTGCAATTATGGCACGTAGGTAGAGTCAGATATGCTGATTCTGTTTCATCATCTGATATTGCCATGACTGATCTTCCATGTTTCAACTTGAAGACCTTTGAACAAGTTACTGCTGAACCACCAAAGAGTTTATCAGTTGAAGAAATCAAGACCATTGTTGAACAATATGGTGCTGCTGCTAAGAATGCTATTGAAGCTGGATTTGATGGTGTTGAAATTCACGGAGCTAATGGATACTTGATTGACCAATTCATTCAAGATGGAGTCAATAAGAGAACTGATGAATATGGTGGTTCTATTGAAAATAGATTGAGATTTATGCGTGAAGTTGTTGAATCAGTTTTGAAGGCTGTCAATGGTGAATCTAATCGTGTTGGTATCAGAATTAGTCCATCTGGTGCTCTTCACCAAATGAGCGATTCTACACCAACTGAAACTTTCTCTGAAGTTGCCAAGACTCTTGACAAGTATGATTTGGCCTTCTTGCACGTTGTTGAACCACGTACTTCATTAATGTATTCCAAGAGCACTGAAGAAGTTGAACAAACTGAAACAGTTGCCTGCAAGCATTTGAGACAATTCTTCAAGAACCCAATTATTGCTGCTGGTGGTTTCAATAGACAAACTGCTATTGAAATGGTGGAACGTGGTGATGCTGATTTGGTTGCTTTTGGACGTCACTTTATTTCCACACCTGATTTGCCTTACAGATTGGAAAAGGATTTACCATTGAACAAGTACAATAGAGAAACATTCTACTATGCTGGTGGTGATCTTGCTACTGGTTACACTGACTATCCATTCCACCAACAAGAATAAACTACTTTTCCAATTAATTTAACAAATTATCTAGTTCCCTTTATGCACATTCTAAAAAGGAAATGTGTGGAAAAGGCGGTAACAGAACGTTCAATTGTTATTGCTTGAATGTTCCAAAAATTCGCGAAATTTTCAACAGAAAAACATTCAACATGTCTCATCTTCACCACGCTCATCATCACCATCAACACCAACAACAAATTCATCTCCAGCACCGACATTTTCATCAGCAACCATCCTCCTCTTCTTCATCTGTTGCTGTTGCTTGTTCTTCTTCTCAACACTTTCAACCTCATCCCTCTGATAATGACTCTGAGATTCACAATGTCGATTTGAACAAAATGCTTTGGAAACCTTCTGCTGATTCAATGGAGAAGAGTGTCATGTTTGCCTTTTCATTGTTTGCCAGAGAGGAATTGAATAAGCAAGGCAATTGTTCATATGAATTTACTAAAATGGAGATGCAAGATGATCCAGTTAAATATCATCAAAAGTTCTTTGAGTGGACTGTTAAGGATGATCGTTTCTGGGGTTTATTGTGGCAATTCTTAAAGATTAAATCCTTTAAAAACTATTCTCAAGTAATTTCAAGACCAAAGAAGATTTCTGATGAGGAAAGAAAAAAGCAAACTGAAGAGGAAATGCTTGCAAGTTTGACTACAACTCATCCTCATATGGGAAGTCGTTTCTTTGTGGGAGCTAAGGTCAATTATGCTCAAAATTTACTTCACAAATGCTTGGATCCTCAATATGTGAATAGAGTTGCACTCTTGGCCATTGGTGAGAATGGTATTAAGGGTGTTACGGTTCCGAGAGTGGAAATGACCTATGGAGAATTGTGGAATCGGGTGGCCAAGATGGCTCACTACTTGAGAAATGAGCTGGGGGTTAAAAAGATGGATCGTGTTGTATCAATCATGTCAAATTGCTCTGAATCCATTGTTGCCTTATTGGCTGTGACTAGTATTGGAGCTGTCTGGAGTAGTGTAAGTCCAGATTTGGGAAAGAAGATTGTTTTTGCAAGATTTCAACATATTGAACCAGTTGTCCTCTTTACAACTGAATATTACACATTCAATGGCAAGTTATTCTCCACCAATGAAACTTGTAAATACCTCATGCACCATGTTCCAACTCTTCGTGCTGTTATCAAGGTCAAAACTCTCGAATACGATGAAAAGTTCTTCCCTCAATTCTCTAGAAATACCTGTCTTAAGGAAATCATGTCCAATGAAGATTGTGTGAATAAGCTCACTCAACATTCTCGTATCAAATATGTCGATTATCATAGTGATGTTGTGAATGGTGGATTTTTGAGAAATTTATCACCAACTCTCTGTAATGAAAAGGATATTCAATTTGAACCTGTGGATGTGGATCATCCAGTTTGGATCATGTACACAAGTGGAAGTACAGGAGCTCCAAAATGTATTTGTCAAGGATTTGGTGTATTGATTAATCATATTAAGGAAACTCATTTGCATTGCGATGTTAAGGATTCTGATACTTCATTTGTATATACTAATTGTGGATGGATGATGTGGAATTGGTGTGTCTCAATGTTATATACTGGTTGTAAGAATGTGCTATATGATGGAAGTCCTCTCTTCCCTAATGCTTTGGCCATGTGGAAATTAATTGAAACTGAAAAGATTACCTTCTTTGGAACTAGTTCAAGATATTTATCTTTCATGGTTACTAACAAGATTGATTTGGTTCACAAGACAAAATTGGATATTTCTCATCTTCGTTTAATTACAACCACTGGTTCACCATTGGCTCCATCCACTGCAGTCTACCTCTACAAGTACATGATTCCACATGTTCACTTGAGCTCTATCAGTGGTGGTACCGATTTGAATGGTTGTTTTGCATTGGGTTCTCCATTCTTACCAGTCTATCCAGGTGAATTGCAATGTGCAGGTCTAGGTCTCGATGTTCAAGTTTGGAATGATGCTGGAGAACGTATCTTTGGAGATAATGGTGAATTGGTTTGTCTGAATCCATTCCCATCCTATCCACTCTTTTTCTGGGGAGAAAAGAATCAGAAACGTTACTTTGAAAGTTACTTTACAACATTTGATGGAATTTGGGCTCAAGGAGATTTGAGTGAACAAACTCCTCGTTTTGGATTCTATGTGAAGGGAAGAAGTGATAGTACCCTTAATCCAGGAGGAGTCAGAATTGGAACTGGTGATTACTATGATGTCTTGCAACATGTTAAGGAAGTGGTTGATTCAATTGTCGTAGGTCAAAGACAAAAGGATGGTAACGAGCAAGTCGTTCTCTTTGTTCAATTAGCTCCAAACTTGGAATTGAACGAACAACTTGTTGATAAGATTCATGACACTATCAAGACTCATTTATCATCTAGACATCGTCCATCTGTCATTGCCCAAGTGAATGGTGTTCCAGTAAATGTGAATGGCAAAAAGATGGAAAAGTTTGTCAAGAAATTGACCAATCAAGATCCAGTCCAACCATCAGAAATCAGCTCTCTCAAAAATCCAGAATGTGTCTCTGCATTCTTACCAGTCAATTGGAAGACTGGATCAAGAGTTTCCAAATTATAAAGTCCATTATCAATTCCCTTACCAAAATCTGTTGATTCTTGCCATTTCCTACGACTCCTTAATAGAAGGAATGAGGATGAAATATCCCTCTCTTTTTCTAGTAATCTCCGGTTCCACTACGGTGTGCATAATTCTCAGGAATTTATTTTGAGCCCGCTTACTACATAATATGCGCAATGTTTCTTCATTTGAGAGAAAATCAACGCTGTGTGTGAAATTTCAATATCCCTATAAAAATGCAACAAGAAGATATTCAGGAGATGCCCAACTCCAACTCCAACTCGATCAATAACATTCAATCATTATCAGCATGTACGGTGGACAGTATTTCTGATGGGTCAAATATTGTACCACAAGAAGAAGAGGAACTAACAAAAGAGCAGCAGACACCAAAATTGTATATCAGAAGATGGTTCCAATTATTATTGTTTGCTCTCTTGATGATTGTTGGACCTACTTGTACCGCAACATTCTCATCAGCAGGGTAAGTTTCCTCAATATTTGCATGATCCTTAATATATATATTCTCTTAATTGCCTTAATGCAGAACACTCATGATGAAATATTATCATCTTGGCAGCAATCAGAATTGGAAGATTAATGTGAGTAGTTTGCTGACAAGACCGTTTGCCATTCCATTATCTCTGGTTGTTTCCTTTGTTATTAAGAATTTTGGATTGAGAACTTCGATTGTGGTTTTTTCAATTCTCACCTCAGTGGGTTCTTGGATTAAATTAATGGGAATTCAGGTAAGTTTCCGCATCAATTCTCTTAATTTAATACGAATCAAATAGGGAACTGAATCATCATATTGGATTTCATTCATTGGACATGTTGTCATGTTAATTGGTTTACCTTTCCTTAATCATACTACTGACCTATTGGGCATGCTCTGGTTTGGTAATAATGAAAGAACATTCATCATGTCCGTTATTATTGCAGCTGGTGCCATTGGAAGCATTGTCGGAATAACCATCAGCACTCGAGTAATGACCATTGGCAGTGAAAGTTCAGAAGATTTAAGGTTCTCCGTATTGGGAACTTCAATCTTTTTCATATCCCAAGCAATTTTTGTAACAATAGTTGGGTTATTGGGACTGTTATTCTTCAAGGAAAAACCACCAACTCCACCTCTTTATGCACCAACTGAAAAGGAGGATTCGCCATCTTCACTTACTGAGCCAATGTTGTCAGAAGAAGAATCGACCGCTGAAAAGAAAGTAGAAGAAAGTAAGGATGTGTATCCTCCACAAACTCTCATGTTTGGTCTAAAGACCTTAATAAGAATGCCATCCTATTTCATGTTGTTGGGAGCCATCTCACTCTTCTCCGCTGCTACCAATAGCATTTCAATTCTTGAGCAGGTAATTAAGGTGAATAAGTATACAGCTATCGATGCAGGAAATATGAACATTATCTTGGTTGTGTTTGGAACGATTGGATCTTTTATCTTTTCATTTCTTTTTGACAGAACGAAACAGTTTAGATTGATTACTATCATTACGAGCTTTTCGGGGAGTTTGGGATATCTCTGGTTTTGCATTCTAACGTTGTGGTATAAGGATGATGGAATGTTAGTCATGTCAGGAATGGCATTTGTCATTATTGGATTTTTCACAGGTCCTACTCCATCATTATTGACTCAAATGACAGTTTACATTACCTATCCAGTGCATCCATCCACTACCATGCTCGTAACTATTGCTTTCCAAACAATTTGTGAAGTACTCATGCTCATCTATACGAATGTTCTTCAGGCAACGACACCACTCGCTCCAACCATTATTTTATGGACTTCTATGATATTCTATGGGATGGCATGCCTTCTGGTTGCTTGTACTAGAGGTAAATACAGTCCTGTTCTTCTCAAATAAATTTCCCACTCAACATTCCAATAGAAAATTAACAAAGTTCACTCAAACTTCCAGCAAATGCTCGAAAACATTAAAAAAAAATGCCAAAACAAGTGAATGAATTTTTCCTCCTCAAAATTTTCCAATTTTTACCGCCACAATCACTGCTCAGCAATTCCATTCAATTAATCAATAGAAAATGGTACAAGGCAAGTAAACATAATGATCTATGGTTTCCGCTCTATTCCGATCTATTGATGGAAGCAGATTTTGAGTGGAGTGATCAATTAATCTTTTCCGAAAAGCTTGATCGGGATGAATATTGGTACCTATTATTTAGAACCTTGTTTTGTTTTCCACTATTTCATAGATATCTGATTTGGTATCAGGAGGAAGATGAGGCCGAGTATTATAATGATGGAAAGAAGAGGCAGAAGAAAATTACTTCACCACCCAAAAAGAAACGAAAGAATGATGACAATGATGATAATGATTTGAGTAGTTGTAGTTGTAGTAGTAGTAGTGAGAATGATTCAGAAGAGGAAGAGGAAATTATTACAGAATTTAGTTTGGAGACATTTACAGAGTTTCGAATTCCCAATCCGTTTAGACCAAATGTGGAAGTTGCCTTTAAAAGGGATGGAGAAGAATTTGATTTTGAAATGAAATATAGTTTGGCAAAGATGGCTGCCATTCTTACAATTCTCGGTTCTGAACAGTATTCACCAAATGTGTGGACAGATCGTGTCATTGTTTCCCTAGTCAACTCGAAAGAAAAGATTTTACAAAGGACTGAAATGACAATTGCTGCCCTGTGTGTCTGTATTCGATTTGATAATTTTGAAGATTTTTACAAAATTCTATTCGATTCTGAAAAGTCAACTAGCTCAAAAATTGGCATTTCGTCCATTTACCATAAAGAGCAAGCCAAATGTTTTGTGGAAAATTTGGATCAGGTAGCAGTTCGCCAATAGAAGTGAAACTTTTGAATGGAAATGTAGATCGGGAAAGAATAGTTTTCTCCCTCGCAATTCATGGCAAACCTTACATGGTGAATTTAGTGAAATTAAATATAGAGCCAAGTTTTTGAAAGAGAAGAATGATGAGGATGGAGAAGAGGATGGTGGAATAATTTCCATTGAAAAACATTCAATTCATAGAGAATTTAAGTAAATGATGCAATGAATATGAGTCTCTATTTGAGTTTCGAATAGTTTTTTTTAATTAGTTTTTATACAATTTATTGTATATTAATGTTTCTTTGTGGAGATGATGATGAACATTTGTTGATGTGAAAGGGAACAAATCAGAACACTTTTTTGTCATCTAGAAAAAAAAATGGGCAAGTTGAGTTCTCTTCTTTCAATGTGGGAGAAGAAAGCAGAATCGAATAATAATAACACTGCTTCTAACATTCCACCAAAACGAACAATTTTCAAGAAACCAACTAGTTCTGATGATAACCAACCACAGAATATTCAAACTATTCCGGACGAAAGTAGTAAACCATCAAATATCATCATTAATGAAAATATTCGAAACGAAACAATCACTTCTAATGATCAATCAAATTCTATTGAACCATCAGCTCCACCACAAGAAGAAACTCACACAACATTGGAAGAATCTCAAGACGAAACAACATCAACTATTGTTCCACCACAAGAAGAAACTCCTTCAGCACCATTGGAATCTCAAGACGAATCCTCTATTGTTGTTGAAGAATTACCTTCATCATCCATTGTAGAATCATCAACAGAAAATTCCTTGGAAGAAACCTCTCAAGTAGTAGACGAAACTATTCCAGAAGAAACCTCTGAAACTATTCCACAACAACAAGAAGAAGAAGAAACCATTTCCACACAAGAAATTCCACAGCAAGAACAAGAAGAAACCACTCCTCAAATTCCAGACGAAACTACCGAAACTAATCAAGAGGAAATTCCACAAGATGCAACCAAACAAGGTGAATTTTTAGTTTCTCTCTCCGAATTGAAAGCAATTGTTTCATCCTCTCCAATGTCAAGCTCACTCCAACCCATTCAACGACAATTAGATTTGATTTTACAACAAAATAATTGTCAAACAAGAGATGAGCTACCATCTACTGTAGCATTTACATTTGACAGTTTGAAAACAACTCTTGATTTATATATGGATAATATATTTACAATTAATTCGATTATTTCTTCTGTTTTGCAAGTGATGGCACTTGGAAAAGTGACAGATGATTTAAGATTGGTTGTGAAAGTATTGTTGAGACATTGTCATTTGATTGAAAAGCAAGATTCGAATATTATTACACTCTTTTCATTGTTTATTCAAATGGCATTTGGAACTCAGGAAAAAATTGACCTATTGTTGGATATTTTGAGGAATGATAATATGAATCAATTGGTAATTAAGTATGGAGCTAGTGAAACTTCAAAGGCAGTTTTGGGAGCTGTATATCCAACATTGGCCAAGGTAGATTTCAAAATGTTTTTCCAAAGATATTCCAAAGTTTATTTTGCAGCCAAATTGCCAGCAACTGTCTGTGCTAGTTATTGTGCACAGGTCTATAAGGAGGCAGCCAAATATCCAGAATATGTGGAGCCATTCATTGAAGAGGCTGTTGTTACATTGGGAGATTTAATCAAGCTGAGAAATGAACCAATTGAAAGACTTTTCTGTAATGGATTGTATAATATGGTTAAGGATAATCCAGAAAAGTTTTTCAATAGTGAAAAATATGATTTCTATGAGACATCAATCAATGAGAGTAAGAAACTCTTGTTTGACAGCAATAAGACCTACATTGAAGAATTATTTGATTTGAAGAAGAATTTGCAAAGTGGAGATGACGATTCACAAGCAGGTGAAGATTTCATTCTCCTCATTGAATTTAATGGAAAGAAGAAGAAGACTAAGGAATCTGGAAATATCACTTTTGCATTACTTGTCAAGTCCATTCTTGAAAAGTTCCAAATCCAAGAAGAACATCAAAGCATGAATGAATTGTTTGATAGGGGAGTTATTGTAGAATACTTTGAAGATTCTATCAATGATTGGGTTGAATTAGAGAGAATTGAAGATATTCCTAGATCACCAAAAGTTGCCAAGATTAGAATTATTAAGGAAGAAATCCAAGTCAACCAAATCAGTCAAATTATTGAAAGAAACACTAATATTCAGTTGGTCAATGACAAGTATCAAATCTTGAAACGTATTGGTAAGGGTGGTTTCGGTAGTGTTTATTCTGCCAATGCCTATTCCTCAACAGAGACCAAACCATCTCTTTGTGCCCTTAAATACATTGAAATTGACAGTATTGTAAACTTTAACAGATCCATGAGAGAAGGTATTCAAATGTTGCAATTGGATCACGCAAACATTGCCAGAATTTCAGATGTCTTTGAAGTTCAAAGCTCTGACATTGGTATTATGGGTGTTGAAACAAAGAGATATCTTTGTTTCGCCATGCCATTGTACAGTCATGGTGACTTGTATGAGCTTGTTAAGAATCAATCTCAAATCATTACTGAAAAGTTATTGGGCTCAATTATGAAACAATTGATGGATTCCTTGACCTATTTACATGAAGAATATTCAATTGTCCACAGAGATATCAAACCTCAAAACGTCTTGATTGAATCCATTGATTTGGCTAACAAGACACTCAAACCAATCTTGTCTGATTTTGGTTTGGCTAAGACTTTACTCAAAACTGAAACTCAAGTTGCAGGTACTGCAAGGTAAGTTTTCACTTTTAATTAACAAGATTTCAATAATTTTCAATTTAATAGTTATATGAGTCCTGAAATGTCAAGTAGAAGAGGATACAACCTCTCAACAGATATCTGGTCGATGGGAGTCATGTTCTACCAATTACTTTCATTTGATTTTAATACTGATGTGAAAGGAAAAGTCCAAAATGGTGAATTCGACTTTTTGACCACCCAAATCGAGAGAACTTGGTCTGGACAAGATTTGGAAATTATTACCTCACTTAAAAAACTCACATTTGACATGTTAAATTTGGATCCAGATTCAAGACCAACTGCCAAACAAGCTTTTGAAGCATTGGCTTCCTATTAAAATCCTTTTCTCTTTCTAATGCTAATTTTTGTAATTTTATTTAATGAGATTGCCAAGAAACCTACACCTCAGCACAATATTCGAAATAAACGCATCGTTCATGTTTCGTAATTAATAGAAAAGCCATTGAGAATACACCACCAATAATACAATCCTTATATTCAGCCACAATAGGACATTCCTCCTTAATGAATTCTCTTAAATGATTCAAATCCGATAGCTCTACCTTTTCTCCTCTGATGTGTTCAGTTAATTGCGAGAATAAACAATCAGATTCCAAATCCTTCTTTTCTTCCTCAAAGGTTCTTCCTCCATTATATTCCTCTCTGGCATCATCCATAGATGATTCGTACTTGTCTACTAGATCTGAATTTAAGGAAATATCTTGGAAATAAAGCTCTGGATTGGCATTGGTCATGAATTCTTTGAATAATCCATGAATCTCTTCATCTTGCTTAATAATTCGTTTTAAAATTCCAAATCCAAATGACTTTTTCATTTTGAAAGCATGAATTTCTCCAAAAGTTTGATAATTTCCAAAATCAAAATAACTAAATTCAATATTTGGACTAATTTCAGTCAATTCTCCTCTTGGAATCCAATATTTACATAATTCCTTTCTAACATCTGTAGTTTCCTCTTGATCCAATGTAATAGAATTATTTCTCAAAAGTAATTTCCACAAATTGCTGTCATGTGAATAATTTCTCCAATTCAACAAATCATTCCATTCCTTGCAAACTAGTGAACAATTTTGTAAAGTTGTGAATTGCCAATCATCGTTTAAACTATCGAATAGTATTACAAATATCTCAAGCAATAAATCAGCTGGCAAAACTTGATGAATTCTCTTTTGAGTCGAATCCTTGGCTACGCTTTCCAATTCAGCACGCTTTTTTTGTGTATCGCGATAATATAATAAACCATATTTTGGAGTGTTTTGTTTTTTTGATAATGCTCTTAATAGAGCACGTTCAGAAATGTTGCTATTACTATTCAAAGCTGATGTTTGTTTAGCCAAACTCACCAAACCACCAGATTTAGCAATTAAACGAGCACCAACTATTTCACCAACTAGATTAGTCAAATTTGGTGCTATGGTTTGCATTCTTTTCTTTACATAATCCAAGAGGGAAGATCTGTATTCACTCACACTTTTAACTTGCTCAGCCAATTTAGTAATTTGAAGCATATCTTCATCAGAAATATCACCACCCATTGAAAAACTGGCTCCTTCTCTAACTTGTAAAGCCAAAGCTTGTGTTAAAAAATTGGTCAATGGAGCATTTTGGGCATTGCTTCTATTTTGAAGACATAAAACAGTCTCTATATAAAGAGAATCATCAGATAAAATCTTTGCCAATTCAGGAAAATGCCAACCATACCATTCCTTAACTCTCATTACATACGTATTCACTTCCTTTTCAAGCTCATCCAATAATGAAACAGATTGGACAATCATTGTATCAGTTTTTTCTATTTTTGCTTGATTATTAGAAAGAGTTTCTTCCAAATCATCAATATTTGCATCTCTCAACAAGTGTTCAAATCTAGAACGAATTAATTTCGTCAAGGCAATTGCTATCTCATCACAGATGCATTCAATATCAAATTCACTCTTGATGGTAGCTCCAAGTTTTTCATCACAAACCATCAATAAACTTTGATCAGTCAATTGATGCAATAACTTGGCCAACTTTTCCAATTTTAATTCAGCATTAGTTTCGGATAAATTTTGAAAGCTTTCCAACGATACTAATTTAATACTATTTCATATATCATCATCATCATCATTAGAAATTGTAATTATTTGGAGAAAATATATACATACTATTCCGAAAGTGATTGATTATTAGAATCAAACAATTCATTGATTGATTGCACACTGCCAATTTTACTTTCATCCAAAATACGGAACAAGGCATAACTAGCAGCTTTTGTTTCCAGTAGGAAAAACATTTTGTGTGAGTTTGTTTTTTTCAAATATTGTTTATTGTAAGCGATCCAAATGACATATATTTGAAATCTCACACAAAACATTTGAGAAGTAGATCTCTGTTAAATAGTTGGTTAGGTTAGCCACTGATATTCAAAAAAGATATTGAGATTGTACAAATATTGAATTTGGTCAAATAATAAAGCACTGGGTCATCTCCAATGCATTGCAGTTGGATCATTTACTACCCATCATTTCCTCCACATGAAAATCAGCAATTTCACAATCCTTACCATAACATCCCTTATCACAAAACTGTTGCACTCGCGCTTCTTAATATTTTTTCAAATTTAAAAAAAAAAATGCTAAAGAGAAAGCAAGAGAAGAAAACAGATAAAGCTCTCTGGTATCAAAGGCTTAATTCCTTGCTGGACACTATTGATGATGATGATTGTAAATTAGAGTTTTTTTTAAATTATTGCGAAAGAGTAAAAACTTTACCTAGTAAGCAACCGTGTTGGGTTGAAGGAAAGGCTTCATTCTTTAATGCCTTAAATGTTGTTCCGAAGGATTGGAATCAAAACTTTGAGTTTCCAATTGAAGATGCAGACAATATTGCTCAGTTATTATTAAAAAAGTCAGAATCGTGCTTTGAAACAGAGGCTTGTGAAATGTTGAAGAATCAAATTGAGTCCATCCTTTCTGATTGTAATATTACACGAATGTGCTTGTGTGAATTGATATTAGCAACCCGAAAATTACATGATATGTCTTGTAGAACTAATATTGGAGAACTAATAGTCTCCTCTGCCATTAACAGTCTATTGGATGTGATTTGCTCTTCATTTGGGACAATTAATTTGAATGGGTAGGTCATTACAACCTCTTTTACTTACGGTTGATAGTGATATGCAATCAACAGTTTGGTTGAGTGATGAATTACCTTTGATAAATCAACGAAATGATGGATATTTATATAATAAGGAAATCACCTTTTTACTGAAAGAAGACAAAGCTTTGGATGAAACTGAAAAATGGTATCAATTGGGAACTGATTTTCACAAGTTGATAATATGTATGAAGAGTTTATTAAGGTGCGTAATTTGATTCAGATTATGTTTATACGAAATTAGAGAAAACATGCAAAAATATGCCTTCAAAAAGGAAGAAATGACAAAATACAGTAAGGTGATGGGAATTTCATATCTTCAAAGAGTTGTTTACTTATTCATTTTAGAGGCAAACTTTGAGGAAGTGAACTATCAGAAAGAATTGCTAATTGTTCCCAAATATTCAATTTACATGCACCAATATTCGACACGTCCAGTTCAAATGTTGAAATTGTTTTTGGACATTGGATATTTCATTCAACACTATGTTCCTAAAGATATTGGTTCAGAAATGAGGCCATATAGGCCTGCATTAGAGACACCCTTTAAAAATCAGGTTGGATTAATTGATGAACTTACAACAGACAGAAAAATCAAACCTCACAAAAGAATGAAACAGTATAAGCAAGTTGTTGGAGTTGTAAACAATAGTGAAGATATCTACATTGTTCGAACCACTTCAGTAATTAAGGATGTAAATAATGAAGAAAGAAATATAATAATGAGATTAGTGAATAGGAAGGAGTATTGTCTATACCTTCCACAAGTGCTTAATATTTATTCCAATAGTGTTGAATTTGAAAAGCTTCAATCCATTAATGAAGATGATTGCAATGAATCATATCTCTTAAAATTGGCAAGTGATATTTCAATAGCTATGGGTTTTCTTCATGCAAACAAAATAGTTCACAGAGATATAAAACCAAGCAATATCATGAAAAGATCATTCAATAACGCAAGTAATATTTCATGCTTTGTTTTAATAGATTTTGGTGTGAGTTTTGAGATTGAAGAGGATGAAAAGGGTTATTATTATGAAGTGAGAGAAAACGAAACTGTGCTTGCCAATGAAAATGTGGGAACTCTTCTGTTTAAATCTCCAGAGGTTAGCCAAGAGCTCAATTATAATGAAAAAGTAGACATATACAGCCTTGGAGCTTCACTTTTATATTTGAAAAATAGGACGGTGTTCACTGCAGTATTCGAAAATGCTATGGATGAGGAAAATATCAACTTACATCTAATAATGAAAACTATCAAGTGGGATATTACTGAATTTGGTGTGATGGTTTTAAAAATGGTTGATTCTGATCCACAGAACAGACCGTCAGCAAAAGATTTAGAATCATTCTTTACAGACCTTTACACGAAGAATAACTCTGGTGAAAACTGATATTGCTCCTTTTCAGGTTTATTGCAAACCTAATCTCTTTCGCGCTAATTTTCTTATTTTTACCTCTTTCTTTTTTCTTTGGCGTCAAAAAATATTTGTATCACCTTGGACCCAGAAAAAAGAAAGAGAAAAACTCAAGTTTATCAGAATTTAAATAAATATAAAAATGCCAGGACGGTTTGTGAGCAAAGAAGTACAAAGAGGTTTCCGTTTGACTAGAAAAGAGAGAGAACATTGGCTGATAAGAAGAGTTTTGGCCAGTAGAGTCCGATCTCGTCCAGAACCAAATCTTCCAATTCCTTCCACTTCTGAAACTTCTGAAGCTACTACTCATTCTGTTGCTAACAACAATGAACAATATGAATTTCACATCCGTGATGAAGGTAGAGATCTTCGTAGACGTATTGTTGATGTTTCTGCTCTCTTTTCCTTCGCCGGAGAACACATCACGTCTCCTTTGAAATATGTTGAAGCATATTTTAATTACGGAAGTGATATTATTGGTAATTTAAGTGCTGGTAAGTTTCTACAACTTGATATATTACTTATTATTATTAAATAATAATTAAATAAATATATATTCCTGATGATGATAATTTGGAATAATTTCAGATCAAGATATTGCTCCAGCTGTGGCTATGGCTGATCTTGGTGTTGTTGTCCAACAAGTAGAAGGTTAGTAATTAATTATTATTAATAATTAATATAAATAATAATAATTTATATTCCGATGATGATGATTTAGACCATACCTTGGAAGGCTATCTTCCAGAAGCCAACCTTCTACTCGAAACACCTTATCTACATCGATACGGAGTCGTATGGCAACCTCCTACTGAAGAAGAAATCCTTGCAAAGGCCAAAACTCTCTCCAGAAGTAGAATTTGCATGCTCACTTCTCAAGAATTGATGAGAGAATTAAGCTTTGATGAATTTCATAATGATGATAATGATGATCATGCTCATGTTGAGGGTAATTTTCTCTTCCCTGATGATTACAAGAAGATTGTTTTCAATGGTTGGGAATTTTGTTATGGTTATTGTTGGATGCAAGAGTTTGAACTTTCCGAGCACACTGTTAGAATTATGAAAATGTTGAAGGCAAATATGCTTGTGTAGGAAGGGCCTTGTTTTTCTATGTGATCATATTTGTTGCTGTTTAAATTATGTAAATATTTGTATTATATTTTCAATATATAGTTATTGGTTAATTAGAGGAAGTCAATGTACTGCTCTTTCTTTTTGATGAAGAAAATGTTCTACTTGTTTTTTCGGTTTAAGTGCACTTTCCAGCTTTTGAAAATTGTTTTGGACACAAATAAGCTTGTTTTCTTTCAATCATCACAAAACCAATAGTTCTATCTTCCTTCTCTTGCAGAATATGTTCTGAATTACTTTTAAGACCGGAATAGTTTCCGGAAACTTTTAGCCCCAAAATAAAATTATTTAAAAAAAATATGATCACACAACCAAGCCATTCCATCACTTCTAAAGTGCAAGAAAATGTAGAAAATATTCCATTCTCTGACGATTCGCTCTTTGAAATTTTATCTTTTCATGATGATTTTAAATTTATTGTACAGAGGTGTGCATTGGTTTCCAAACAGTGGTTTCGTGTCATTAAAAATTCATGTAAACACCTCTCGATAACACGTAGTAGTGATTGGGAAATGGTTGGTCAATTGCCGTTTTTGGAAAATATTGCAAATCTAAGAGTGATAAATAATGAGGAAATTGGATTTAATTGTGAGATATTGGATTCGATGAAAGAATTGAAAAAGCTCAATATAGAATATAATTCTAATATTGATCCAAGTGGATTCAAGTATATATGTTCATTGGAACAATTGACTGATCTTTATATGACTTTCTGTTATTTTAGATTGCCTATTGCTAAACATTTACCATCATTGAAATCACTAACTTATCTTCTTATTACGGGTAATTATATTGGTGTAGAAGGAGCCAAGTATATTGGTGAAATGAAGCAATTGAAACAACTTCATATTGCTAATAATAATATTGGCCCAGAAGGAGCCAAGTATATTAGTGGCCTTGAACAGTTGACTTTTCTTAATATCCGTGCCAATGAAATTACTGTGGATGGAGCAAAATTTATTAGTGAAATGAAACAGTTGACTGTCCTTAACATTATTGGCAACAATATTTGTGACGAAGGAGCTAAATTTATTAGTGGAATGAAACAATTAACTAATCTTGATATTTCTGTTAATAATATAGGCGAGAACGGTGCCAAGTATGTTAGTGAAATGATGAATATAACCAAACTCAATATTGGTTTTAATTCTATTAATGACGGTGTTAAGTGTTTTGGAGAAATGAAACAATTAACAGATCTTAATGTAAACAGTCGCTGTATTGGATCGAATGGAGTAGAATACATTTCATCATTCAATCAATTAACTCATCTTTCTATAGCTAAAAATTTGATTTCACTGTATGAGGCTATGCACATTAGCCAAATGAAAAATTTAATTAAGCTTGACATTTCTGATAATGATATTGGGGATAACGGAGTCCAATCTATAAGTGAAATGAACCAATTAACTGAACTTAATGTTTCTAGTATTGATATTACACCAATAGGTATACAATATATCTGTAAAATGGATAATTTAACGTATCTAATAAGTGCTCATAATAATATTGGAGCAAAAGGTGCAAAACAAATCAGTGAAATGAAGCACCTAGCACAGCTTTCTATCTATCACAATGCTGTTGGAGATGAGGGAGCCAAATTTATAAGTGAAATGGAACAATTAACTTTTCTAGATATTGGTTACAATGAAATTGGTGACGAAGGCGTTAAATTCCTATGTGGAATGAAGCAATTAACAAGACTTAACACAGTTGACAACAATATAAGTGATGAGGGTGAAAAATATATTCGAGAAATGAATTTGGCAGATCATGTGGGTATTTATGATGTTTAAGGGAAGTGAACTTTATCAAGATTATTTAAAATTGGAATAAATCATATTCTAGTGTACTATATATTAATGGAATTTTCACATGGAGAATTTGATTTTCTTTTTTTTTAACATTTTTTAATTCTTCAAAAGGAAAACAGCAATAATTTCAATTATCATCTTAAAAAATTCAATTTTACAATCATGAATAAAAATATTAACAAATGAATATTGAAACAACTCACAGGAGAAAATTTCAACTCCGGGAACTAACAATTGCGGAAGGATTAAAATTGCATCTTTCTCCTGTTTCAATATTCACACAAAAAAGAATCAAAAAAAAGAATCAACAATGACCAGAAGGGATTTCGATGAATTGAATAATTCACAACCATCATCGGAAGATGTTGAATTGAAAAGTACAAAACAGATTGATGAAGAAAATTCCTTGCCAATTGATCATCACTTGCTGAGCAATGGAAATTTGGAAGAATTGACTGAAAAACAGTTGGAAAATGAAGAGAAAACTGAAGAAATACCTGAAAAAGTAACACCTTTACCATGGGGAAAATTATCAGTTGTGTTTTTCATGTATTTGTGTGACAGTTTGAGCGTGACGTCTCTATTTCCATATGTCACGTTCATGATTGCTGACTTTAACTTGACAGACAATCCAAGAGAGTATGGATATTATGTTGGATTATTAGCAGCTTCCTATTTTATATCTCAGTTTATTAGTTCATTTCTTTGGGGAACAATTTCGGATAATTTAGGAAGAAGGCCAGTTTTACTTTTTGGAACATTTTTTGGAGCAGTGTGTGTTTTAATGTTTGGATTTTCAAAGTGGTTGTGGTGGGCATGCATTTGTAGATTCTTTTATGGTTTATTAAATGGGTAGGTTTCCAATAGTTTAATTAGAGAAATCAAACTAAACTTCACTTAGAAATTTAGGAGTGGTAAAGAGTTATTTGGGAGAAATCACAGATAGTACCAATCAGGCGAGAGCATTTTCTTTTACAAGTATTACATTTAGTTTGGCATCTGTCATTGGTCCATTACTTGGAGGATTATTTTCAAGGCCTTTCCAACAATATCCAAGTTTTGTAATGTTATTCCCAGAATGGTTACAAAGCTTTATTATTCAATTCCCTTATATTTTACCTAGTCTATTCATTTCCACTTTATCCTTCCTATCTTTCATTTTGGCCTATTTTAAATTGGAAGAAACTAATCAATCGAGTTGGTATTACAGAAAGTTCATTTCAAAAGAATCTGAAAAGACCATCCAAAAATCATCCACTACCATTTCCAAAACCAATTTATTGTCCTCTCCAACCACTGAATTCGAATACTCTGAACAGGAACCAATTATTAAGGAAAGCCGTTTTGAAAAATTCAAGAAAAATTTTAATAATTTCAGAAAACATGAAATGTTGTCCTCTCCTGTTCCATTGGCTACTTGTTTCTTGTATTTGTTTTTGGGTTCGAGACAAATCATGTTTGACGAATGCTATCCTCTATTTTCAGTCATGCCAATAGACAAAGGAGGATTAGGCATGTCTTCTTATCAGTTAGGTAGTAAGTATATAGACTATTCGAAAGTAGATTAATTGTTTAGTTTTGGGTGGAACTTTGGGATTTATTCTATTTTTGAGTCAATTGTTTATTACACCACTTGTAGTTCAAAGGTTTGGTCCATTGACATGTTATAGATGGAGTATTATAGTTGAAGCAATTTTCAATGTCATATTTCCTGAAATTATTTGGTTGGTAGTTTCAGATACTGATCCAATGTGGAAACATATCTTATTCTGGGGCGCTCTTGGATCTATTCTTTTGGTTAAACAGGTTGCAACGGGTTATACCTTTTTAGGAACTTTTATTTTCACCAATAATAGTGTTTCTAGAAGAAACTATGGGAAAGTGAACGGAACTTCTCAATCATTTGTTTCACTTTCAAGAATGGTTAGTCCAATAATTGGTGGATCTATATTCGCTAGCTCTGTTGCAGTGTCCAAATTTCCAATTGACCATCGTTTGGTTTTTTATGTTGCGACTTCCATTAGCATTCTCATGTTTTTAGTTTCGTTAATTTTGAAAAAAACTATCAACAAACCAAAAGAAGAATTGGAATCAACAACAATTGAAAAAGTACCAAAAGACACATTCGAATAAATGTAACTCAATCTCTTGTTTTATTAAAATAAAAAATTTACGCAGCTTTATTTATACACTTTAACTCTGTTAATACCATTGGTATTGGTGGCGAGTAGTGTCCGATAGAGCTCTGTAAGCTTTGACTCATTAAGCTTATCGTATCCCCTTGTGCCTTTTATTAAAATAAAAAATGATTGGTTCCATCAAGTACTTAAAAATTTGATGGACACAAACAAGTTTGTTTTCAATCATACTAAAAAAAATGCCATTCTTGCGCTCTGACAAGGACAAGGTGATTCAGAACCAATCCTTGTTTCTATCAAAACCACCACGTGGTTCCTCTGGCACACCAAAGAGAACAGTATCATCATCTTCATCCTCTTCATCAATGAACACAGCAACAACTCCTTCATCATCGAAAGCTTCTTCAAGCCAAACTAGTACTCCACAAAGAAACAAGAAGAACCAAAGCACACCTACCACTCGTCCACTACTTTTAAAAAGAAAACAACCCACCACCCCTACTAACACTTCAACACCTTCCTCATCAAATCCATCAAATCATCATAACAGCAATAATTTAAAATTAATTAAAAAATATTCAAATTCTGATCCGAAGTATAATAATCAGCTTATCAGACGGGTTGAGAAGAAGATTGCTCCACAACTTGATTTCAGTGATTTATTGTCATCCTCAAGTGAAGAAGAAGAAGATGTTAGAATGAAGAAGAGAAAATATGAAGACTTTGATTCTGGAAGCGAAAGCTCGGATCATTCCTTCATAGGAAAGAAATTAGTTATTGATCAAGTAAGAGAAAAGAAAGCTAGCTGCAAGGCTTCCAATATTAGTAATAATGGCAATGCAGCAGCATCTTCTAGTGGCTTGCATAATAATATTAATTTAAATACAATTTCAAAGGCTAATCATAATATTAATAATATTAATAATAATAAGAATACAAACACTAGCATCATTAGTAATAGTAATCATTTAAATAATATTATTAATAATCAAAGTAGTACTGGTACTAGTAGTAGCAATAACATCATCCACGATAATTTCTCCATCTATTTGTGTACTATTAATTCAGAAGGACATTCACCAGTACCTTCTCGTTGCATCAAAGATGATGGTTTAACAAAGAAAATCATTTGTTGTTTGGAAAATCCAGACAATGATCAATTAATAACTTTGAAATTAATCAACAATACAAATCATGATACGATTACCTATTTTAATATTGATGGAAAGGAATTACACAATAATATGGTTGCTGTTTTAAAGAGGAAGACTGAAATGTTTCTACGTGGAATGATTAATGAGGATGGGCATGTAGTTCCCTTATGTATGAAAGTTCCACAAGAAGCAAGTGACTGTGATGAAGAAGATTGCATTAGAGAAGAGAGAAAAATCATTGCCAAGGTTTTCAAGTGTGTCATTAAGGAGGAAACACAATTTGATGCAACTATTGTCAAAAATTCCTGTGTTAAACTTGAACCAAAATCCAAACCAGGTTTAAATCAAAACTTGGCAGTAGGTGTTGGCAATCATCAAATTGTTGAACAGACATCTGATCTCCATAATGTGACTATTGAAGGTATGGAGGATCAAGTTTGGAAGTTGTTGGAATTGGTTTATTTGAACAAAGACATGTACATGAGAAAGTCAGATATCAAAAAATCAACAATGAATATTTCATCATCAACTCCAAAAACTCTATCAAATAATATGACACTACCAATGAACTCAGAAACTCCACCACCTCAATTAAAATCAAATAGCAGTACACCACCACCTCCATCAGTTAAATGTACTCTTCCAAGTGATGTGATTTCAACTAGTACTGCTAGCCCAGTTATTAGAAATCAGACTGCCCACATTAAATCAACACCTCAAAAGGGCACCCAAATTACATCATCACCAGTTACCAGCAATTCACATTCGACAACAGTTAATTTGAAAAACAATTTTCAACCTTCCTCAACTAATAGTGTAGGAAAATTACAACAGACACTGCCATTCCCAAACAATTATACCACCACCAAACAATACAATCAATACAGCAATCACTCATCCAATGTCGAGCCATCCAAGTACATCACAAACCAACCTTGCTTCCCCAAGTAAGCAAGAATCAGTTCAAAGAGAAGCTGAGCCAATTAACGATCCAGAGGAGTTAGTATTAACACAACCTCAAATTGAGGATGCAATGGAAGATGATGATGTATTAATTATCGATGTGGTTCAAAAAGAAGTTCCAAAGGAAAAAGAAGAATATGTATCAGAAAAATTTAGGCAAAATCTTATCAATTATGCCAAGCAACTCAACCCTGATACAATTAAATCATTTCTACCACAATCTATGCAATGGGTTCAACTTTTGAAAACGTGTGGATTGAGTGCAGAAGATATCAAAAAGGCAACAAATATGAATAATCCGTTTACTGGAAGTTCATTTATTGTACGTACTTTGGATGACACAACTATGAATCAATTTGGATTTTCACAAAAAGCAATACAAATTCTAAGAATTGTCAGAGCACACTTACTTTTTAATAAGGATGAATTTGGGCTTCAGTTTTGAAAATGGCCTAACTCTCAATAGATCTGAAGTTGAAAGATTTTGCGAATTGATAAACCAGCATACATCATTTGGAGAATCATATAATTTTCCTTTCGAAGATGTTGCTATTAAGGATGTCCTGTTGGCTTAATGATAATGATGGGCAGAAAGATTATTCCAGTAAATTGCAAGTCCACCAGTACAATGAACGAAAAGTGGGTTAATTTACACACATCCTTACCTTCAGTCGCTTTCCTTAAACCTGTAACGAGGAACACATTCTTGACAGCTAAAACACGACATTGCACACTAGAAGAGTTTTCTTCCAAATTACCAAACTATTTGGAAAGAATGAAAGATAAAATCCAACCTTTGCTTAATATTGTACAAAAGTACAAGACAAAATAAACAATGTAAAATATATGATACATTTATCTAGTTGTGTTGGGCCTGTAACTATCACTATCCTGTACTCCTGACAGATCTAATTTCAAATTGAGTTTAGATTTGGAAGAGAACATGCCTGACTTTAAGGTGGAACTCTTTTCCTTCTCTTGTGTTGGAGTCTCTACGGTTCGAGATGATTTTTTACCAGTAGTAACTGTCTTGGTACATTGTATGATACAGAAGAGAGTTGTTGGATGTATGGAATAGACCTTGTAGGAGGAACCAATCTTTTCAATTTTCTGTTCCTTATAATCGCAAACCATCTCAGTACTGCCCAAGAAAGCTTGTCCATAATAGTTACCTCCAGATCTGAGCACTACATTATCTGTGGTCAATAAAACAGTATAACCACCTCCACAAAAAACTCGTCTAATAATGTAATTGGTTGGAAGGTCAATCTTTTGGAAAACATTCTTTGGTGAATAAGAACCGTTACCTAATTGACCTAAATCTCCTTTACCGCATGCCCAAATTTCATTTCCCTCTGTCAATACAATTGTATGTTGGGCTCCACATGCTAAATCCTTGATTGGCTTTCTTTCGAATGGGAGAGATGGTGGATTTTCAAAGTATGCTCTCTCAACTGGTAGAGCATAACCTAATTGTGAAAATTGGTTATTTCCTGTACTGTAGAAAACATCAATGCCTCCATTCAATGTAGCAACAAGACAGGTATGTGCTCTACCACAAGCACCAAATTTGAAATCAACATATTTCTTTTCTTCATCCGTATAATCTTCACCAAAATCAAATTGAATCTTTTTCAAAAATCCATAACAATCCAATGTTGTTCCATCTCCCAATTGACCATTACTATTATTACCACTCACTAAAACCTCCTGTTGTGAAGTAACAATGAGGAAATGATCTGCGAAAGGTGATGTCGAAAATAATTTAATCTTCTTTCCTTCCAATTCTTCATCTTGCAATCTCTTAAAATAGCATGATGAACGTTCACCACACCAATAAATTTCATCGTCCTTTGTTAGAATGAAACTATTATTTCTTCCACAGAAAATACTCTTAATTTCAAATGGTGGAATTTGACCATTTCCTGAATTTCTTGCAGTGTTTGGAGTTGTTTGTAGATGTACATCTCGTAAGAAATCCAACTGGGCACGGGAATCTGAATTGTCAGTTTTCAATTTTGGAACTTCTTTCACTGTGGCATTTGAAGACTTTCTTTGTCTAATTAAAAGAGATCCAAATGGTTTCAATCCTCCACTATTTCTCTTCTTTTCCTTATCCTCATCAGTGCTAGATGTCATGTTTGCATCTTCTTCACTAATTGGTGTCATACCTGGATCACTGCCCACTGAAAAGACAACATTATCAAAGTCAAAACTTCCCATATCTCTAGTATTATGTTTAGTGGCCTTGACAGTAGCTGTATTAATAGTTGGAAGCGAAGCAGAATCGTATCGAACATGGGTTGGTGGGTGTGCATCACTGTATCGACGTGATCCAGTTGCAGATTGATCAGAGTTTGGTGATAATAATGCAGAGGGAGTTCCACCTACTGAAGCTGAAATTGGAGATGGAGAAGTTGTTACAATGTTGATATCATCACTATCCTGTTGTTGATGTTGTTGTTGATGAATATGAACTGCTTGATTGGATTCACCACTCACACTCAATCTAAAATCTCCATCATTTGAAACCAATTCCTTTACAAAATTCGATCGGCTTTGTGTGGAGGATGTAGATTCAGATTCGAGTGGAGATGTTGCAATACTAGATGATTTTGTATGTCCCCTTCGCTTTGAATGGCTTGAATCATAGAGAGAAGCATCAAATGGTACTTGATTGACTGTATTACTTCCTGTAGAATTATTCTGTTGGGGAGAAACTGAATTCAATGCAGATTCTCTAATTTCCAAACTTTCTCCAAATGGAGATCCCGAACCACTTGATCCAATAGGAGAGGAAAATGTATTAGAATCTGCCACATTTTGTGTTAAAAAAGTTTCACTCGTGATAGGAGCACTCGTTGAAAATGTTTCTGCAGAATTTTCATCACCATTATTACCAGTACCATTCATCATATTCTTTCTCTTTCTAAAATCTGCCAAATCACCCAGTGCATCATTTGCATTTGTATTGGATTGAAACATTTTAAAAACAGAGCTCGAATTATTACCCGAAGCTACCTTCTTCTTGTTCGTTCTCAATGTTCCATATCCAATATTTGTCAAATGATGAAGAGCTTGTGGCATTGATTGTGTTTCATCAAAATCTGTCGCAGCAAATTTCATAGGTGATCCAGTGAATGGACTTTCCAAAGTTGTTCTTCGTTGATGCAAATGTGAAAAATCGACTCGTGTTAATTTGTTAATTTCTTCTTGATGTTTGCCCATTCCTAGTTTACCATAGGCGTTACTTCCACAAACGTACAATTCATTGGTATCTATTATTTTTAATCAAATCAATAATACACCACATTTAGTATTATTAACAGTTGTTACAATATAGAGTAATATTGAAAGATGATGATGAGATGATGAATTTGTTATTATTATTGTTTTATCATGATGATGATGTTATTATTGTATTACACATAAACAGTATAATTAAATTTAAATATATAAATAAAAATCATCCCATGATGATGATATAAATCATTATAAAAAACAGCACACAAAATACAACAAGAAGAAAAATTCCGCAATAAAAAGCACAACAACAAGCAACACAATTTTTTCCCTCCAAAAATCTACAACTACTATAAAACTTACCAGTCAAAATCAACGTATGATCATAACCAACAGCAACTTGTTGAATGACTAATTCTGGCGGGAGTTTTGGTTCCACAAGTTTTTTTGTGGGTTTGTTGTTTCCCGTACAAAGTTGTCCTATTATAAAAAATGTTGTTTTAGTTATTGGAAAGGTTTAGAATATTGTTTAGTATTATTTTCAAATTATTGATAACAAACCAAAGTCATTATCACCCGAGACAAGGAGCGTCCTCTGTTTGACCTCCATTATTTTTTTTTGAAATTTGACAATTGAAAGCCGTTAAATGGCATCAAGCTCATCTCAACATTTGACAGTCGGCCTTGATGATATTCGAAAGTGGCAGTGAATCGAATAAGTTACAAAACAGCGAAGCACTACCTTCACTTCATGAAGACAAGTTTCGAATAAAAGTTAAAGTAAACTCAATATATTATTCGAAAATTCAGTGATCTTTAATCGTCATCCTGTTGCGAATTTTGAAATGTTATTATAAACACATCAAATATTGAACAATTCAATAATTGTTTCTTAAAGTTTACAATATAACTGTGCAATGTTTTTGTAACAAAGAATGAACTTCTTCCATAATAATGCATAATCTTATAATCTTGTAAATTTTCAATCGAATCGAATGGATTTTCCATTAAAATTGGCTTTTGAAGTTCGTTTGAATTTTCGAAACGTTTCCCACAAATAAAAACTCTTCCAAAATTGGTGTGAAAACAAGTATGATTCGATCCACCACTAATATCCACCACAATTTCATCTCTATCTAAAGATTTACTCAATTCCACAAGAGAAATCATTGAATTACAACTAATCAATGATTTTGGAAGAAGTTTCGAATCAAATGGAATTTGACCACTTCCACACAATCCACAACTAAAGATTTTGTTTCGTTCTGTAATGACGAATGTTGCATAATTGGTGCACTTGATAGATTTGGGTGAGGAGAAGGATAATTCAATTGGTTTCAATGAACATGCTTGAAAAGTATTTCCAAAATAGAAAATTCTCTTCTTGTTTGTCATGACAATCGTATGTGAAATTCCACCATCGATATCTATTGGAAATTCATTGTTTTGAATGAGTAAATCGGTAAAGAATTCATGTGGAACGAGTGTCAGTCGATTTTTTGCATCTCCCATTCCCAGTTGACCAAATTGATTTTCTCCACATACTAATAATTTACAATCTCGAGTAATAATCATTGTTCTCTTTCCAATAGCTTTTGCAATTTGAACATTTTCCAATATTTTTGTAAACTTTGTAACACATTCTCCTGGTTGAATTGACAATTGACCATCATCACTAGCTCCACAAGCATACAAATCTCCATTCACAGTCAATAACAAACTATGTTTCGTTCCACAACTAATCTTGTCAATCCACAATTTTTCATCATGGAGTGGAATTTTTGTAATTTCCTTGATGAAGGAAATCTCACCCAATGATAATTGACCGAATTGATTACAACCACATCCATACAACGATAACTGTCCACTTTCATGTGCAGATAATGATTCATCAATTAGAAAAAATGTAGAAATACTCGAGCTAGAAATATTCACAATTTTTAAATGTGGATTCCGATCAAAGAAGGCAACACGAGTGAAGGGAATATCATCTAATAGTGATGTGTCTTTGGAGTCAATTCCGAGCTGAAAGGCTCTGTTTTTACCACTGGCAAACACTGTTGATTGAGAAAGCATTTTTTTTTACTGATTGGTGACTGCTGGTTGCAGCTAGAATCTGTTTTTGGAAGTGGGAAAGGGTTCGTTGTTCAAGGTTGGTATTGTAAATGTTTATTCATCATCGTCAGAGTCTAAAGAAATGGAATTGTTAAAAGGTGTTGCATTGGTTCTTCTTGTTGCTGTTGAGGAAGGGAGAGGTGAAATTTCAATTGGTTCATCTGCTGAAATGACAGGAATTGAGAAAATTGGACCACGAGAGGATGAAGCAACTGATGAGGAAGATGGTGGTGGCATCAAGTTAAATTGAGATGGGTTGTTAAAACTGAATGGTGGTGGTGAGGATGCATAACCATTATTTTGTTGCAATGCATCAAATGTGAATGAAGAAGGTGGCAGACTTGGTGTGGTAGGAGTCATACTCTGAGGAGTGTTTGCTTGTGATGCAGATAATCCTTGGGCTGCAATCATTCTCTGTCTTCTCTTCCTCAATTTGTTAATCATTTTCATTACACCTTCGTTAGCAGAAACTTGTTGCCACATAGTATTGAGTGTTGTGGTTGCCTCTCTATCGGCATTACTTTCATTATCTGCATTATTATCCTGAGCTTGAATGAATTGTTGTAATCTGGCCAATAAACCCAATCTGGATGACTCTAAAGCTGGAGTCAATGGACCATCCACGTTTGGTAAAACTCCCACCGATGAAGGTACAAGTGCAGAAGGTGAAATAAGCATGCTAGGATCATAGAGATCATCTGCCATAATCTCAGCAAGTAATTTACCTGGATTTTCACGTGCATCCTTTCTCCTTTGTTCATATTCAGAGATACTACGTTCTTGTTCACTCTCTTCAAGACGAAGACTCTCATTTTCCACAAAGAGGGAATCATATCTGAAAACACTCTTAATTTTACGTTGGACATTGAATTCGCCAGAGAGATCTTCCTCCTCTTCTGGATAGAATGTATCTGGTTTCTTGGCTTGTTTATCCTCTGGTTTTTCCTCGTCTTCATCAATAGTGATGTGTACTGGCTTGAGTGGATCAATAACTTCTTCAGAATAGTTCCAATTAACACCCAATAAATCTTTTAGTATTGGATCTTCCTGATACTGTTTAGGATTGAGAAGAAGCTTATCAGTCATGGTTTCCTCAATACTAAGGGCCTGATTCAAAATTTCCAAATCACCCTTCTTCATAATGAGATCTGGAGTCTTGTCGTCTACAATACGTTTTGCCAACCAAGCTTTGGCAGTACTCAGATTGAAAATCTTTTCCTCTGCGGATCCATAAGTAACAAATCTATACACATAGACAGGTTTTTTCTGACCATATCTATATGCTCTAAACAATGCTTGCTTGTCCCAAGTATCATTCCAACACGGATCAAAAATAACGACTCGTGTTGCAGCTATCAAATTGATACCTAAACCACCTGCCTTTGTACTGATAATAAAAACATGAGCTGTTGATTCTTCTGTAAAACTATCGACTAAGTCCTGTCTGGCTCTGCCTGAAATTGATCCATCCATTCTAAGATAATCATCTCCCTTAGAAAGAGTTTTCCTAATAGGAACAGTTTGATTATCTTCATCTTCCTCGGTTCCAACCACAATTGGAGTATGTTTGAAAACAGCCTCCATAACATCCAACATTTCTACATATTGAGTGAAAACTAATATCTTTTCATTGTTGAGATAACATTTTTCAATAATTCTCAACAAGAATTCCATTTTTGGACTATTCCTAGCATTGTGTAATTTGTAGTCATTTGCTAGAACTGGTGCTGCCCAAAAGAGATTATGCCCCAATTCCTCTTCGGCCTTAGCGTTAACATTATCAAAATCTTCTTCCAGTTCATCCTCTTCATCAAGGGAGGATTTAATCTTATTCTTCTTAGATTTAGGAGTGTCATTATCTTCCTTTTTAGACTTGGCAGAGGATTTTTTGGATCTAGGTTCCTCTTTCTTAGGTTGTAATTTCTTGTCTTCAGAGAAGGGACTTTCCTTTTTGGTTGTTGAAGAAGAAGGTGTTTTTGGTTGTGATGATATTGAGCCCAACAAGTCCATACTGAACAAATCTTCATCGTCATCTAATGAAATTGGCTCACTCTTCACACCAGATGAAGATGATTCTCTCTTGAGAGATTCATTCTTGATAGAACTAGCTGAGCCAGTTTTGATTGGAGATTCACTCTTTTTGACTTTTGGAGTTTCTGGTTCATCTTCATCATACATTCCATCCTCATCTTCTTCGTTTTGATATCTCTTTTCTTGCATTTCCTCTCTGGTAATGAAAACTCCAGGGTGCTTCATGGCATCTTCATAAGTAAAATCTCTTCTTTCACAGTACATTCTGACAAGGTCAGGATGGTTTGTAATCTTGTTCAATAAAACTGAAAGATAAAATAAAGTTTTAGAGGAGCTATCAATTTGCTCTCTCGTTAACGGTTGACTATAAAACTTTGGATCAAAAAGTCCAGAGCCTGAAGCAGATCCTGCTCCATATTTACGTTCTTCTCTTTGACGAGCATCAGCAAAGGCCTTGTATAGCTTGGCTTGTAATGGATTCACTCTGAAACTAATGACATATTCGTGTTTTGGAGGTAAACTATCTCTTAAAACCGATTGATCTCTACGGTGGATAAATTCTTCCAATTCTTTCACCAATAAAAAGGAACTCTTTTTCATTTCTTCTACAGCCTGATCATCAGAGTCCTTTCTCATACCTGATTGAATTGGTTTGGAAAAGAATCCGAAAAATTCCTCATTTGTCCAATATCCCTTTCTAATCCAATTTATCATTGCGTAGTATTCCATCAAATTGTTTTGAACTGGAGTTCCTGTAAGTGCAATTCTTAATTGAGTTTCGAGTCTATTAAGAGCTTGATTGATGTAGATATCTGTGTTGGAACACATTCTGTGAGCTTCATCAACTATAACTAGCTGAGTACCATTAATGATAATATCACTTGCTTCTTCTTCGAAATCTTCTCTCTGTCGAAGCTTTTTTTCTGTTTTTTCAGTTTGTTCTACCAAATCCTTAATTGTGGCTTCAAGATCCAGAGTAGAAATTCCCAGTGATCTCCTTGTTTCTTTTTGAACTTTGTATTGTTGGAGTTGATTTTTCTGATAGGCTAAACTTTCATAATCTTTATCTTTGCTGTAGTGACCAAGGAATCTGTGAAACATTTGAAAGGAGAGAATGAGAATACCTCCCCTCTTTTTCCATTTTTGTAACTTTTTCAATCTACTTTCATAACTCTTGTCCCTATCCTTAATGGTACGTATTGAGACTGTAGCATGAACACATTTATCAAGCCATTGTCTAAATTCTGCATCCCAATTCAAAATGACACTCTTAGGACACACAATTAAAATATTTCTTGTTTTCATATTGCTAGAAATCATTAATGTATGCACGAGAGCAATCATTTGCAAGGTCTTTCCTAGACCCATACTGTGGGCCAAAACACATCCTCTTCCTTTTGAAATGTGCTTCCAACAGAAACGAATTCCTTCCAATTGATGAGGTTTAAGTACCTTTATAAATCCACCATGGATAAGTACTGGTTTTTCCAATGCATCATTAGAGAGATTTATCACTCTTTGTAAATCGGAAAATCCAAGAGATTCATCTTCTTCCTCTTCTTCATCGTCACTCATGTCCTGTTGTTGTGGTTCAACTTCCTTAGGCTTCTTTTTTGATGATTTTGATGATTTTGATGATGCAGGTGTTGATGAAGTTGTTGATGATGGAGATGGAGAGGTGGTTGAATTTTTAGCTTCATCTTCCTCTTTTTTCTTAGCTTCTTCCTCTAGTCTCTTCTTTTCATTCTCTTTTTTAATCATTTCCTCCATGTTACGTTTTTCCATTTCCTTTGCCTCCTCCATTTCCTTGTGCAATTTTTCTCTCAACTTGAGACTTTCCCTCTGTTCCTCTTCCTTTTCCTTCTTTGTTTTACGTTTTTTCGTAGTCTTTTTCTCTTTAGGAGGTTGCACCGGTGGAGCAGAGAGTAAAATTGTTGATGATGATGGTTTTACATCCTCTTCTTCCTCAACCTCTTCCGTTGAAGCCTTTCTTTTTGTTGCTTGATTTTTCTTAGGTGTTGTTGTACTAGCAGCTGCTTTTTTCTTCTTTCCTGCTGTATCTTCGTATTCATAATCGTCATCCAGCTTTTTAACGGTACGTTGTCGAGTTGATCTTCTCGGCATGATAACTTCCTCGACCTTTTTCTGAGTCACTCATTTTTTTTGTTCTACGTGAAAGTAGACATAAACACCAACTGATATCGGGAAGAAAATTGTGTTTGGTATTCTATTAATATCGGAAGCCTTTCAGTGTGATAATTTTGTTTCGGAACAAATTATTTAGTTGGATTTGAAAAATTCTAATTCATACTATTATCTACATCCAATTATTTGTTGAATTTCCTCTCCTCTAATTAAAAAAATCCTCATCCCCAAAACACATTCCTACACACACAATGCAATGTAAGGTAATTTTTTTCATCTTCTTAAATCTTCAATATTATTGCATAACATTCCTTTCAAATTGGCGCCAAACCAACAACCAGTTTTCTCTGGAAATTCTTCTGCTTACAATTTCTAAAAAAAACAGCAAAAATGAAACGTTCCTCACCAGAAGAAGATTCCGCATCAAATCAACAACAAGAAAATAGCAACACTGCTCATCATCTGAATAGCTAATAACAACAACAATGGAAGTAAGAGGGTAAAACGTTCGCATCACAATGTTCCAATTTTTAATAATTTTGTTTCCTTGTTAAAGTCAATACCAATGCAAGAATCGTCGTCTGCTGCCGTTGTGGAGGATAGTACTATGGAATTGGCTTCTCCTTCCTCTTTGAAATATAAATCATCATCATTGATTATTCATCAAGATACAAACCTTACACATCCAATTTATAATATATTATCATTTCTTGATTTTGATGAGTTGATCCATACTGTTGCACTTGTTTCAAAGGCAACACATTATGCTGTGCATCACTCTGTTGAACATTTAACATTGGACAGTGAAAATACAAATTTTGGTGATGTTGAACATTTAAGTGAGGAAGAACAACAAAACCACAACATGACAAACATGATTGATATTGTGAATAGATTCCCATCACTGAAGGTTCTCTCCCTGGACGGACTCGACTTTTTCACTGATGTTTGCCTTTCCAAACTTGTAGAGTAAGTAGTTATTCTTCATCATCTTGATATTAATAACGATCAAACCTTGTCATGTTAAATATTTGTGGAATACTTTTGTCATGTACTTCATCTTCTTACATAATAATAATTAATCATATATTTAACTAATTTATTGGATAATATATCCCCATCAACAAAACGTTCGTTACAAAAAAATTGGATTTTTAAAATATTTAATTTTTTGAAAAAATAGAAATTTACCACCACACCTTTCAGAGATTCATATTCGTGAATGTCCTCTCGATTCACCAATTATACTGGATAAGAAGAGTATGAACTCTGAGTCCTTCTCACAATCATCAGATACCGAATATATTCCTTCTATTCAACAGCTTAAAGTGCTTCGATTCAGTGCTATCAAATTTACATCTTTTGAAGTTGGATATTTAAAGAATTTACTCTCTCTCGAATTTTACGATTCTTCCTTTGAAAAGTGCTTGAAGATTATACAATGCTCCAAGTTGGATAGACTCATCTGCTTTAAATGTACAGGTCTTGGTGATACTCTTCTCTTGGCAACATTGAAATCTTTATTATATGAAGAAGTTGCACACTTGCAATCCGTTTCGAATACAAATTCACAAACAGAGGAAAATGATTTGGAGGGAAAACCTGCTGATAATGATGATGACTCTATTTTTGATACTGCCAGAAATGTAAAGAATAGAAAGTATGGTTCTCTTAAAAAACTTTACTTGACCGAATGTGAACCTCTGACAAATCCTGTCATTCAAAGTAACACCATTGAAGAAATCAAAATTATTGACTGTAAATATTTGAGCAAGCCATTTATTTCTTGCCCAGCCCTAAATAGGCTCCAACTTAATTGGTGTGAAAATTTGAAGAGTTTGAATTTAGCTTGTGATAATTTGCAATTTATTGATTTGACAGGTGCTGGAGTTACATACAGTAATAGTCAATCTAATAGTCAGGGATCAGCAACAAGTAAGAAGGAAAATACCATTCTTCACAATGTGATTGGAGGTCTTCGTAAACATTATGGTGAACAATTAAAGATAGCTCTGTAATTATATAATACCAATAAATGTTGAAGAAACTTTACTGTAATAGATTCGTTATTGATGAAACAGTGAATAATTGAACAATACTTAATGGCACAAGGAGTACGAATAGCATTTAGCTTTGAAAAATACATCGTTTAAACATAAATATGAGTGGTCCACATTAATATTTGCACAATTTAATTCCCTTCTTGTATCCCTCCAATGCATATTTTTTTAAAAGCTGCTTATCAAATGAAAGGGTGACTGAAATTGTTTTTGAGTTATCCCTATTATTAAGGAATATTTTGAGAATTTCTTCTTGTTGTTCCAAATCAATCAGGCTTACAATATTCCTTACTCGCTTATTACAAATAATGAGAGGATCATGTGAAACTCCCTCTTTCAGAAATGTAAATCGCAATGAATCAGAATACCCACAACCAAAACGAGGCATTTGTAACATGAATGAATAAATATCTGGATTCTTTCTTGCTAGTTCTAGAATTTTGGTCATGGTTTCTTCATCATCTCTATGGTTGAATTGTAAGCCCCATGCATTCATTACTTTTTTCACAAGTTTGGAAGTGTCTTTTTTCTCTTCTATAAGCAAAGTTGGTTTAGTTTCGGCAACCATTTTGAAAAATCTTGGATCCTCAATTACTTTTTGAGAAAAGCCAGTTATAGAAGATTTAGTTGAAAGCATCTTTCTTGCTAGAGGTCTACATTCCCTCCAAATATTTGGCATTTGTTCCATGAGTTTAGGATTTTTCATTAAAATTATTTCCACAATCTCCTTATCTTGTAGAAACTCATCATTATCCACGAATAGTGGTATAGTGGTCATTTCTTTCATATTTTGGAGTGCTTTGATGACCATTGATTTGAAATTACGAGTCGAATTCTGAACATAATTCAAAGAGAATGGTTTGCTTTCGACAGCAATTTCTAACAAGTCTTGATTGTATCTCAGATATTGTGAACTGATATACTTGATAGCAAATCCATTTTGTTTCAGAGCTTGAGTTACAATTTCCTTATCTTTCACAAATTTGGTGCAATACTTTAGTGCTTTACCGTGTGATCTGACCAATCTGAGACAAAAATCTCTATCATTGAGAAGGGTTTCAGGTATTTGCTCTCCAATCTTGTAGTAAATATTGACAGCTTTCCAAAGGAATTCCTTATTACTGAATAAATCTGGAGAAAATCTTGAAATTAAAAGAGAAATCCTCCTTGGAGAAAGGTCAATTGTTGTGAAATATTTCAGAGCACAAAGAGCTAGAGGAATGGATGTTATATTAGAAGTGGAGTAAGCAAAACCTCTATTAAAATCCAATTTGCAATACTTTGGAAAACTATCACCCTGAATCTTAAACAAGGAAGAATTTGGATAAAAAAGTGAATAATTCAAATCTACCTCTGAACTAAACTCTGAAATTAAAAGCAATAAATTATTATACTTTCCATTTGGAACTAGGCCAACACAATTACTAATTCTTACAATATTTCCCTCCTTCTTCCATGACTTGATTGGATTGAACCAATGTGCTGGATATTGTGAATAGGAATAGGTGCCACCATTCGATTCATCATTGAAATGTCTAGTCATCATTAATAATTCCTTCAAAATAAATGGAATTTTACAATTAAATTCATTCTGAATTCTCTCAAATTCTACCTGATACATTTCTCTATATTCATCATCATCATCAAAATCCACTAATTTAAATTTATCAATCAAATGTTCATTATAAATATTCAAATAATTCCGAAATGTTCTACGAAAATAATTTAAAAAGGCGGAAAGAAAGTATCGATGCGAAACTCTGAAATGATAAGATTCCTTAAAAGGAATATAACTGACTAGTAATTCAAAGATTTCGGAGGGCAAGTCGAGTAATTTATGGTCATCACTGTGGTGATGATCGTGTTGTTGCATTTTTTTTTGTAATTTTTTTTTGTAAATATCGAAATTGACTTTTCACAAATGATAAAGAATGAAATAGTATTCGAATATTTTGTTTAGTATTCGAAACTAGTTTATTTCCTCTGGATCCACCACTCGAATTTTTAATCTTTCCAATGCGTCCAAATTATTTTCATTCTCAACCAATTGAATAAAGTCCAAATCTTGCACAATCTTTTTTGATTCCTCCAACTGATTCGAATAATATTTAATTCTCTCTTCAGCTGAAGATTTTGATACTATTTTTTTATCAGAATCAGAATCAGTTTCATCTTCTTTTAAATTTCCCATTACAGATTCATGATCACTTGCCAATTGCAAAATATTTAGAATTTCCATCTTGCACTCAATCATGAATAATTTCCTCACAGTGATTAAACTCTCATTGGATGGTTCTACTGTTAGGGCACGATCTTCCTTTTGGCTTGGAGTTCTAAAGAAACGTAATCCGTATCTACTCATAATAATAATCAATGGATTTGTGTTGGTGTTGAAATATTTTTTTTACATAATTAATTGTTAATATTTTGTAAACTATAGTTTGATTGAAAGTCTTGAAGTAACTGATTGTTTATTACACCTCAGCTTTTACCTTTTCCAAAGTTTCCTTATACAAATCCAATGTTGGAGCCAATTCAACTGACTTACTTAAATTTGAAATGGCTTCTTCCTTGGATCCAACTTTTGTCAATGCCAATCCTGTATAATAGTACATTTGACGATTTGGTGGGACTAATTGACTTGCTCTTTCAAAATGTGTTAGGGCCTTATCATAATCTTCAATTTCTAACCAAAAACGTCCATAGTAGAATTGAACATCTCCTGAAGTAGGAGAGAGTTCCATTGCCTTTTCAAACATTTGAAGGGCCTTTTCCTTTGATTTCTCCTGTTCCAAATAATACAATCCAAAGTAACAATACAAAGATCCAAGAGATGGAGCCAAATAAAAGGCACGTGAAAACATGTTGAGAGCTTCTGCAAATTTTCCTCTTTCGTATAAAACTTCACCCAAATTGGCAAAAATGATTGGATTTTTCAAATCATATTTGAGTGCCTTATTGTAAAAATAGGATGCCTTATCCAATTGACCCATGTTAAATAGACAAACACCAAGACAATTGTAACCCTCTGAGAATTCTTCTTGAATTTCAACTGTTTTTTCAAATAGAGCTATAGCATGATAGTACAAGCCCACTCTTTGGAACATGTTTGCAAGTTGGAAATAGGTTTCCAAATGCATTGGATTCAATCTCAAACTCTCTGCATAGTGAGTAAAGATATTCTTGATCATTGTGGCTCTCTCAGCATTGGAAATTTCATCCTTTTCAGTGAATCTTTCAGTCATTGCTTGTTCATATTCCAAAAACATGTCCAATTCATAATCAGATTGCAAGTGTGAGAGAATTTCCTCTGCAGTAACACTTGTCAAGTAGTTAATTCCTGAAACAGTTGTTCTTCTTCCAGTAAATTCTCCCAATTCTCCATCCATTACAATAATTGAAGGTTTAGTTTCGAGTAATTTCTCAGGATCAACTTTTTGTTTCTTTTCCTTGGTATTATTTTCTGTTGGTCCATCCTTTTCAATCAAATGATCAACTTTCTGCTGTCCGGTCAATGTTTCAGTGGTTTTATCTCTGAGGAGGAAGGATTTTGTGGTGGCAACATTTTGATGATCGTCCAAACTGAAACTAGCATTGAGCATGGCAGTTAATTTAATGGAATAAATCTTTTCCCATACTATTCCCATATTGTAGTGCAACAAACTGACATCTGCTGCATTATTATTAGTTTGTTTCATATGATTGAGTGATTTTTCAAATAATTCTAAAGATTTTGTAAGATTATTTTTGGTTTCTTGTCTTTGTGCTTGAGAAGCATAAATCATTGAGAGGAAATAATTCTTTAACGACCTGAAAAATCCAATATTATTTTCGTGTGTGGCTTTTGGAGCTGTTGGAAACTTGGAAGATTTCTTTCGGTAAGTTTCATTATGTTTCTGATTACCATTCGACAAGTTCTTTTGTGGATCACTAGCTGCTTCGGATGGAGTACTCTCTGTACCAACTGTTGATTCCAATGAAGTTGTCGATTGATTAACAGCAGCAGCACCATTACCAGCAACAACATTTGAAGGAGATGGTTCAACAATCAATTTTTGTGAATTTTCTCTACGTGGAGATTTTGGAGAACGTGGAGAAACCTTTACAATATTAACTTCCACATCATTTTCAGAAATTGCTTCATCCTTTCCTTCCACTGCTGATGGTGATGAAGATTTTTCAATAATGGAAGTGGTAGCAATTTGTTGTTTTGATTGTTCTTCAAGAGCTAAAGCTGTTGCCAATTCTTCCTCTCGTGATGTTTGTTGTGGTGGAGGTGAGTTGTTGTCAATAGTCAAATTGGATTCAAGTTGTTGAGGTGTGTTGTTGGTTTCTGTGAGATTAGAAGTGATGGATTGTAGTGAGGGAGATGTCATCTCTTCGTTGGTTGGTGGTGCTTGTTGTGTGCTGCTGTGGTCCTCCTCTAATGATGATGAGGTTGAAGACTCTCCTTGTTGCGTCATTTTTTTTAATTATGTTTTTTGATGACACGTGACAGTAACGAGACAACGAACCTTTCGGCTTGGATAACTTGGTGAAAATTGAAGAAAACGTTCTAACAGGAAGTTTAACAGCGAAGTTTTAAGCTTCTACTACAAAGAAGGAACGAATCTTTGTGTTAATAGAGTTTTATTAACACTTGTTGGCATTCCATCCTATTGGTTGCTTGAGAACATTTTCATGCAAACCAAATGCATTAAAGTAACCAGTCAAATCAATGGAAACACAACCTGGTGGATTGGTGTTAAATCTGAGATTTCTGAGTTGGAGACAGAAACCAACTTCAGGAATAACATTGACACAGATAGGATCAAGGTTAACTTGACCAATTGGATAATCCTTATTGTAAAGAGTGGCACCATGAGATTGAATCTTAACAGTGACTCTAGAAGAAGCCAAATTAGCAACAATAGAGACAGTGGCAGAAGCCTTAACCTTTTTAACCAAAACCTTCTTTTCAAATGTAATATCACAAATAAAGGTCTTAATAGTAGCATCAGTATTTTCAAATCTACAATTAGCACCAGAACCTCTAACATTACCACGCAATCTATCAATAAGATTCATAGCTTGTTGTTCTTCGGCGTCAATCTTGCTGATTGCTGCTGAACCGACGACAACATTTTCAGTGGAAGCGCTAACGGCATTGATCATCAAGACGACCAACAAGACGCCAGCAATAAGGAAGAAGTGTTTCATATTTTTTTTAAGATTTTTTAAAAATAATTGAGCGTTAGGGGCGATTAAGAAAATCTGCCTTAAAGGAGCGCAGTAATAGAATTACAGTGTAATCTGTTATCCTTTACAATTTCTTACTACTAAAAATCTCATACATATGCATTGGAAATGATTACATTTGCAAATATTCCAAAACAATTGAAAAATAACATCATGGCTTGACAAGTTGATGTTTCCATTGTGAAGAGGATGACTGTTTGAAGCAATCAAAATTGACAATAAACAACTCATGAGTATGGTAAGAAGAACACATCATTGGTAGAAGTTTCTAATGTACTAGCATCAATTGGTGAGAGATTCATCAAATGGAAATTGCTAAAATTCCCCAGATAATAATAATACCTAATACCACTTTTGTGAAAAGAATATTCAATCAAGTCACAATCACATTCTAGGTAGCTTTTTGGTTGCATTCCTTGTCTATCTCATGATAACTAGAAGAGAAATGTCTCAATTTAAACAAGTGCTGAATCTGATGAATACTTCCTTATCCAAGAATGTAGTTGGTAAAATATATCACCAAATTGGTATAAAGAATGATGATGGTGTGGCCATTCACTTGCCAAAGAATAGTTTCAATCAATCTAGAAATTTGTTCTTCATATATGGAATTGTGATTGTGTGGTTTTTGTGACCTAGTGTTGTGGATTGATTCTGTTAGAATCTGAAACTAATGTAAACTCTTCCTATTATACAATGTTGAATATCAAACATGGAACATCTGTTTTGAGAGTGGTTCACAGAGCTAACTTTACAGTGATGCCTTGACAGATGAGTATAGTTTGGAAAAGATCAAGACCATTGGAGATGCTTATTTCTGTGTTAGTGGAATTGGATATACTCAATCTGCATCCTGAGATTTGCAATGGGAACATTTGATGCGATTCATGACTTTAATGTTAAAAATCCAACAACACAAATTAATATTAGAGCAGGAATTAACACTGGTTCAGTAATTGCAGGAGTGATTGGAACTAAAAAGTTTGCTTATGATTTGTGGGGTGATGCAGTGAATACAGCTTCTCGAATCGAATCAACATCACTCTCAGGAAGAATTCAAATCAGCAGATCGACCTATGAACGTGTTCATGATTTGGGATTTGAATTTGAGGAACGTTACATTGAAGTTAAAGGAAAGGGAATGACCACTTGTTACCTCCTCAATGACAAGCACCACACAAAGCCATTACCAACTCCAGAGGAGATTGAAGACCTAGCTGAGATGTCAGAGCCAGTTCCACAACAATGGAAGAGAAAACAAGTAGACGGTATAGAGGAAGAAGTATCATTACCACTGAGGAGGCTCGCCAAGAAATGATTTCAAATGTGGAAGAATCAAGTTTTGTCATTTAGAACAAGCAAATAAATAGTTGAGCAGTCCATAAAGGAAAAATGATTCTTTTCATATTGAGGACATATGGCTAATACGAACTATTTTTCGCCGATAAAGCCATGTTAAGATGAAGTATATCATATTTCTAAAGCAAGCACAGTCCTCACATCCTTAATCGTCTGCCTCAACCAACATAACGAAGAACTTGAAAAAAGTCCACAACTAATTTGAGGGGTGCTTTTCCATTTTTCACAACCACTATATATGTCCATAGGAGATTAAACACAACTCCATCTTTCACACCACCAATTTTGAATCCCACACCTTGTTGTGCATTCAGTTGGTTGGTGAATCCAAAAAAACTACCAAACATTCCAATCAACTATCGATACCAATCAACTGAATTCATAATGAGTTTTTTGTGCATTGCAAATACATCATCCAGTTCTTCTTGTTGCTCTAGTAGTTCTTCTTCCACATCTTTCAACTCACAACAACACTATCTACAGTACGTCAACGGTATTCCAAAACCTCGCAATATGTTAAGGCAGAGACAACATACCATAACACATGTTAAGGCAGACATTAATAGTGGTCGTTTTTCCAATGTAATATTAACTAATCCATCCACTTCTCCCTCCAATAATACTAACACCACTACAGTTACCACATCTCTCTCAAGTAGTTCCATCCAACTCCTTAATACAAGTTCCAACACTTGTCATACATGTGTCTCATCATCAGTAGCAGGTTCATCATCAACATCCCAACCTCATCTGAATTCCAGTTGCAATCAGCTCACAGTGTGTTGGAAGAAGGTTCTCTCTCCACAAGGTTCTTCCTCATTCAAGGAGAAGAAGATTCAAAGTTATCTCGAAATGGCCAAAGTGAGGAAACATCGAGTGATATCCGAGAAGGAAATGATTCAGGTTTTACATCTTTCCCAACAACAGGCATGTAAATTATATGTAGTCTTTCAACTCTTAAAAGAAGATTTTACGAATTGAAGGATGTACTCGGATTGAAACGTTGGCCACAATATTTCCATGATATTAGACATTTACCAATATTTAACAAATTATATCCCATGTCTTTGCAATTCATATTGAATGAAGAAAAACAACAAGATGAAAATTCATCGTCATTCCATTCGGATCATATTTCTTCATATAATGAATTGTTTAATAATTCAATTCCGAATATTTCGAGTGGAGGAGTGATTGAAACAATTTAATATTATTATTATTATTTGATTTGGCATGAAGAAATTCAACATGAATTATGAATTAATAATAATAATTTAATATTATTAATATATTATGTAATTAATAATTGTACATGTAACAACAAATATTGCCAATAGGAAGAATCAACCAATTAAATTTTTTGATAATTGTAATTCATACAATTCTCAACACAAGAGACATGAACACCAATCCAATGATCATGAAACCTCCCTGAAGTAGATTATAATCCTCCATGATTCGTTCCCATGAAAAGCCAGCCAATCTTCCAAGTCCAATCTCAAAGAAAATTGTGAGTAAGGCCCACATCAGTCCAATTCCAAATTTTTGAACATGATCATCATTCCGAACATTAATCCACCTCTTAAACCTTTTAACAATTGAATAAATTAATAACATTCCTGTAAAGACACAAACTTGTCGAGCTCGGAAATCACCAACCAGTGGCACCAATAGTAATCCTCTCAATATTCCATGGACTGTCTCACTCAACATGATAACAAACCATACTACAATGGCTCTCATGTAGCAGCTCATTTCTATTTTCATGCCAATAATAATAATAATAGTAAAAGAACTGTTATTGACCAATACTATTTTTTTGAAACTCTTTTCTGAGATGATGAGGATCTTTTTGGGAATGCTTTTCTTAATGGCATTTACAGAAATATGTTTGACAGTTGTATGCTATGGTGACATTTGTGAACCTTGTGTTGCTTAATGACTGTTCATATCTGGAAGGGTTAAAGCCTTTGAAAAAAGGTCATTACATTTACAAAGAGAATTTGTAAACTTTCTTGAACAAAATATGGCATGTCATGGTGTCAGCCGAATCTTCCTTCGTTTCCATGTCAAGAATCAAACGATTTGCTTTACGCCAACAAAAAAAACAAAGTGACCGAATCATTAACCTTGTCTTTTTGTGGTGATGAGATTGTGAGACTATATTCTTCCAATAATTATTAGATATCTACTTTAACTTTCGATCATCATCAAATCTTTAAATTCTAAATTATTATTATCAGCAGAGGGTGAAAGGCAGACTTTTTCTCTCCTATTATCCATTGATCCTAAAGAAGACGATATTATAATTAAATTAATTAAATAACGAAAAAGATGATTCATCATGGTTCTCCTCATCAACAACTACCTGAATCATCACCTCCCAATAATAATAATAACAACATGATGATGATGAGCGGTAGTTACATGTCGACATCATCGACTTCAGCACATTTCCTTCACCAAACTCCACCTTCACCAACTTCCGTTCTCTCCTCCTCTAATACCATCACTCTATCTTCATCATCTTCGGCTACTACTACAACAACAATTCAAAATTCAAATCATAACAATAATAATCAATCTTTAAATTTTTCTAATGAACAACAACAACATCCACAGCCAGCCACCTCCTCCCGAATTCAATCTACCTCCTATAATAATTCATCGAGCCAACTTCCAATCTTTCTGTCCTCTGCTGCTTCCAATGCTTCACCCGTAGCCTTTGATCATGTTCTTTTCTATCATTTTATGGAAGAATCAAAGCGCGCCAATCTTTTACAGATCATGTTGGAGGGAAAAAAAGCCTCAACATCAACCTCGCCACGTTCTATTGTCTCTTCCTCACGCGATCATCATCAAATTCTTAATAAGCCAAATAATAACAGCAATGATGATGGCTTGCGATTAAATTTGAATGCTAACAATAGTAATACGGAACAATCTTGGCTTACGATGAATGTAAAGAATAGTCAAGTAGCTTGTGAGGTTGCTGAAATGTTGATTAGATATTCGGCTGATACAAATAAGAGGTGGCTTTTCCAGATGGCCACAGTAAAGGCTTCACTGAATGATGTGTCGATTGATGAGGTTTTGCATCATTTAATTTGGCTTGCAAGCTCACATGTGCCTCCTCCTAGTGTAACATCAAGAAGAAAGAATTCAAATTCACACAAATCAGCAACAGGTGGTGAAAACCAAAATTCATTGTCAACAGGACACTCGTTTAAGAGAAGAAATTCTAATAAGAACTCCTCTACTGCACCATCTTCATCATCAACCACAAATGGATCGATTATAGTGACAACAACAAAACAACCAGATCATGGTTCGATCATTTCACAAAACGGAAGTAACAATAGAAATAACTCTCTCTACTCTTCATCTGTGAGCTCAGTATCATCGATATCGTCATGCTCTACCGATAGAACTCTTTCAATGCTCTCCAATGCTTCCTCAGTTATGGATGACGAGGTCAGTGATTCACCAAATACAATAGATTCCATTCCACTCCACCAAAATCCTTCTCCATCAGAACCAGTTAAAATAATCAGAAAGATTATTCGTAAAGTTCCAACTGTAAACTCTCTTGGTACATCTCCAATGTCACCAATAACTCCAATCAATTCTCCTGCCCTATCAGATAATGGATCTGATTATTCCTCTTCACCTATTTCTCGACCACAAATTGTACAAAAAGGAATAATAAGAAAGGCCACCGTAACAACAAAAGTAGTCAAAAAGTCTCCAGGAGTTAAATCACCAGGTGATGCCATGGAATAAATAGAATTTGATTCAAAATAGGAAGTTCTATTATGTGCTGTAACAAAAAAAAATGTTAGCATCATCTCCTCATCAACAAGAACAAGAAAGAACAATTATTCACAAGCTACCTTCAGAAATATTCGCAATTATTTTCGATTATCTTCTTGTATTTGAAAATATTGGCAGTACCAATACGGAATCAGCAACACTGTTCCAACAAGTGAATAATCTTTCATTGATTTCTCCCGAATTGAATGAATTGATGGAGGATTACTTTAACAAAATATGGAGCCTAGTATTTGGTAAATTGGTAAATACTAGCCGATCATTACTTGCTAATAATTTATGTCAATCTCTATTGGAAAGAAAGCAATTAAATAGTTCTATTTGTAAATTATTGACATGGAAACAAAAGATGATGAAAGAATTATTGAAATCCAAAGAATTGTCAATAATTCTACTTTCAGATAAAAAAACTGGAAGAAGTGAATTCCATAAGAAATTAGATCCATACACTTCATATGAAACGTTAAAAAATTACAAATATTCAAAGTATCGTTCAAGACAAAATACTGTTAATGTTTCAGTGAATTACAATCACATTGGATTAAAAAGTTTATATCTTGAATATTTGAAATGTGAAACTAAACTTATTGACATTGGTAAGTTTTATCAGAATTTTGATTATTTATCGACATTATACAGCTGAAATTGCGCATGAGAAGGAGGATAGATACCACTGTGATCATTATAGAAATGGAAATGCTTTCATATTGTTGATTCCCTCATGGCCATTGAAGAAGGATTATCAAAGAATTGAATCTTTCATTGAATCCATTCACATGATCAAAGATACTCCAGATTTTCCATTAATTATCTACATTCATACTTATGAAACTGAATTGGAAGACAATTTATTGCTGGAAAATTTAAATTTTGTAAAGGAAAAACTTGTGAAAATTGTAAAGAATTCCAAATTGACCAATTATGAAATTATTGCACAATTAGATGCAACAGAAGATCAATCATTCAAAAATCAACAAGAATTAGCAGCAATTCAAGCATGTTTCAACAGATTCATTCAAAACTCACTTTCCAATTTTGAATTATTACAAAATGTAATTCTCTATCAAGATCAATAAGAATATTACAATGGAAGAGGAAACGCTACAATTCGCACTTGATACTCACAATAAAGCACTTGAAAACAACATCTTATCCATGACCAAACCAAAGATGAATATGTAAATCTCTTCAAGTATAAGAAAAATCTCTTCAACCTCAAGTACAACTTCAAGTATAATCTCGAATCTTGAGATTTCGCTGATTTTTACTGAACACAATTGTTATTTCAATGGAGATCCTTAAAAACCAGTTAGAAAAAAATAAGCAAACATCAAAATCTCAACAACATTTTGAAATTCACCTTATAACAAATTAATATCTCTTTAAAATAGTGTATATTGTAAGAAATGACTCAAAAGATTTCACCACCACAAGCAGTGCAAAATTCTGAAGCCAACGAAAAGACAGTGAATGCAGAAGTGAATAGTGAAAGGTCGACAACTTCTGGCTCTTCAAAGACTGACGAGAAACAATATAAGGAATCGAATATTTATTACGAAACTCCAACATTCTTACTGAAAGAAACACATTCAGAAAAACATTCACCAATTTATAAGAAGGTCAGAGTGAGATTAATTCCAATTCTGAACACAATCTTCTTTATTGGTTTGGTAATTATGAATATTCTGTCAAGTGCTGGAAATATCATTAATGGCATCAAGACATCTGACATTTCTACTGAATATTTCACACCATTCACACCAAAAGGATGGGCATTCTCCATCTGGGGTCTCATCTACACCTTCGTAGCAGCCGTAGTCGTCATTAACTTTATCCAAAGTTTACTTTTCGGTCGAGATAATATTTTAATCAACCACAAAATGACAATTTTCCTTCCTTTGAATTTTTTATTGAATATTATTTGGTTCTTTCCATTTCATTTTAGTGCGAGAGGAAATTATGGATCTCAATGGGCTGCAGTTGTGTTCATTGCCTTAATGTTACTGACCTTGGCAATCATGTACGTACGTGTCAATGTAAATTATTTGGAACCTCAAAAGAGTGAATTATATACGAAGGGAAAGTTGTGGAATCATGCCGAATGTAATTTGTGGGAATATTGGATTATTCAACCAATGATTAGTATTTATATGGGTTGGTTGACTGTTGCCACAACTTTGAATATTACCATTGCCATTACTTACACATGGCCTTCTACTGATAAGATTCTCCTTGGAATGTCCTATTCGAATTGGGCTTGTTTACTCTTGGCAATCGTCTTGATTATTGGAATGATCTTTTTGTGGTGGAGAAGAGATGCTCCGTATACAGCAGTTCTTTCATGGGCAACTTATGCTATTTATGATCAACAGAGAAATGATCCAATCATTGCTGCTTGTTCGATGGTTGTGGCTTCAGTTCTTGCCTTTTTTATTATTTGTACAATTTTGGTAACTTTGAAAGAATATATTTGGAAATATCATAAGGGAGTCAAGTCAACTGGAAAACATATCAAGAAGAGTTTTAGAAAGAGTTTTTCATTTTTCTTTAATGGAAATTGGAAGAATTGTATAAATGACCAAATTGTGTAATAAAATCTATTCGAAATTATTGTATTTTAAACAATTTTAACATTAATTTGATTTCCAAGTGCTGATTTCGGATAGATTTATTGGAAACTTGTTGAAAAAATTGAATTGGAATAGATCAAAAGAAGTTTCCTTAATACTCATGTTTGCAATCTTACTTTCACAAGCAACAATTCAAGCTTAATGATTCCACCAATGTTGCTTTATCACATGACCAACATTTCCCGCGCAAACCGTAATCACCTTGAAAAATAAATTAAAAAAAAATCCCTCACTTCTGAAAATGCTTATTGTTAGCAAAGACCTGCAGAAGGGAAAGTTGTTAGATTGCACTCCTAAAAGCCTATCTGAAACTTCTCATTTGGAGCCACCATTTAATAACCCGTTGCAAAAACCAGTTTGCATTGGTGATATGGTAATTTTTGAGAATGTAGTTGATGAAGATTTGGCTAAACCAATTCCAACTTTCTTTGTGAATTCTTCTCTTAGTACTGAGAATGCACCATTGATTTTCCTTCCTACCAATTCTTCCTTTTCAGATATTATCACTAAAAATCAGGCCTTGGAAGAACAAGCAAGGAGTTTAGAAGGAATTCTGTTGGCAGAGAAACGTAGTGATAAAAAAGCAGGCAAATCAAAGAAAAAGGAAACTCCAATCTCGCCAGTTTGTTGTGGTGAATGTACTAGTCTTAGAAAGGAAGTTAAACTCTTAAAGAATGAGAACGCTGTGCTTATAAATCAGATTAACAACTTAAATAAAGAGGTAAACAAGATGAATAACAGATAAATTCGAGGCTGGTGCTAATAAATGTATTAGTTATTGTCTTTGATCAATTTCTGTTGTAGAAGTTGCAGGTTTTTATCTTGAAAAGTTACCATCAATCATCATGGTATATAAAATCAATGGTAATTGGAAACTCCCTTATCATAATTTTCCAATATTTGAAGAAATCATTGAATGAGTTTTCAATTCATTCTCAAAAATTGTCAAGACTAATCAAAATAAAAATATCCATTTTGGGATTGAGACGAGACTATCTCACCTGATTATGATATTCAATCTCCCATGATTACAACCAATCCAGTACTATATAAATGTTAACAGTAAGTATACGAAAGCAAAACAAACAAAATGTCAAGAATTGAAACATCTGAAATTACTTCAATAGTGAAAAAGAAACCTTCTCCAACCAAATCGACAACTCATTCTTCAAATGAGTTCTCTTTCGTCCTCAAACGAGTTTCTATTGGTAACAAATTCATTGAAGGAAATAAACGAAAGAAAACAAAAAATCGAATCATATCCAATAAAGAAATGATCAAGGTTTTGCATCTCTCCCAACAACAAGCATCCAAACAACTCGGCTGTAGTTTATCCACCTTGAAAAGAAGATTCTACGAACTGAAGGATGGCTTGGGATTAAATTGTTGGCCGACATATTTTCATGAAATTCGACATTTGCCAATTTTCCAACAGATTTACCCAATGAGTTTGCAATTCATTTTGAATGATTGAAGAAAGATGTCAAAATATTTGTCTTATTTGATTGAGGTTGCCTTGGTTGACTAATGTGGAATGAATTAGTTTGTCGTGTTGAAGTAATCTCATCAGTAAAAAAATACAAACTGTGTTTTCAATTTCTAAACTACTGGACTCGATTATTATTGAAGTTTGTTTTGAAGGATAAGCTAAAGGTTCACCATCGATTAAATCATCATAATGTCAACTTGATGATTCCTTTTAAAGTATTCAATAATTGTCAAAAGTCAAACGACTTGAATAATGATCAATATGGTTGAAATCATGTTTCATCATCTCTGAAGTATTTAGGGCTTGATTTCAAAGATAGATGAGTTGTTTCTGAACATGCTCAACTAGATTAGAAATGCCATTAATCACATGTAATCCAAAGATTAAACAATCTCCTTAACACTTGTGTTTGACATGTTACCGTACTCTTCAAAAAGAACACGTATTACATGAAAGGGACAGAAAAGTTCTCCTGTTTCATCAAGAATATCAAAACTAGAAACACCATCTCCTTACGTATCTCTTTCGTCCATTCTATTCGTTTCATCTCGAACAAACTATGATCATGATTCTCAGTGACATTCGAGCAAAAAGAGAAAAAAACATCAAACCAGAGATGATTCTTGCTTCTTAATTCGTATATAAATGACACAAATCCAAATATCAATTCTTTCAATAATTTTCAAAAAAAAATAGCAACAAGATGAATAGCAATAATAACAAGATTGGAAAGAGTAAGAAAATGTCAGGAAACAAGCTGACCATTGTGCTGGAACAACAGCCAGCAATGAGCATATCTAAACATGTGATAGTTCAGAAAGGCATGCATGTGGTAGATCAGACATTTCAATATCCTTCTCATTCACAACAATGTGTTAGAAGCAATAATGCATGTATGAGCAGTGTTAGCAGTGGATCTCCTAAGAGCAGCAGCTCTGCATCGAATCTAAGTGCAAATGTTTGGCAACATGTCAGTAATAGAAACTTACCTACTGTTGGTTCATCTAATAATACAACACCTACCATCACCAAATGGAGATGCACATCATCAACTTTTGCTAATTATATTGTGGAAACGAATTCATTCAATTCAGTGGAAAAGAAGAGAGTCATCTCTGAAAAGGAAATTCTTGGAGTTTTGCATTTATCACAACAAAAGGCATGCAAACAACTTAATTGCAGTCTTTCCACACTCAAGAGAAGATTCTATGAATTGAAGGATGGTTTTGGATTGGAAAGATGGCCTCAATATTTCTTTGAAATTCGTCACTTGCCAATTTTCAAAAAGATTTATCCAATGAATTTACAATTCATTCTCAACAGTGATGAGGAATAGATAGATTCGACCTATTAATCCATTTCCATTCCATTCTATGACAACAGCAAATTTACCTTTTTTTGGGTAGGAACAAAAAATATTGTTATTTTAAATCATATTGAAAGATTGTTGGTATTTTAGCGCCCGTCAACAATCGTTTTCATTTCCAAAGAAAAATACAACACGTGTTTTAGTGATGAACAGGTCGAGAGATTCATTGTCTTCATCAGAGGTTGAAGAAATTGTTGTTGAATATTTTCCACAAGAACAAACACCACAAGCACATGAAGTATTTGGACAAGAAGGAGATCAATATCATCATTCCGATAATTTAGCAATGCATTATCCAATTCAAACTCCTCTCCAAGATGAAACGAACCTGTTGATGGGCCATATTGATTTCTTTAATAATAGTAATAATACACATAATGTTAATGATGGGACAATCATTAACAGAGCCAATCCAATTCTAATAAGCACAAGACTAAATACCCAGCCAATCCTCATCAAGAAATCTTCCAGTCCTCATCAACTTGTTCTGAAAAGCTTGAAACCAAACAATAGGATTTCAAAGCCAGCAAGAAAGTTGAATAGTTCCACTTTAAATTTGCTCAAATATGCCGATCCAGAGTACAGAAGCAAAAGCACAAATATTCAAACTGATGAAAATGTAAAACCACAACTTCTCAACAATTAGAAAAATTATCATGATGTTTACTCATGTTTTGATTATTAATAATTACTAATAATTATTAATACACTTGTAAATAATTATCATAGATCAGCTATTCAAATTAATGCATCAAATCAAATAAAACCTCCCATATTCAATCATCTCACACCAAACTCTATGGCACTTCTCCTTCGTGAATTTTGATCAAAAATTCCTTCTCATTCATCGCACCATTTTTTTCAAACGTTTAATTTAAAAGTAAAATTTTTGGCGCCAAGAAAACTGTAAATTCTTAATAAAAAAGCCTCAAAACCTTTGTATTGATTTCTCTCTTGAACACATATATGTATTATTGCATAGAGAACGGTTTCGTGTTGTTGTCTTGATCATTATGAAGGCTTGAAAATAGTAAAGATTTTGAGAGCAAATTTAAAAGGCAAGAAGAGCAAAGTTCATTGCCGAAGGTGTGAGAATAGTGTTTTTTAGCCTGATTACATTCTGATTCTTATTTACCATGGCTAAATCTATTTTGTTGGGAGAAAAGGGAGTTCTGTTGATGCGGGAGATGCATCCGAACTCTCATCAGTGATAAGAACAATTGATATTGCTAATACACAATCATCTCAACAGTTGAAATAACACCTCTCTACAGAGTAATTTTGGCACTATCATGATTTACCGAGTACATTTGGTAACGACAAAAACAAGAAGAAAACTTCTCACAACAGCTCTGAACATTAAATATATTAACATTTACCTAAATGTACTAGAATAGATGAGTGTTATTGGTCCATAAGGGACTTGTGGCCAAGCAAGGCCCAAATCAAAACGTATCAAAACCCAAATAGTGTCAACACAAGTGATTGGTTGGCCTAAAAGGAGAGTTTAAATTCAACACTTACCCAAAGAAAACCACACGAACATGCTTATCTCATTTCGTTGCCTTTGTTAAAATTCCAAATTTCATGGATAGGTTCTCTAAAAGGAAGGCTCTACTGTTGTAGAAGATGTGACAGTTATTTGTGTGACACTTCATTGTTGCCTTCCTGCTTCATAATTTGGAAAGACACGCTGTGTGTAGAAGAAGAAATTATCAAAACACAAAAAAAACCAACAACACAAAATCAAAATGCATTCAACCACCCCATGTCAGTCAACTAGCACGGCAAATTTCAAGAGTTCTGACTTGTCAAGTTCATCTTCTGGGTCATCTTCAGACAAAAACAAGAAATTGAATTCTTCATCCTTTCAAGTTGATACAAGAAAGACAAATACTAATGGCTCTGGTTCTGCTCAATTCATGACTACATGTTGGAGAAAGATATCCTCTAATGGTTCTTCACATTTTGTTGAAACTAAAATTTCAAAACCAAGACGAAATAGAATAATTTCTGAGAAGGAAATGTTACAGGTATTGCACTTGTCCCAAATTCAAGCATGTAAACAATTAGATTGTAGTTTATCTACTCTGAAACGAAGATTTTACGAATTGAAGGATGGATTTGGATTAGAGAGATGGCCACAATACTTTTTTGAAATACGTCACTTGCCAATATTTAACAAACTTTATCCAATGAGCCTTCAATTCATTCTCAACGAAGACTAATATTATTAACAATAATTATTATTATTTAATAATCAGCATGTTGTTGATGACGATTTAAACGCCAACATCAAAATAACGCGTGTCAGCTGCCACAGCCGTCAAAACGGTTTCTTGAACCAGGAACCCACAACACGTTTTTTCAGCTCAATTCGCTCTAAAAGGAAATGCAACCTAACAAATATGAACAATAAAATTATTGGCTGCTTCAGGTAATCCATTCAACATTTATTCTTTTCTTTCGTGTGTTTCGAAAAATTATCCAAGAATAATGTCTTAAGGTGGCACTATTGTTCATTGTTCACCAAAATTTTAAAAAAAATAACAAGTCGAAACAGTTTACATCTTGTTTGTCCTTTGTGACAATCATTGCCACACAACACACGAGCTGATTTACAAGGACAACTTTTGCAGTACATGAACATGAAACACCATGATCTATTTTCTTCTTCTTTCTTTTTCGGAAATTAATTTCTGTTGATTGTGTTTCTGAAACTATGCACTTCTTTCGTCAATTTTACAACAAGCATCTTGTTTTTTCTCCATAGCACTTGTCATAATTTCCACACCAGTGATCTACATACACATTCAGTATTGTTCTTAGAATATTCTCTTTTGCATGCTACAGAAACAGTTGAATCCTATCTGATGGTTGAGAACTTCGTGATGCAATTTCATTTAAAATTTGTAGAACATCCGAAAATAAAATTAATTGGTTTTGATAGTACTTTTAGTTGCTTATTTTCAATACGGAAACACAATAAGAAGGCAAAGTAAAGTTGGTACAAACATAACAACACATCTAGACCATATCTTGTTTTTTGCAATGTTTAATTTTGTTACTGGAGTGTAGGAGAAGGTTAAAACTTTAATTTTTTTACCGTTACGATGATGAAGAACAATCGGATCATGTTGGGATTTCATTATTTATTCTAAAGAGAGTGAAAAGTAAAGCAAAGTAAAGTAGGGATAAACTATTCACATATAAGAGAAGATGCTGTCTTCTAACCAAGTCTCCAAATTTGTAGGAGAGTGTAGGAGAACCTCTCAAACTTTAATAAATTACTTCGTCATTCAGCAAGAATTGTAAAAAATAATTAACCAAAAATTTTTACCGAATTTCCTTTTATTGTCAGCTACAGTGCCACCTTAATTTTAATATTTTGTAGTGTTGTTATTACATGATATTACATGATTTAAAATTATCCTAAATATCTTTATAATATTTGTTCAAACAATTTAAAAAAAAATGCCAGCACAAGACTCAGCCTCTCATCATCACAGTAATAACAACAACAACAACAACAATAACAATACAGAGAGGAGAAGAGAATATCGGAATGATCATGTTTCCAATTCTCATCATCATCAAAATAATAATAACAATAATAATAATAGGAGAATGAATGATAGAGATGATAATTCATCATCATCATCATATAATAGAGAATCAAGAGGAATTCAAAAACAATATAAACAACAAGAACGTTATCATTCAAATAATAATAATAATAATAGATATTACAATAATAATAACAACAATAATCGTAATTATCATCATCGTGATAGTAATAATAGGAATTACAATAATAGAACATTTACACCGGAGGAGATGTATGATCAGAGGAAGAATCAATCGAGGGAAGAAAGAAACAATTCACCAATTAAACCAATTAAGGATTTTAATAATTGGCTGAAAGGAGTTTTGATTTACAAATATGTTCCGAATGAGTGCACTGTTTTGGATTTGTGTTGTGGAAAGGGAGGTGATTTATTCAAATTCAGTTTTAGAAATATTAAGAATTATGTAGGAGTTGATATTTCATTCAATTCATTGGTGAGTTTGAGTGAAAGATATAATGGAGGAAGAGATTTGAAGTTTCCTGCCAAATTAATTCATGCAGATGTTGGGAAAGTGTCAATTGAAAGTGCACTTGATTCCAATGTGGAATTTGATACAGTTTCATGTCAATTTGCCTTCCACTACTTTTTTCAAAGTAAGGAACATGTTAAAACTGCATTGCAAAATGCCACCAGTAGATTGAAGAAGGGAGGCAAATTCATCGTCACCACACTTGATTCCAACGTTTTACAAAGCATGTTAAAGAAAGTTGAGGGAAAGACATTGAAAAATTCAGTATTTCAAGCTAATTTTCAATGTTCTGATGACAAATCATTTGAGGAACCATTTGGAAATTGCTATACATTCCAATTGGAAGATGCCGTCGATCCATGTCCTGAATATCTAGTCAACCCTCAAATATTTATAGAAATGGCCAAGGAATTCAATCTTTCATTGGTTGAGAATTTGAATTTTTATGATTTTTATGAAAAATACAGAAATAATAGAGAAACTGAGAATAGTCGTCCAAGATTAAATGTTCGAGATATGAATGAGGATTTTTGGACAGTTGTCAAGTTGTACACGACATTTGTTTTTGAAAAGACGGAAAATCCAATTTCACAATTATCAAAAGATTCGAATAGTGAAAGTTCACAACAAACTGTTGGAGGATATAAGAAAATTTTAGAATCTGATATTATCAAATTGTAAACTTTTCAATTTAGCCGAATGTAACACTGTTTCACACTTTCATTAAAAATAAAACTTTATTCGAAACTAAAAAAATAGCAAATGACACAACATCCGCTCACACACCACATCGACACCTTCCTCTCCATCCTATTCGACTATTCCACCCTGAAAGATATCCTAAAATTCACTCTCGTGAACAAGGAATGGAAATTCCTGATCGAACAAAATTTAAATATTTTCCTTCAGCCAATTGTGAAAGATTTCGAACAAGATTTTCCGAAACCTATCAATATTCATGAGGTTTCCATGCTATACTATCTATCAAAAGCTTATTATTCTATTGAATCTTGTCTAACTGAGAAGTTATTCGAGTTTGAAGTAGGACGTCCAATGAAGAAAAATGTTTTGACATTTGGCAAAATTTTACTTGAAAAACCACAAAATTTTGATCAAGTTCCAAAGCAATTGAAGGCCAAAGGTGTAATTTACGAGTTGGCTAAATTAATTGGAATGGATATGGAGCTGATTTGGTGTCAGAAACGTTTTCGGTTTAGTTATGAAGATTTCTTATTCTTTCCACTTCTGATTAGTCATGTTTCGAATGAAAAGAAAGAAGAAAGTCCAACCTCTTTCAAGAATCATTTCTTAATCAATGGAATTGTTGAAAAAATTGATGAAAAAATTGTAAAGGATTTGGAAAAGATTTATTACAATGAAAGTTGTAGAGTTTATGTAGAATCGAATGATTTTTTTGGAACTTATCAACATGATATTGTTAGAAATATCAGAAAGATAACTTCTTTCAAGTTAGATTTCATTGATTCCTCACACATTGTTACAGGTTTTGATGATTTTGATTACAATGAAGTTGATGTTGAAATTGAAAAACAAGTTCCAAACGAAATTACTCAAAATTTCAATCAATGGATTAATGATTTTGTAGTTAATTGTCACAAATCTGGAGTTTTGAAAGTTAATTTTGCAAAGGAAGCACTTTTCAATTTACTGATCTATTTGCATTCTGAATATTCTGCTCCTCATCAATTATCATTCCATTCAAATATTGCTGATTGCTGTCCACATCAAACAGCTCACGATGGCGTTGAAGTGGAATTTGAAAAGTTGCTCAAGAATCAACAATTCAATCATGTTTATACTTGTTTCATGAAGGAAGAGTTGCATTATAGAGGAGTGACTGATGGAGAGGAAATTAATTCGAGTTGTTTGGCGTTGGGAATAAGAGATGGCTCGTTTGAGTTTTTGAAATATGAATTTTATTGTTATAAAGCTGTTGGTGATATTCTTAGTTAGAGATTCTCTGTCATCCATTTGACTTTCTAATATTTGTTTGAAAATAAACATGTATTCTAGTTCGAAATTCAGTTAGAAATTAGTAGATGATTTTATTGAGAAGTGGTAGATGTTTCGTCGTCATGATTCAGAATAAAGTCCAAAGACATTGGATAAATCTTTTTGAAAATTGGCAAATGTCTGGCAACAAGCAAATTATTGGGCCATCTGTCTAATCCAAAACCATCTTTCAATTCGTAAAATCTTCTTTTCAAAGTGGATAAACTACAATTCAATATTTTACATGCTTGCATTTGTGGTAAATGTAAAACTTGCATAATCTCTCTATCAGAAATCATTCGATTCCTCACAATTCCATCGACAGTCACTTTCGTCTTTTGTTTCTTGATGGATTTTCTCTCCTGTGTGGATTTGATAGTTTTATCTTTGGCCACTTTCCATATTATCAGCCGGCTGGAATTTATCGAGCTCTCTAGCATGGCTTGGTTCCAGTTACTTTGGGCTTTCGACCTATTACTTTTTGTTTGGTTGGTGTTTGACATTTTGTTTTTGGTTGTTTAATGATACTTTCTCAGTTAACTTCAGTCTGAAACATTTTATAATTGCGTTGTCAATCCAATACGCTACTACAAAGATTCGATACTCTATAGGGGAAGCCTTATTCGAGTCAGTCATCACTTGTTTGTAGTTTGATTAGTGAAAAATATGATAATCAGGTCAGCGATAACGTAAAAATCAATGAAATATGCTGAAAGGAGATGGTATCGTAGTTAGAAACTTTCCTATTTTTCATGACAAACTAATTGCACGAGCATTTTAGAGCGGTACAAATTCATCATAAAAGGAAATGAAATTTGTTAATTGAAACAAAAAGTTACAAATGAAGAGTGAGTAAATATGGTAATCTGAAAAATGATCATAAATGGCAAAGTTGAAGTTATGCGCATGAAAATTTTGGTTGAGTTGAGAGCTCAATATGTACATATCTCGTTGTCTTTGCATATTTGAATATTTGATCCAATACGGTATCGTATAATGCTGTTGATGGTAGACCATTCTTCCCGTCTGAAGATATCATCTCTCTATAAAACATGTGGTAGAACATCATTTGTTATCAGTAAATACAACCCACTAATTGCCAACACAATATTCATTATCATACCAACTGAGAATCCTATTGCTCTCATTACATAGTGTCTCAAATATCCAATCCAAAAAGCAATTCTCATAACAATGAAAGTAATGGTAGCAAATATGATAATCTTAAAATCCTTTGGGTGTAAATACAAGCTCAATATCAATACATTCATTGAAAAGATAATAAACTGCTCAATAGTGTTCTGTAAAATTCTTTGCATGGTTTGAATAAACATGAAATCCAACTTGACTTGTTGATCAAGTACCATTGTTGAGGATGATGAAACAGTAGATGAGCCTGATGAAGAAATAGAAAGTGCTCTTTCCTCCAATAACAATGGATTAATTGCTTCGGAATTCAATCTCTTTGAAGCGATTCGTTGAATAATAAATGGAAAGAGAAGGGATGCCACAAAGATACATTTGAGACCAAAGGCCAATCGATCAGCGTTACTAATATTACCATTCAATGTTTCCATTCCTGATGAATATTGAGCACCACCATCATCCGGAACTCCATTATTATTGCTCTTCTTAATATTGTAATGTTCGGGATGAATATTTGGATTCTTCTGATGTTGCATCATCATCGGATGACCATGATTGATATTGTTGTTATTATTATTCATTAAATTACTATAATTATTATTCTTCATCATCATATTGTTGAGAAGAGGAGATTGGTAAGCAAGAAACCAAATTAAACAAGTGATCAAAACACTGGGAATACCCATCGAGAGAACACTCCTTTTATCGGAGGCTTGTTGTTGTCGTCTCGAGGCAGCGTTTGTATTCAGTTGATGCTGAAGAATAAGAACGAGAAAAAATCGTTAAAATTTGGTTTGAGAAATTCGTTAAGGCAAATTTGTTAATTTTTTTAAAGTTTTAAATCCAATTTTGGCGGGAAAAGTAATTTAAAATTTAAAAAAAAAATGAAAAGAGATCGAACTGTGGCTGATCAACTACTCAATCGTTCCCCGCAGAGCGAAGAAGAGGATGAAGAAGCAGAAGAACAAGAAAATTCGGAATCAAGCCAAGAAGATTCTGAGTCAATTTCAAAGAAATGTAAATTAAATGAGCATCTAGAATTATCTTTCGACCAAACGGAATGTATTACGAATTTGGCAAATTATTGTTCGGAACAATATAATGTATTTAAAAAGGATAATATTTCGTATGGTTTCTTTTTAATTCATTGCTGAAAGAAATTGTAAAATATAAATTTGAAACCTCAATTGATTCCACAGATGAATTTTCCCTTAAATTGTCATCATTGGTCAGTGGATATCAGTTTACATTACTGCCATCAGAAATTGTGGAAGAAATATTTGAATTCTTGCCTCCTATTGATATTCTAATACAGAGACCTGATACAGTTTGCTCAAATTGGTACAATAACTTGAAAAATATTTGGAAGAGGATTACAAAATCGATTTCTCCATTGAATGAAGATTTTACATACGATTATGAATTGAAAAATTATTGTCTTACAAAGAAGAGAGCATTTCTGAGGCAGAAATTTAATGCATTTACCTATTCCCATACCGAATTAGAAACTCAAGAGTATGAATCACCTGCAGATTATGACCGAATATCAGAATATGAAATTATTTCCCATGCTGAGAATGATGTTTATTTAGGATTAAATAAGAATGTATTTTTATTTGGTGGAAGTGGCTATTCATTGAATGAATTTCGAGATAGAGATCATAGAACCTACACTGTCATGTCGTTTAAGAATGTGAGTGGATATTATTTTGCTCCCAAATCAAATTATAATCTGTTCTTTTCTTATGATTTTGTAATGCCCAAGAAAAATATCCAGTAACAACCGAGTTTCAAATCGTTAATTGCTTGGATCATTCAATTACGACGAGGTCGCCGACCTCCATTTCACTAACGCCATTGTAAACTTTTGTAAAACTCAAAAATAGAAAGATAATTTGGAATAAATCTTTGATATTTATTAACATCCCAAAACGCTCTTACCTCTGGTCCAGTGAGCATCTCTGTCAGCCTTACCATTGTAACCACCGTTAATTCTTCTGGTAGTGATATCAAAACCAGATTGGTTACATTGATCAGCATATTGATTCAAACTTCTTGAGTTCCAGAACCAAACAGCTATTGTGTTGATTAGTATAAACATTATTAACAGTTTTCAACTAACTACTTACCAGTACGGAATCCAACATCTGGATCAGCAGCTCTGGTTGGATTATTTTCCAAATCAATTCCGAGGGCTTGACCAGCAGCACGATAATTAGCACGACCAGTAATTTGAATTGGACCTCTACCCTTGTACTATAATATAATTAATAAATTAATAATAATTGAAAATGTCAAAAAGTGTCAAAAGTCAAAATGTCAAAGATAACTTACTCTAACACCATCACCAGGATAAATGTTACCCAAATCCTTTCTACCTTCATAAGCAGCACCTGAAGCAAATTCAACAAACCAATTCAAATCACCAGATTCGTGAGCAAGTTGAGCAAGGAAAGCACTCTTTCTGCAACAAGTATTAATATTACCAGCAGCCAAAGCACTGTTCAAATATCCAATATATTGGTTAGCCTTTGATGATGACAAGTTTGGCATAATTCTTCTCAAGGCATCAACACTGATAGAAGCACCAGTGTTAGAACCACCACCACCTCCATTATTAACTTCAGTCAAGAAATTAGAAGCAGCATGTCCTCTTTTACCATTAACTTCAACACCATACCATGTATAACCACATCCAGATTGGACGCTACCAGTAAACTTCAAAGTAGTACCAGCACCAACACTAGTAACAATACCATTTGATGTACATGGGCCTGATCTGATATTCAAAGCAGTGGTTGAACGCAAACTAGCACCACTGGCAATCAAGGAACAATAGGCAGAAGCGACAACGCTCAACAAGCAAAAAACAGCGAGGAAGAGTTTCATCTTTTTTTTTTAAGGATGATTTTTTAGGCTTGGAAGAGTTCGCGCCGTTTTATGCGAAGAAGCTTTTTGTGCTTTGGTTTGAATCTTCGTTGTTGCGCGATGAAAATATTTGGTAAATTATTTTTGGATGAGGTTGATTATAATGGTCATATGCTTTTTGGATTTTGTAATGGATTATTGAAATCATTGTAACACTGTTGGTATCTTCGTTTAGTATTAATGTGGTTTGGGCTATGAGCTTTGAGAAGTGTCAATAATTGACATATTGACAGTTGACTTTCGTTTACAATGATGATAATTATCTCTATTGAATTGCATTGATCATAAAATGCTACATGGTTAGGTGGCCTTAATATTTCTCAAAGTTTATTAGCAAGTTGAAATGAATTAAAGAGATGGAGTAGCTTGCCAAATATAACTTTCAAATCCACACTCATTCTTTCCTCTAATTATATAAAAGTAACCAGATAATCCCCAGTCAACTCCCCAACTAGCAAGATTAACAGGAAAGGGTACAATAAATATTATATTATTATATTAAGCAACAAATAAACTTACCTATTGGCAACAACCCAATATGGAATTCCACTTGGAGTTTCACCAAATCCAACAATCTTTACAACATGTCCACCAATGTAAGCACCACCTGTATGAACATATATTCCTCCCTTGTAGTGAGCAAAATCTTCATAAACTTGAAAGGCAGCAATGATTGATCCACCTTGTAAAATGCTTTGTTGCATTCCTTGAATATCATCTTGAGCAATTTGATTTGGATTCTTTACCTTGTATCTCAATTTCCAATTAGATCCATCGAGACACTTGTTCGGACAACTGAGATTGGAGCCATTTCTAGCAAGGAATGGAAGACAACTATCAGTAACAATTCCATAATTTTTAACATAGAGAAGAGTATTTCCAATATCTCCACCATAGCAATTTCCTTCATATTCATCACAACTCAAAATAAATTGTGGTGAAAGAATGGTATTGACCTTCCCTTGAGATGAAATGCAATATCTGTCAGCAACCATTTCAGCAACTCCAAACGCATAGCAAGCTGCACATTGGCTTTGATCTCTAATCTTGTGAAGTTGAGTACAATTCATATATTTTGGATCAGTTGTGAGTGTATAATTTGTTGGAATATCCAATGATGATATTGCTGGTCTTGTCGGTTGTTCAACAATATTTTGTGATGAAGTCATCATCTTGACATTGTACTTTCCCAACATTCTGACAAGATCCGACTTCTTCTTTCCATTAAATTTGCCATTTCTTCCAGCAGTCCAATACTTTTGTGCCTGATTAACTGTCTAATAAATTCATCATCATGAATTAGTGGATCTTCCTTGTTGTTTTTCACTTGAATAGAAAGCGCATCAACAATTTGCAAACAAGCCAACAATAACAATATAATAATACAGAAATATACTTCTTCATCGTGATGATGTGCCTTCAACAATAGAGTAACAACAATAAAAATCCTCCGATATGAAAAACGTGATGAAGAGCGAGAAATGAAACTCTGAGCAGTTGAGGTATTTTTTGTGGTGAAATAATGGCGCGTAATTAAGCAAGGCAATCATTTGGACAAATTTGGGTTGGATTTTTCAGATCAAAGCAGAAATGCAAAATTGTGTTGTAAAAATGTTATTGATTTTATTCTTTAGAACAAGTTATTCCATTGAGTTTTGACTTGACGATGTGTTATTATCTAGTTTTAATTGTTCTAAAGGTTCATTGTCAATTTCATAATCTTGGAGTGTTTTCTGTTCGATTGGAATAATCAAGTCAACCTTGGTGCTTATGTGATGACGTGCACTCAATAAATAACTTTGCATAATTCCCTTTCCTTTTACTTCCACTCGTTTCTCCTCAAATTCCAATCCCATATCATAAACTCTTTCGTAGGTTGATCTGCTTATTTGAACTCTTCCTGGTTGACCAGTTGATTCCATTCTTGAGGCAGTATTGATGGTATCACCCCACAAATCGTAGGCAAATTTCTTGGTTCCAATCACACCTGCAAGAGCAGAACCTGTGTTGATACCAATTCTGATATCGAGTTGATTATCATTTTCTAGAATGACTCCAAATTTTCCAGAATTAAAATCGTTAATGACTTGGAAGGTTGACATGGCAAATTTTAACATTCTTTCTGGGTGATCTGAAGAACCATGAAGACCACCTACACAAAAGTAAGCATCTCCAATGGTTTTAATCTTTTCCAGGTCATAAAGCTCTGTCAAATTGTCAAATCCATTAACTACTGCATTTAACATTTTCACCAATTCAGTAGCTTGCATGGTTGAGCTGATTTTTGTGAAACCAACCATATCTGAGAAGAAACATGTAATATCAGAAAGTTTTTCAGCAATGAATGTTTCTCCCTTCTTTAGTCTTGAAGCGACATTTTCTGGAAGAATGTTTTTGAGTAGATTATCAGAGTGTTTCTTTTCGTCCGCAAGGAGAGCTTGTTGTTTCTTCTCTGAGGTCACATCCTTAATGGTACAAACAACAATAGTTCCACGATCTGAAAGATGAGTAGTGAATAGACTAATCTTGGCAGGGAATTTAGTTTGATTTCTTCTCATACATTCAGCTTCTAATGTTTCCTGAGCGAGTCCATTTCCTCCAGAATTATAAGATTTCTTAGATTGCTCTATTATGGATTCAAATGTCTTTCTAATAGTTTCCTGAATCGATTCCTCAAATAAAGAACAAAGCTTTGTACCCAATACATCGACTGAAGTTGAATTAAACATTCGATGTGCTGCTGGGTTGAAAATCTCAATATCTCCACTTTCATTTAACAAAGCAGATCCATCAACTGAAGAATTGATAATATTCGCAACGCCATTAAATCCACTTTCAGATGAACCCTCTTTTCCTTTTCTATTCAACTTTTCAACTAGTGCATTAGGGAAAGAGTTAAATAATGCAACATTTTTGAGTTTTTCATTTCTATCTAACATTTCTACTGGAATATAGTTCATTAGCATTCTGGTGTGGTAGAGTTGATTTGATTTGTTCTTGATCATTGCCAATATGAGTCTTCCAATGACTGCTGTGAGTAAAAATCCTAAACAAGTAAATATTAAAAGTAATATTAGTGATAGTTCTGAAGAGACTCTAACAAATTCATTCATGAATATCAATAGTTTGTCATTCAGAGGATGAGACATTACATTTAACTTGTAATGTTCCATAAATATTTCAGTTGGATCTAAAATTGTTCCATTAGCAGCAAATACAGCATTTTGTTTTGTATAGAAATCTCGAGTATTCTCACTGGTCTGTGTAATGGTAGTTAGGAAATCAGTCATTACTTTATCAATTCCTGTACAGTACTGAATTTTCGTTTTGAGTGTGAGAGTTAAATTATGCTGTTCTAAATAAAGAGTACAATTATCAACTCCTTGTTTGAGTAGCTTATCCAAAGATGGATACAAACCAATTACTGGATCATCATCAGGTTTAGTAACATCTCCGTATATCAATTCTTGGCTGAACATTGATTCTAGTAAATTGTTAAAATTCCAAAACTACTTACTAATTTGCTGCAGTAAAATCAGTTTCATATCTCAATGATTTGTAAATTTGTTCAAAATTTCCACTTGACAATTTGCTATTGAACAATCTGGCATCGTTATTGGATAAGTGAGCTACACCAAAAAGTGTAAGAATTTCTCCCAAATAAAATGAAGCAAACTGTAAATGTTCAATTACATTTGAAGATAATCCAACATTGGTGAAAGTAAATAGAGCACTCTTTGCGTTCTTGTATGTTTCCAAGTATAACATTCCAATACATAATGGAATAAACACAGCAAGCAATGCAATTGCAATTACTAAACTAGCATTTGCATGAAGTGATTTGCTAACAATATTAGAATCTAAGGAAGCTTCCATAGAAGTTTTCTTATTCAATTGTTGATAAATTTTTCCAATACCATCCTTGTTCAGCTCCTTTTCAATTAATTTGACTAATCTTTTAAAGAATAATAAATCGTATTGAATATAAGCGATAAGAAGCAATCCAATTACGATCATCAAACCAATAGTTGCATAAAAATAGTATTCTGAACCAGCCATCAATGTAACAGTAGATTTCTTGCTTCTTTCAACGTAGGCATTACAAAAATCTTCATAGATGTGTGTAATTCCAAACTTGTTCAACCATAAATACATGAAATTGTAATTGGAAATTGGAAACATGAACGGTTTTGAAAGAATAGAATCAATAACTTGTTGGGCAGCAGCAGAGTTTAGGTCCATTTCTTGCAACTTTTCTAATTCTGCTTGTGGAAAATCATCGTCTTTGATAAGATCGAGATATTTGATGATAGAGTTGGTAATTTCAACAACTGAGACATTTCTCAATTCTGGTTCTCCTATATATACTTTGGTATTAAATGTTAAGTTTGTACCAGTCGTAGAAGAGCTAGGAATGTAGGTTTGGTACATTGATTTACCATATTGAGTATAAGTTTCAAAATCAAATTGAATATCCTGTCCCAATACAAGCAAACTTAACAGACCATCTTTGTCTTTATCTAGCCTTTCCTTAAAGTATGACATGAACTCCTATTTCATTTAATATTCAGAATTCTTTAAGAGATACTTACGGTTTTTGAAACAGTGGCTGTGGTTCCAAAGCTCGAAGGCCATCCATACTTTTTCACAAAGAATACATAAATCCAATTTTGCATATTTCTTACATTTCTAATAATTGAAAGAGGAGCTGTTTGTGGAATACAGACATCTTTCAAATTAATGATATTTTGCTTAATTTTGGAACTATTGATTATTGACATGACCAAACCACCTGTCATAATGGCAACGCAACAAAACAAAAATAAGAAATACAATAAATACTTGACACCTTCTGGACGTCTAGCTTTCAAAGCATTTCTAAATAAGTAATCCTTCTTTTGTTCCGCAGCTTCAGGAGCATTATTATCACCTGCAACACTTGCACTATCATCAAATTGGTCAAAATGTTCAGTAAACCCATTTGGAATTTGATTTGAAACGTCTGATCCTGCGTCGCTCATTTGGTCAGTCATTGATTCTCTAATTCTGGTTCTTGATCTGAACAGGGATTTTAAAGAAGATCTAGAAGCACTAGGTACTACTTGCTTCTTTTTGATTTTGTTAATGCTTTGAGTAACTTTCATTTCTTGGTCGAGTTGATTAGCTTCCATGTGAATTGCTTGAGCTAGATCCTTATCAAAATGGAATAATTCAACATAGGTTGCATACATTCTTAGATAGGCTTTGTTTTTACGATCTGAAAGTGCTTCCATAAATGTTTCTTCGCATTCTTCTGAAATATCGGATATCTTTTCACAAATTTTCTGAACACTTGACAGCTTGACTGGTTCATTGATCATTTCTTTCCAGAAGTCTCTGTGTAAGCATAACAACTTATCTTGATTCTCCTTGAGTAGTAACATTTTTGCATCATTCTCTTGACTTGCATCTGCTGTACCAGTGTCAGTTGCATACTGTTGAATTTCCTTAGCTCTATAATGATAATCCAAGTGATTCCAAAAACTTGATTTTTTGCACACTCTGTTCATTACTTGCAAAGCTTTCGGTGTATGACATTCGTCGTCTCCAAAATGGTCGTAAGCCATTAGAGTTGATAAATTGTACAACAAGTCAATTTCTCTTGATTTTCTATTGTACAGAGTTTTCAAATAAATTAGAGAGAGATCTTTATCACTCAAATAAATATCCAACCCATCATCACCTTGAACTCCACTATAAATTTCATAAGTTGACTTGTTGGCAAATCTGAAAAACATTGTCAATTGATGTAGAGTATTTTTCAACTTGAATGTTTGAATGTAGATTTGCGCTTTGGTTTCCATATAGTTCATAATTGCTTTCTTTGATTTGTGAATATTTAGAGGTTGATTAGAATGAATTAAACCTAGGAAATCAGTCAATGTCATGTCTCTAATTAATTTAACAACAATTCTTGTATAAATTTCAATAGCAACAAATCCAATAAGTGCAAACATCAGAGCCAAACCAATAGTAGTAGAAAAACCAATATAAAGGGAGAAAGACTCAGAATTTGGCATATTGATTAGGGGTGTGGTAATTAAGGAATTTACAAAACTTCCCAAACTAGTTCCAAATCTTGCTGCCAATACTCCCATAAATAATGAATTGTCCATTCGTTTGAAAAAATGACAAGATTTACCATGAACAATCATCATGGCTAATGAAGCGATCATATTAATGGCATTTGTCACGAAAAGATAAGGTTGAGGTATGACAAATAACAAAATCATTGTAAACAAATTAACGAAATCCATCATGACCATCAATTTTGGAGTCATTGAAACAAATGGAGTATTGCTCAAAGGATGCAAATCATGAGAAATCAATCGAGAGAGAATTACCAATACAAATAAAGCACATGAACCAGCTATGCAAAGTGCAATAATAATTGTATCACTAAAACATGAATTGGAGGGAAATCTAGAAAGCGTCCTCTCTAATGTATCTTCATTGATATTGGTAATACTGCAATCATAGAAACCAACAAAATTGAAAAGGAGAAATATGGAAAACGTTTGAGCTATTGAGGCGAATACAAATAATAGATATTTGAATTTGGTGATGTGCTTAGTGGCATTTGTGATGGACCAAATACAAGCACATGCAATGGCTATGCAAAGGAATACAAAACCAACGCAAATGTATGCAATTATTATTGCTTGGTCATGAGTTAAATAATGTACAAAGAATGTATTAGGCACATTCAGAATGTCAAAAATCAGTTTAGAAGTCGAACCCCAAGTTTGATTCAAGGTTGGAAGCAAAATGGTGCTCCACAACTGTATAATCATACATGCCAATGAAATCAAGTACCATTTCCATCCAATTCTTGGTGTATTGACCTGAAGAGATAGCACCATTGAGGTAAATTTGTTGTTGGCCTGCTTGACAACTGAATTTCTATTAATTTGAGACTCAATAGCAGACTCTGCTATTACAGAGCCACCTACTTCGCTCATATTCATTTTTTTAAATGTTTGGATTGACAAGATTTGAGGTAATTGCTCGCATGATTACAAACTGTGTCAGTTACGTGATGCACATTTGTAAATATCTCGTGTTTGATGTTATTTGAGAGGTTGTGGTATCTCCCCGCCTACCAGTAAAGCTATCAATTTACGTTTAAGAATTGTTGGGACTTCCAAAATTGAATTGCTTTATTTGCTTTGATAATTTGTAGTGGAGAAATTAATTAGTAATGTTATGTCTCTTGCTCGTCATTATGTTACGGACTTTTGAATACATAGCACTATCCAAAATCTGCCAGAGTTTTCCCTCCAATACGCCAATTATTAGACCTATTCCTGTAGCAACTGCAATAAATGGAATGCAAAACAATCCAATAAACCAATCATTATCAGTACCAATGTGCTCTTTGCAAATGTAAATTCCCAACTCTGTTGCTAAATTATAAGCAATTGCTGACATTCCTGCACATGAGGCACCCTCAATATTCGAAATTTCATTAGAAAAGGTCCATTGTTGTTCTTCAATCCTATCCAAAATCTCCATTACAATATGAAACACAAATCTATCAGCCACAAACACACAAATACATCTCATCAGTAGGGTAATTTCATACATTCCCGATTCTGAATAGATATTTCCTATAGCTCTATCCACAAAATCAAAAACAATTCCCGAAGCCACACATCCAATCATGCTCTTATGGACAGCAGTGATAGCCTTTGATGTATTTCCTTCCACATTTTCATTCCTATTTGTTTGATTATTACTAGTATTACCACTTTCATTAATATTATTATTATTATTATCATTATTATTATTAGTATTCCGATTCATGTTCCTTTCCTCTTCATCATCATCACTAATATTAAATATTAAATTAAATTTAATTTCAAGCCTACACAAAATTCTACCAAAACATTGTGAGCATACAATTTCATTGATGGCAATTGCAATGGGCACTATAATATTTCGTAGCTCTTGCCATCCTGTGAGTACTGAAAGAATAATTTGTTGAGAAATTAGAACGGCCAAACTCCAGCCTACCCATTGAAGGCCATTGAAAAGTGCTCGGATGAGGAGGAAGATCAGATTCTTGATGAGTGAATTTGTGTTGATTGGCTTGTTGAAAATGGTTATTGTCATGATGGTGTGATGAATGTTGTTGTGTTAGGCAACATTTGTAATTTTTAATAATAATAAATTAATTTATTAAACACAATATTGAAAAAATATTCAACAAATGATACTTTGTGACCATTGCTGATTTTCCGAGTGGTTTCACATCATGAAAGCACCAAACTTTCGCATCATCATCTCAACATCATCTTTATAGTAATAATAGTAATTTTTATTGGTGGATTATCATGAAATTGGAATTTATTTTTCATTATGATGGAAAGATAAAAGTTGGCGAGCCATCCCTATTTTTCATTCCTTCATGGCCGTCAAACATTTTTGCAATGAATTAACTCGCAATTTTTTGAACATTTTGAAAAACCTTAGTTAATGAATGGCTACGGCCATATCACGATGAATGCACCTCATCCCGTCCGATTTGAGAAGTTAAGCATCGTCGAGCCACATCAGTACTGAGGTTGGAGACAACTTGGGAACCTGTGGTGCTGTAGTCTTTTTAACATTTTAATATTTCAACAAAAACAACTGAAATAATGTTAGAACAGAATTTTGTATTTAAGGCTTTTCATGTTCTTTTGCATGGAGTTGGCCGTTACGTTGCTGACTGAATTATCACTAATATCGAGGTAGGTCAATTTTTGTAGCAGGCCTAGAGTTTTGGCACCTTCTTCTGATATCTTATTATCCCTAATTGTTAGTTTAGTCAATTGGTTCATTTCACTAATTATTATTACACCAGTATCACCAATTTTGTTCTTACTAATATTGAGATCAGTCAATCGATCCAATTTTTCTAAATATTTAACACCTTGGGATATTCTATTCTGTTGGATATTGAGACGTGTCAATTGAGTCATATTTCCAATGGATTTAGCTCCTTCTGTTCCTAACTGATTTTCTCCAATATAAAGTTCAGTTAGTTGTTTCAAATTACTAATCGATTCAACTCTCTCATCGGTTAATCGATTTCCACAAAGTCTCAAAGATGTCAAATTTTCCAATTTACTCAAATATTGAACTCCATCCATGATTCTACAATTAGAAAGATCAAGTTTAGTCAATTGTTTCATTTCAGAAATCATTTTAATATCATCATCAAAAATTGAATTATTTCCAATTCTCAATTCAGTCAATTGACTCAATTGAGTCAACCATTTCACACCACCATATCCTATATCATTATAACTAACATCCAATATCGTCAATTGTTTCAGACTACCAATCTTTTTAATTCCTTTAACTCCCTTCAATTGTTTATAAATCCAAACTTCTTTCAAATCTTTCATTCCTTGCAAAATTTCACATAATTCCACATTATCAATTATCGATCCATCAAAGGAATTGACTGTTTTCAAAGATACAATTCGATTCAAATATTGACTCTTTGCCAAACTCTTCAAATTAATCTCCTTTTTAAATACAATTGCAAATTTCAAATATTCTCCAATCAAATTGTAAAATTGTTTAGAAATTAGAGAACAATTCCGAATAATGAAATTTCCATTTTCTAAAAATTTTAAAATTTCCAAGCAAACATCATTTGGAAATATTTTTTGATCGGAAGTGGAAGTGAAGAATTGAGGAGAAGGAGCTATCGATGAAGAAACAAGGAGTTGACCCATTTTTTTTATTGGAAACTGAGTTGTTTCAAACGTGATAAGTTTTGTAAGTTTAGTTTAAAGCAAAATATGTGAAAAACTGTAGTTGGAATTTAGCCAAAATTCTGTAATATTCAAAATCCTTGATGATTCATCAAACATGTTCGGGATTTAGGAAGATGTTCATTGTATTCAATCAATTTGATCAATTATATGGAGGGATTCTATTCGAAAGGTACCCTTCTCTTGAAACTGCAGAAATGCGTCTTGCATTCCTAAGTCAGCGCACCAAATTCAAGGAGTAACGAGCTCACATATTGCACGCACTATTAAACTTTTTTAGAAAGAGGCACAAATCTACCCATCGTTACTCCTTGAAAATTGTTATTCGAAAGTCACTTGTTGATAAATTGCTGCGAAATTACTTGATTGCTTTCAACCTGAAAAAAACAATCACACAACACAACATGAAATCAATCATTTTCCTCATTGCCACTCTTCTCCTTGCTTGTTTCGTATACAGAGCCGAAAGTGCCTTGAGAGCAACCTACTGGTACCAAGGAACTACATGCTCTGGAACCTCCTTCCTCATGACCATTCGTGATAACGCAGCTGGTTGCAATGTAACTTCCTGCACTCCGTACAGCAATGAGCCAACTGTACTTTCCCAAAGTTTCGAATGTCCAACTTCCTATCCACAAAATCCAACCTTGAAGAGTGGAGAAATTTCCATCTATGCCTATTCTAACACAACCACATGTGATTCAACCACTCTCAATAGATATGACGTTTACAAAACTAATGTCTGTATTAAATCTGGAATTCTCTTTGGACCTAGTGCTAAATCTGGACAATATGTCAATTGTGAAAAGGTTGTTACTTATTCTGATGAGAATTGTCAAACTGTTTCCACCTCTGCACCAATTACTTTGAATAGTTGTGCTTCTGGAAAAATTAACAAATGTCTCTTGTCAAGTAATAGCACAACTAATGCTGGAAATTCAATGAGACATTCTCAATCAATTGTTTCATTGGTTGTTTTGATGATTGTTGGATTAATTGCAGTTGCTTCCTTGTTTTAATTTGTTTTAATTTGTTTATTTAATTTCAAAAACAAATAAAGAAAAAATTAAAAACTTAACTTTTTTTACACTCGAAAGTTAATAGTTTTTGAATGGAAGAATCAAACATCAATTTGAAGAATTTTTATCAGAACGATCGAATGATATATTCTCTAGAAAGCAATTAGACTTTATTGAGCATTTAAGTGATCATCATGTAATGAAGAATTTCTCTTAACAATAGTCTCCAATTATCATACGAAAATTAAGGAATTTCATGTCGAATCTTTTGTTAACAAGTAATAAAGTTATTTAATAACAAACACTGGCAATCAACAAAATTCTTCTCATTACATGATGATTCAAACATTCCATTTCATTGACCAATTTTTGGGATATTGAAGTATCGAATCTTCAAGGCAAATACATTTTGTTAAGACGAGACAAAGATGGGGTGGTTCACAGAGAAGTATACTTTTATATCTCTTTCCCGAATTGAATAGCATCGCCACTTTTTAAGGTGCATCTCGGGCAAAATATTCACAAAGAAAAATTGCCTTAACATTCATCATCACAGCAAAATAATGATGATGAATAATGCAACAAATATGCTAGCACCTCCGTTTCTTGATATGAATGAAGGTGGCGAGGGAAATTCCTCAGAAAATGCACCATCATGTGTAAATATTTCTTCCTATTCTGTTGGAGATATAATTATTAAGGAAGAGCTTCAGAAACAACAAGAACACCGAAGGAATGATGATGGCTCTCTGAATTTATTCTACTTGGATGAATACTATTTGAGCGATTTACGAGGCCCTTGTTCCTTAAAGGCTTTTATTATAATATTAATGACATTATTGATTGTGGTGTGCTCGGGTAGTATTTATGTTTCCGTGTTTGTGGCAATGTATAATTCAGTGAATCAACTAACTGGGAATGTTCAAGATTTGGTTCAGGATAAAATCACATTGTATATTGATTCAGTTCTGAAGAATATGAAAGATACTGGATTTATAATGGCAGACCATTACAATTATGGACTAACAGAGCCGAGTGTCTTTCGAAAATACTTTTACACACCCTATAAAGTGAGTGGATTGAGTGTTGGTTATGCATTTGGTAATCCATCAGAAAGATATTCCTATACGATTGTTGGAAAGCAAGATGATGAAAGAATCGTCTACTCTTATCAACCTCCAGGATTCATAGGTAATTATTTTGAAATTAATATTATTTGAGACAACATTTTTCATAGGATCTCTCAGAGATACATACGATAATAATGGAACTTTGCTCAAGTTGAATGATACTATTGACTTTACACCGTATAATGTATCAATTAAGGATTATTATTGGTTTCCATTGGCAGAAGCTGAAAGAATGGGAGAAGAGGGAGCATTTAGTAAGCCATACATTGTCACTAATGGAACCTTATCAATTTCTTTCGGAGCTAAAGTTTTCGATCAAGAATTATTTTCTCAGGGTGTGAAATTATTCAAAGGAATAGCTCGTATAGTGAGGCCACTAGCTGGTTTTAGTAATTTCCTCTCAAAAAAAGTCAAAGTTTTCGAGCATGGCTACGTAATTATCAAAGAGAATGGTAGTGATTTTGCTTTAGCTGGAAGCGTTCGTTGTAGCTCTCCTGATGAAAAGGAACGACTTAGTATTTACGCAATTACTGAAAGGAATGCAGGTCAACTAATGCAAAAACTGAAAGATACGTATGGAGATATTGAAAATTTGCCTGAAAGTGTCACAGTTACCAGTTTGGGTGTAAATTACTTTGTTAGACATCAAATCTATGAATATCACAATGTAAAATGGGATATGTACACAGTGGTTGTAGAGTCTGATGTCATGAAAAGTATCCATATTAGTATTGCTGTGTCTGTTTCCGTAGCTGTAGTGGTAACATTCATCGGAGTCTTGTTTGGAATTACTCTTTCTCTGATTATTATTAGACCAATAACCTTCCTCCAAGAACAATTCCAAAAAATTAAGGTTTTGAATTTGGAAGGTATGATTATCCCTGACTCAATGTTTGATGAGTTGAGCCAAGTCTATACAAGTTTATCATTAACAGTGAGATGGTTGAGAGAAATCAGGTCATTCGTTCCTCCATCTGTCATTCAAGATATTCGTTATAGCTCCAATCCAAAGAAAAATCCAAAAAAGACTCAAACCATCAATCATAATCCAAGCTATGCCAAGTATGAGAAAACTAATGATGCATGCCATCCATTTCAAACAGGTCTTAATCAGAAGGAATGCTCTGTTATTCATGTGAGATTGCATAACTATTTAAAGTATAATACTCCTCACTTCATTTCTGCATCATTTCCAAAAATTTTGAGTGTCATGACTGATTGTACAAGACTATTACATTGTGATCTTCAAGTTCTGTCACTTGAAGATTTTAGAGTCATTGTAGAGCCAAGAGTAATCAAATCCAATATTGTAGCTCTCGAATTGGCCTTAAAACTGCAGAAAGGTCTCGAATATTTTAACAAGCAATTCAAAGAGGATTTTGATGTAAAGATTGAATTTGGTATTGGAGTTTCCACAAATGCAGATTCATATGTTGGAAATTTAGGAACCAAACATCACAAGGTCTTGTCCATCATTTCCAATGCCTGTAAAGTGGCAGAAAGTTTAAGTTATTTGGCTTCTCATAATGGTGTTCACATAGTTGCTGATGAGCAAACAACTTTGTGTGATCAATTCATTTCGAGACCAATTGATAGATTCCTCTTCCAATGTTATGTTCGTGCAAGTGGACCATCTGAAGAAGTTATTAAAAATGTCTATGAAGTAATCAAGGAAGTGGATAATCAAATAGAAGAAGAAGGAGAAGGTAGGTTGTTTTCAAGTCCCAAAGATGTATTAATGAATTTTCCATCAAACTAATATTACAAAATATATATTAATAATAATTATTTTAGAGTGGATGTGTGAATTTGAGAAGGAAATATTCAATTACAAACAATATCGTTCAATATTTGAAATATTTACCAGTTCCGATCCAGATACTCTCAATGAAAAGAAGATTCAACTCAAAGACTACTTGACAGAAAATCCTGATGATTATCCCTCCAAGAAGATACTAGATATTATTTGCTATATTCAATCCCGAGTGTCAAATGTTGAAACCATGGTCAATATCCTATCACATTATCATACAAGGATTGATCAATTTTTTGTAGAGGATTACATGGATTCAATATAATTCTAATGAATATTTTTGGTTTTTTTTGTTATTATTTCTGCTAGTAGAAACATGATTAATACAATTTTATCGAAATTATAAATTCCATGTGCAGAAACCATTGATGGTGAAGCAGACGGCCTATGAAAATACAAAATTTGTGAAAAACAAGAGATTCTTTTATCAAAGATATAAAACTTGGTGTGATGATTCTCCACACCTAATAAAGCATATCTCTCTGGTATGATGTTCCGATATTGTACTTTGGTTATTGATGATGAAACCTCCACCATGACAATGACAATACTATTGAAGAAAGTAATGATGAAGATGTTATATATTGTGAAAATAAATAGTACTACTAGAAGAAAGTTTTTGATTTGGTCAAGTAGATGATGAGGTATGGTACATGTGCGGGTTGAAAATAATCTTGTACCGATTCAAACGAAGACAAAAATCCAATCTCCAAGATTCACCCCACACATACTATTGACAATCTACAATTTATGGTTTTTGCAATGACCAAGTAGATGTGCCGAATTTGATGATTTTGATGAAAAATCGACTTTGAGCCTAATTAAAAATAATTTCAAAGAGTAAACTTGTGGAATACTATTTAAATACTATTGGAACAGCAAAGCAACCTGTTCGAACAACATCCGATATGTATTTATTGATTTGAAATTTCCCAAGCGATGATGCTATTAAATTTCTTGATGATTAAAATTTCAAACAATAAAATTACTATTCTACTATTGATGGATATCCAAAGATGATGTACATTGAATATCAACGTCAAATATATTAATAAGATTAATAATATAGCAAATTGTATCTTTTATTGCTCAATTCATGGAATAACTATCATAACGATAGCAACCAACAAGACTATGAATCTGTATGGAATGATTCTTGTAGCTCCATTTACAAAGGATGAATTACTAATTGATGGTGAATAAGTCACAGCCAACTTATCCCAAAATTGAGTACATACATCAATACTAGTGATTGTTACTTGTTGACTTGTCAAATCAATACTCAATTCATTGTCCTTCAATGTTGAATATGAATTCCACTGTGAAGGAGAATTGTTATAATTTGGATTTCCACTCACAATAAAATTAGTCCAATAGAGAATCATTTGCTTTGATAAAATCTTATCCACTCCAAACAATCCATATGGTGAAAAGGCAGGGAACAAGAAAACCAAATCCAATCCATGATAAACACCCAAACATTGATTAGAAATCAAATTACGATTAAAATTGTAGAGATATGAAGGAATACCTCTGTTGGCATATTGAACTGAATCACGTCTAGATGAACATCTAAAGGCAGCATCATTAAACACATTGTTGAGGTATTGAATTGATTGAGTGGAAGGAACAGGTCCATAGAATTGCACTATTTTGCTGAATATAGAGGATCCGTATTGAGCAGTTAGGAAATTTTCAACCTGAGATACACTGGCGTAATAGTTGAATAGTGGACATGTAAAATAGGTTGTTTCATTTGAAACAGTTCCAATAATCAATGGAACTTTGAGAAAATATCCCTTTGCAAAATTGTTATCAGGTGTATCAGTTAATACATAGCCATCAACAATAGGATTGGCGGCATTGGTCAAGATATTCTTGGGAACAATGTTAGAGGTCAATAAGAGAAGTGTTGATACAGAGACATCTCTTAAACATTGAACAGTTGTACATGATTGATTGGAACGAACATAATTACCAGTTGAATTGATTGCTTTTTCCATTGAGAACAAATCGCTTGAAAACCAAATGGAACCACTTGAAACCATTGCTCTTTGAAACAATTGCGATTCCACCACAAGCGGACTTGTTAAAAGTGCTCTAGTGGTAAAACCACCTGCACTTTGCCCACCTACTGTAATTAAATTTGGATTTCCTCCAAATTTTGCAATATTTTCCTTAACCCACTTGATTGCATGTATTTGATCAAGTAAACCATAGTTGCCAGTTGTTTTCTTTCCATTTTCACCACTGTTTTCATTAAATAGCTCAGTATCTGCAAGGAAACCCAACAAACCCAATCTATAATTAATAGTTACCATAACAATTGGAAGTGAATTATTAGAGGCAATAGACATCCAATCAGATGGATCAAACTGTAAAGATGATCCTATTGTAAAAGCACCACCATGAATCCAAATAAAAACAGGTAAATTATTAGCATTGACTGGTGAATAGACATTTAAATAGAGACATGCTTCAGATTGTTGAATTCCAAGATTTAAATTCTGAGGACAAACTACTTTATAATTGGCAATATTGACATTGGTGGAAGCAGAGAGCGGTTGAGGTGGTTTCCATCTGAGTGAACCAATTGGTTGTTGAGCATATGGAATACCATACCAATAATTCAATTGACCATCACTAGTTTGATTTCCAATATAGATACCTTGGGTTAAGGTAACACTGGCTTGTTGACTCAATGCAACAAGTAAGACTAACAGTAAACCAATAAGAGAGAGTACAATACGTTGATTCATTGTTTTTTTTTGAATATTTCTATTGAAAACCATAGGTCTTGCTGTTTTAAATAGTGTCTGATATGAATCATTATGCCAAACTACATTGACCGGACTTGTCCGGTTTCTTTGAATTTGAACAAGACTGTAGTAGAATTTAATTCCCTTTCGTATTGGAGATGCAATTATTTGGCGCCAAAACATAAAGATGTGCGAATGCTTCTAATTCAAAAAAAAAGTATGAAATGGATGATGAGGACATTTTGAGGTTATTTGGTTGTGGTGATGATTCAGTGTGGACACCTTCAGCATTGTATAACCCAGCATCGGAAGAAGTTTTGAACAACACTTCCAATACATTTTTCAATATATCTCCAACAGAACAAGAGAGCAAAAACGTGGAACATCCCGAGGATTCTACTCAACAAATATCATCATCATTAAATTTGCAAATCACTTCTGATGAAAATAATAATGGTGATGAGCAGAAGGAAACATTCCATCCTATTTCGTGTCTTAGGTGTAGAAAAGCACATTCCTTTTGTGGTTTGTATCCATTATATTGAATATTTCCTGACAATTAAACAACATGTACATGTAATCAGATAGAAGAATACCCAAATGTGAAAGATGTATAAATATTGGAACTGAATGTGTCTACATGGAAACAAAAAGAACTAGAAATGCAAAGGAAATAAACGAAAGTAGAAAGAAGAAGAAGACAACTTCCACCTTCTGATTCCAGTGCATCAAATAATAATACTAATGATCAAGTTAAAGAAAATGCTCCAATTTCTTGTGCCAACCCCATAATATTTAACAGTTTGAGTAGAAAGTTTACAAAAAGTAGGATTATTGAAAATTATTATCTATTATTAAGCGACGTTTACACACTTGTCGATAGAACAGAATTGGAAAAATATATTTTAAAAAACGAACATGTTGATAACTCCTTAATGAGTACAACAACTTGTAAGGAAATGGAATGTTTTTATCAAAGTGCAAAAGGTCTAGTTGAACAATTTGTTGGACAAGGTGGAGAAGCATCCATTCAAAAATGTAAACAATTTTTATCAGCTCTATTGATGGATAGAGAACCTTCATTTATCGTTTCATGCATTTATTACAATTTAGCTATATATGAATATGGATTTGGAAGGAAAAAATTATCTAATTACTATATTTACTCATCAAAATTTTACTTTAATTCAAAAATGGAAAATTCTCTAAGTGTTGAAAATTCCACTCATGAAAGCAATTTATGGAAATCTTGTATTTTATTTCAACATTTAGCAATGGAAGATATTGGATTGATTGGGTTAGTTAGTAGTGTTCCTAAGCTATTCGAATACTCTACAGGTCAAAAACTTGATCAAGAAATATTAAATGTGTTTGAGAAACCCATTACTGTGGAAAATTGTTTTGATTTATTGAAAATTGGTGAACTTATTGGAAACGTATTAATGAATTCTACACTGGTAGATGCTAAAAGATCAAACGTGGGACATTTACAAGCTTATTCGAGAGCACTCCAATTTTTTCATAGCCTACTGTTGAATGGAATGAGAATTGGTGTGTTGATCAAACTTGGGATTAGGAGAGATTTGATTGAAGAGGCTGCCCTATCCATTACAAAATTAACAGAGAGTGAATTTTTTGGAGTCTCAACTGTTATCATGATTCCATACTTTACCATCGCTTCTAGGATTCATTTGGAAATTGTTAAATCAATTAAACTTGGAAAGCGAATGAACAATATGAATCATGAAATTATAAATACCATACAAGAAGGAAGAGAGGATGAACCAGTAGTGGACTATTATAAAGTATTGAAAATGGATTTAATTGGACTAGAGTTTTTAAATTCTAGATTCAACACAATTTCTACAAATTATGGTCAATTAATGAATGAAATGAAACGCTTATTAGAGAATTAAACAATTGTAGTTGTTAGATTGATTGAATTTCACAACATTGTTTTAACCAAACGGAACACCACGGATTGGAAGAGAACCCGAGTTAATAAAGTTGTTTACAAAATCGAGATTGAAGTAGAACAACTCCTATAAAAAACCTGCATTGCAGGAAAAAATCGGTAAAAACTCCAATCCATTGCTCGTAAAAAAATCTTTTATTACGACAATAACGAATCTATTCAGATTCTCATAGGTTATATAAATTATTTGGAGTCAATATAATAGTTAGAATAGGAACGGCCGACGAAGTTAGAAATGGCACCTTGGATCTCTGGCCACTTCTTAGCGATGTCTTTATGGAATTGCATGTATCCATCTTCGAAAGAGGTGATTCCGTTATGATGGAAATGTAATGCATGGTGATGCTTTTCTGGTTTGAATTGAAAATGAGAAAGTAAGCACTCTCTCCCTTCAAGAATATCAGATATCTTTGACTGACAAAAATACCTGGCACTATCCAAGCCAGGGCACTCATGAATGTAATGGAATAAATCAGATTCTGTACCACAATCGTAACAGAAACTTTTACCCTTACCAAAATTGATATGGGCATTGATGGAATTTCTCCATATAAAGTATTTAGTTTTAGGAGTAAGACGAGTTTTAAGGTATTGCACATTAAGAGAATCCCAACTTTGGTTTAGAATAAAGTTAGGGTTTTCATTCATCTTATTATGTCTTACACTTAAATGTCTTGTTATGGTCATCTTCTTATGATTGAAGATGACAACACCATCCTTAACAAGGAGGTGTTGATTCTTGAGTAAATTACAAATATCAAAAATATCATCTCTGGTTGTAGCATTCTTTGCTATTAAATCAACCTTGATATTCTCGCTATCTTTGTGTGCTTCAACTTTCTTAATTTCATATTCTATTTTTCTATTTTTGATTGTTCTAAAGAAGGCTTCTTTTAATGTTAGAAAATCTCCTTTGTATCTATCTTTGAGAACTTCTATTGCAACTTCACTATCAGTATGAATGGTAACTTTAGAGTTTCGTGGGATTACATTAATAGAAGTTATTATGGAGCATATTTCGGCTATATTATTTGAATAATGATCATTGATTCGAGGGATAAAGTTTTACAAGGAACTGATCTATTTGAGGTATCATAAATATTAATACCCATTCCTGTCTTTTGATTAATTCTAGATCCATCTGTATGGATATCGAAACTATTTCCTGTTTTAATTTTGGCTATTCTAAATTTCGTATCATTCTGCACAAATGTGAGATTATATTCTTTAAGTACAGATAACCATTTAGCATAAATATTATCTTTAGTTTCCTCACAAGCTTTTCTTATTAACTTATTCTTATTATTGGCGATTAAATTCATAGTTCTTAAATTCATTCTTTCAGAGAATTCCTCAATTGATGGTAATCCACCTTCTTCTAATGGCAGGTGAAAGAAACTTGTTGGAGTTGCTCTGTCCATTAATAATTTACGTCTGATTGCACCTCTAATTGCACGATCTATTTCCTGAGCTTTCTTTAAAGGGATTATATTGATTTTTGAGAGGTGGGTGAATAAGCTGATTGCTTTAGCATGCATAATTATTTTAAGGTTTGTTGGTTGTAATTTGAATAATGGTAAAAATCTTAATGATTTTGTGAATTTGTCTATCTTGGATTGGATGTCTTGTGTTACCAAAGTATCATCCCAAGGGTAATGGCCAAGTACTCTAAGGTTTTTCTGTTTAGGTACTGGAGTACCTTTGATTTTAGGTGAGACTGTGCTCTTTTTAGGTAATAGAGTTGCTACTGATTTCTTAGCATTCAATTTAAATAATAATTGATGTAACCAATCATGAATATTGTCTAGTCTCTCATTATATTTGGCATATCTGTCACATACAACATTCATATCATCAGCAAAACAGCAGAGTGCAATATCATTTGCACATAGTTTGCCTGGTTTGATTGGTATCTTCCACTTATCAATTGCTTTGTCAATTATTAATTGGGTAATACAATCGTAAATAAGAGGGGCCAGTGGACAGCCTTGTGGTATTCCTCTTGTTTTCTTAAATTTATCAGAGAGATGATTATCAATTTCTAATTGAAGTTCATGGTTAGCATAAGCATTTAAAATGAATTGAGTAAGTTCTGAAGGGTATTTGCAGTGGTCTAGGGCCATTTTGATGACAGGTAATTCGACTGCATCATACGCCCCTTCTATATCTAAATTCACTAAAATAAAAGTCCTTTTCCTTGTTTTCATTGCTAAGGCAGAGAGTAATACACCATGATTCAAAGTATTTCTGTCTGTAATAAATGCTTGTTGTCTAACATTAATATGAGTTGATGCCCAAGATCTCAATCTAAATGCTATAATATTAAATAATATTCTGTAAAATATTGGTAAAATAGTAATTGGGCGAATATCACTTAAGGTATTAATTTCTCTTTTAGGAATGAGTTTTACCCATCCTTGTTTCCAATTTTGTGGAATATCACCATCTCTTAAACATCTATTATATTCTTCTAAGAGGATTCCTTGATTAGCTTCTGTAAGATGTTTAATTATATCAAGTGAGATTAGATCAGGCCCAGAAGTGTTTGATTTCATTCGTTTGAGAGCATCTTGTAGCTCTTTAATATGAATCGAATTGCTCCAATCTGGACCTTCTTTGATAGTTGAATTACTTGGTGTGAATGTTGGTTGTTGATTAGTGGAGGTAAATTTGTTTGTAAAGTAATCCACTATTTCTTCTTCTTCAAAGTTAAGGTCTTTCCACATAATTTGGTTAGAGTGTATCATTTTATCAAATTGATACATTCTAGATGAAGAGTTATCATTAAATTCATCTATAAGTTTTTCCTTAATCTCTTTTGCATTATTAATATGTGTTTCTTTTAGGAGTGTTTGTAGTTCTTGTATTTCTGATTGAGGAATATTAGGGTTATTAATTTTAGATAATATTTCATCCTCTAAATCTTGAATTTCTTCTTTAAATGCTGTAGAAATTCTTCCAACTCCTAATCTATCTACTTTGGATCCATATTTAATTATTTGAGCCTCAATTGCTTGATTCAGCTCTTGAAAATTGTCAATTTTACACTTATTAATTGCTTCGTACATTCTTTTCCTCTTATTCTTACTAAAGTAAGTTCTCCAAGTAAGATTAGATTTAAATTCTAAATCTAAATAAAAAGGGACATGATCATTAGTGGTCAAAGGTGTCATAATTACTTCCTTTACCACTCTAATATTCTTTGAGACAAAGATATGGTCAGGTCTAGATCTAATTAAAGTTCCCTGACTTCGTCTAATCCATGTATAATTTGGTGTTTTGAATTCTGTCAATTTTAACATTTCAAGAATCCAAATCCAATCCTTTTCTCTTGTAGTAGTGGGGTTTTGAGTATCAATATTAAGATCCCCACTTAAAATAATATGTTCATCTTTACATGTTAAAACAGCATTGATAAAACTGTTAATGGCTTCTTGATCATTTTCATAATCATCTGATCTGCCACTTAAATAAATAGTAAATAAATTAATTGGAATTCCCCTGCTTTCAAATCTTGTCCATTGTAAGATTCCAGGTACTAAATTATTATTGGTAATGTTACGCTTTCTATGATTATTTAAAAAGTGCATAACTGCTGTTCCTTTACAGCCTTTAGATCGACCCATAAGGGAGTTAAATAATAAATAACCTGAACCAGAATTTCTAACTTTAATTTCTAATTCAGTAGTGTTAACGTGTGTTTCTGTAATACTCATCATATGAACTCCATGTGTTAAACACATAGATTTCAATTCTTGAGTTACAGATTTATGGACTGCATGCTTGTATAGACCGTTAACATTGTAGCATGCAAGTCTTAAACTAGTGGTAGTTCCACTCAAGGTTGAGTAGATTCATTAGATGATGTTGAAATCAAATCATCATCTATCATTACAGAGTTAGTATTATTTACATTATTTATATTATTAGTAATATTGACAATTTCCATTAAGTTATTATCTAATGGAATTACATTATTATTTGCCAATCCTACAACAAGGCTTGAAAAAGCTTTGGTGAGTAATATTAACAGATTATTTTCATTATTATTATTATTATTAATATTATTATTATTATTCTTAGTATTATTATTATTATTATTATTATTATTATTTGTTGTTTTAGCAACTGATTTAGTTGTTGCAATATTATTAGTAGAATTAATAGTAGGTAAATAAGGAAATAATCTATTTTTCTGTTCTATTTTAAGATCTAAAATCTCAATAGAAGGTTTGAAATAGAAATTGAAATGGTTTTTGTGCTTATCAATAAGAGAAATATTTTTCTTACAAAATTCATCCATTTCATCCTTATCTGTGTGTGATAATTTAACTAATTTATATTTTGAAGTACCAGAGTGATTAGTTGCATCTGATATTTTTAAATTGTTCAATACAAGTTGAATATCCATTCTAGAGTAAACACGAGCAATTCCATTTGTAATCTCGTTATCAGTAAATTGAATAGGGAATGTGCATTGAGATGTTGTCTCTTTTGTTTCACTTCTGATTTGCTCTACTGTTTTATAGTGTTGTAAATCAAGAGCTGAAGCAAGTTCAGAGCACGTTTTCTCATTATCAAATGATATTCTAGTAATATATTGTTTATGGGAATAGTTGGTATATAATCCTTCAACATTAATTCCCTTTTCAATAATATAATATTCAATAATTTTTTCCAATAGTCTATAATGAATATTTTTGGAACTAGTAGAATGACATAAAGCAAGAGGTTTTGGAGTAAAGATTGCTGGAGATGGGAAACATTCTAATACAAATTTCCTATCAACAACACATTCATTAAAAATATTAAAATATTGCTTATAGTCAGAGTCATTTTAGATATTTACAAAATTTTGAATAGATTCCCGGAGACATGTGTTTTCCTTTTGGGAGGTTTCTAATGCTCTCTCCAACACAAAGATTCTGTTAGCGAGCAGAGTACTCCCTTCCGTATCCGGAGGGTGGTAATGTTGAGGCATTTTCGCAAA